ATTGAGAAATCAGTTGTTTTGGGAGAGTTATGTATATGTGCAGTGCGTTGTTACTCTTACGACGAGGATTTGATTCAAAAGCCGGAGTCGATCAAGAGCAAACCAAGCGCAAGGAAACGCGAACATGCGGGAAAACGGGAAACGCGCCGGGGATCGATTCTCTTCTTCCCTTCCCACCTCCGCCCAGAAAGCTCGGAAGCGCGGATTATGAGTAGCGCCGCGCCGCGCCGTCGAAAACGGCATGTGAACGAACGTAAATCGATTGAAAACAATACTTTAATTCATTATTTACATCATCTACACGCATCTGAATGTCTATTACACCGATTTCCAAAATTATTTCAAACAAACTTATAGTTTACTAATTTTACAAAACAAATATTCAAACACATTTGAGGTTAAATCCAAAAAATAGGTTAGGTTGCAGTGGAATACTATTAATTAGCTATGAAGCACTCTTCTTAATGAAGTTGCTGAGATACGATCGCCATTTGTTTCCATTAGATCACTCGACACACCTTGAGTACTTTATTTTTTATTTTATTTTAGTTGGTTTTTTATAGAAATAATTAAGGTTAGTCACGTTGATGACGTAAAACTAGATTTTATTTTTATTTCATCCGCGCGTATAATTAACACTATATCGACGTGCCTACTCTACTCAGCTCATTAATCAAAATTTATTTATGGTCGTTAGCTTCGCGCACGGAAACGAGCGTAAAATTAACGCGGGGTTGTGGAATTTTGCGCAAGTATTTGATGGCCTCTAAGAAGTCGAGTTTACTTGCTTGATGTTTGATACGTTCACGCTGATTTCATGCTATTGCGGCGCATTTGCGTGCACATCAGAAATCAAGCTCTGCACGCTAATTACAACAAGGGGTGTTTGTTTTTAAGGTGAGGTGTTGCTAAAATATTTCCAAATGCCAAACTTGTTGTAATAACTGTGACAAAAGCTACAATAGCGATTTTTTTTAGATAAAAATATAACTAAAATTAGAATTAACAATAATATGTGTAGGAATATTGTAGGCATTATTGTTAAATTAACGAATTTTTGGGGTTGTAGATGGGTGGTCGTTCTTTCCATGCCTTTCATGACCGCGTCGCACGCGCGCGCATTATTCGCTTTGTTCGGATTATAAATTAAGTCCGTGAGGCTTTGTCCGTGTCGTTCAAGAATGCGCCTCTTAATGATGAAATACTGAATTGTGTGATTGATGGATTGGATTTTTATTTATTTGCGTTATATTTATTGTTCCTACAAAAAATTGAGTTTGAATACAAAAAATTGCGTTATTTTTAGTTATAACATTAGTTCCAGTTCTCCGATTTTAATTATTTTTACATCAATCGAAAGGTAATTAGTTTACTTATGACTCAACACTATTATTTGAACTCGTGATTGAACAATGCAGCCAAAATTCATCCGAAAAATCCGTTCCACTTAAATTCTATTTTACGTAGTCGAAGTTTCAGCCCTATTGCTAATGTGACTAAAAAAGCTATTAGTCTACCTTCCCAGCAAAAAGTATATCCACCTTATTCACTTTATCTCCGTTTTATAGTCTGGCTTACAGCTGAAAACATTACAGTTTAAATGCAAATTTATTTCGCCATCGTAAACAACCGAGCGCATCACCCGCCGCGCACTCCCTGAGCAACATGAAGCTTTACCGCCTGATTTTACAGCTCTATCGCGGGCGAAATTACTCGCAATCCATTTATTCATACAGAGAAATCCATAAATATACAAAGCCACATTTAATACATCTTATAAAAATCAGTTTTCGAATAAAAATTGTATTGAAACTATTTTACAACATCCTGTATGATAGAAATTATTGAAGCGGTGGCCACTTAAATCGCACAACATCAAAACATTATGGTATTGCATTATGCCGAATGTAAATGAATTTTCCATGAGCGGAGAAAATTGCGCACCCCGCGTTTAGACTTGTGTAATTCACATCTATGATTATGGCTGGGAAAGAAAACTTTTGTGCAACAACGAATTTGTACTGTTCCGGCGGCCATAAATTATTTATTACGCTTAAAAATGAATTTTTCCCACACGCTATGTGCTTGTTTAGCATTTCAGTTTCTATTTGTTAATAAAATCCAATATTTTTATTACTTTTTCAACTTGTTTGTTTAGAATATTGCCTGATATTATTTAGCAGTAAGTAAATTTGATGCTCATTAAAATTTTAGATCCTTGGGAATAATTTTCATCGGCTTAGTAATTTCATGAATATTAAATACACTTTTACATCAAAGTCTCGTCTCGGTAATCGGCTGAAAAGTGGGCGCACATTCTCGTTGGCTGTTATTATTTTATAAAAAATGCACACGTCGCGGCTAGCTATGATTAGGATGCGAGGACACGCGCGCGGTTATCCTTGAAATGCTCGGAACTGACAGGTGTTCAAGGGGCTTAATTATTTCTCAACGTGTGCAAATTAAATATGACAACATCAAAGAAAATACAACACAATAGCATAAATATAGGCAACTTAATTTACATTAAAATTAATTTCAACATAAAAATCGTTTCGGGGCTGAGTTTCAATTTATAATTATTTTTGGTCGACGCCAATGATGAAAGTAAATGTAAATTCTGCTCTCGACTCGAGCGCATTGGAAAGCGCTCCCCTTGGCATCATCATTTCATATTTTATTCAACATGATCCAAGGGATGAGACACGAAACATGGATCCGGCGCGCCTCTACGATTGATGACACTGAAGACAATAGACAACTTATTCATTACTCCAAGTGGCATCTATTTATAATCATTTTAAACAAGTCGCCATTCCAGCAAAATTGGCAGCTTTCAATTGAGGTTATATTGCAACATTTTCTCCGACTGTGTTTTACGTTCGATAGGGCACGTTTTGCATTTATATTAGCTGTTCTTCACGATAAACTTAAGACAGAGATCTCTATATTGCACGTGAGAATCGCGTGTTTTTTTATTCCTGTATTCCTGGACGCGCACGTAAAATAGATATTCCTCGGCGCAGCTGGGAGGCAACGAGGGAAATAAACAGATTTGCACGTCGTGCAAACATTTATTTCGCGTTGGGAAATTTTTCTCGCCGCTAGTTTGCTGGTAAAGCTACGCTTATCTTAGTCTACCGAGCATATTTTCACGTTTTTCGTGGTTTACCATCGGTTTTTCACTGAGTTTTCACTGAGGAAACACGCGCAGACGTCCTATTTAAATGTTTCACCAACTGATCACATCTAAATACATTTAATATCATGTTAAACAATTTAATTAAAAAATTTGTGATATAAAATTATAGTTAAATGTTTTGTGGATAGGTGGCGTTAGTAATACTAGGTTAGGTTTCGTTTGAGTTGAATCTTGTGTGTTACAAGCGAACGTACAAGTTTATAGTAGATTTTAGGCCTCATGAATATTCAAAATGCTTTTACCATCCTATGTGCGTCCTTTGCGCTCATTAACAATTATAATTTCGTGCAGCGCGCTCGTAACAATATTGCACCGGAAGCAGACCTAACGACTAATAAATATCTCCGACATTGACACGTCGGGAACGCTATTTTTAGTCTGGTTTTATTGTGTTATTCATGAGTTTTTCGCCCGAAAAGCCAAAAACAAAACTTTTTACCACCGCACGCATGATTTAATTAAACTTCCGGTTTAGTATAGTGAATTTTACGCACTAGGCGTATGGCGACTATCGTGCCAGGCACAAGACACCAAAATAATCAACGGAAAATCTTAGAAAGTAAATTAGATTTTCTAAAATTTTAATTTAGAACGAAAACAATTGATTTCACTCTTTCTTTTGTTTGTTTGTGTGGTTGCACCTAATTTAATGGTGAGAATCTGCACCATTCCGAAAATAGAAAACCGAAAACACCCGGAAGTCGGTTGGCAAGTTTGTCTTGTTAGTCTCGGGCGGAAACGAACGTAAACTTAGAGCGAATGACGCGAGGGCGGACGGAAAAGTTTTGTTTAAGGAAATTGCCATTATGTTCGACACGGGAACAATTTCAGCTCTGCTTTGTCTTTATGTCGTCTCCGATGATAGTTTTCTTCAATATAGCGTTTAACCGCACGCATTTCAAACAATTTGATATTAGTATCCACGATAATTTCTTTATTTAAGTGAAATTTTGGTAATTATTGAGTTAACTGGTGGCCATTTTGTATTTGTATGCGGATTTGGTCAAGGGACAAACTCAATAATCGATGTACAAGCGGACGCACGCTTCTGATTTAATTGTCATTGATTAAATCATTGATTTAATCACCTACAGCTTGCGGTCATCGCTTCGTGTAACTCCAATTAAGCCCTCATTAGCCTCCAACTCCGCTTTGATATTTAGGATTATGTTTCATTAAAATGTGAATAAAATACAGCCAAAAAGTTAATTTTTGTAGCTGGAAACCAAAAAATACTTTTTGATGCACCAAACACAAGCGAATAGTGAAAATATTGATTTTGCTGCGGTGCCAAATATATTTTCCAGCTGTATTTTTTTCTTCTTGGAATTCTGCACTTTATAAACCGAAATCACCTCAAGAAAACTTGTAAAAGCTGTTTGATGACTTTTAGAGGGCATTCCAAAAGAATTATGTGGATCTGCATGCCAAATATACACAAAAATGCTCTTTTAGCATAAATTGCATTAAAATAAATATTTTCCATGTATTACTACAAAGTAATTATGCAACGCGCATTGCAAATATGATAACAACGGAGATCAATGTTAGCAGTAAATATTAACACCACAAACGTCAGTCAGCGAGTGTACACAAACGCGTAACAATTCAGCGGAGTGGAATCGATGCAGGAAAAAATAAATGAAGTTGCCGCAATGAATGCTAAAGTTTGAATGCACAATAGGATCATAAAACGGCGATGCGTCAATGCATAAACTCACCCCAGGGAGGTCGTTGAGTATATATAGTGCACCATCATGTGGTGAGATATATTGCACATTGTAAAAACATCATCAACATGCAGTTGCAATTAAACTTGTTTGTTATCGCGTTGGTTATTGGTTATGGTGAGCTTATTTTTTATTTGATCAAACATTATTTTAATTTATTATTCGTATTTTATATCCATTAGTGGCGAGTGCACATATACCAGAATGTCCTTGTAAAAATCATCAACCTGAAATAAAACACTCACATGAATCGCATTCGGAGTCCCATGATCATCATGAGATTTCATTCTCGTCTGATCATGAACATGATCACGATCATGAATCCTGTACAGAAGAGAGTCATGATCATGAAAAGAAGAAACATTGTGGAGGTGAAGAACATTCTGGGTCTTCTAGCAGTAGTAGTAGTTGTGAACATGAACATCACACCACAACTAAACCCTGTGGTTGTACTAATAATGGTGGCCATCATGGCGATTCCCATGACCATAGTTCCCATTCATCTAGTTCTAGTAGTTCTAGCTCCAGTAGTTGCCAGAGAAGTAGTTCCGAATCTAAAAGTCATCATAATACACCTAAACCCAAACCATGTGGTTGCAAACCATCAGAACACTCTTCCGAAGATCATCATCATTCTTCCGATTCGTCTGAACATAGTCATGACCCTGATTCACACTCTCATTCTCACAGTTCAGAGTCTAGTTCAGAAGAACATGAACATAAGAAGAAGAAACCTTGTGGTTGTGGTTCTCACTCTGATTCTTCTGATAGCAGTAGTAGTAGTTCAGAATCCGATCATCACCATCACCCTAAACCGAAACCATGTGGTTGTACCAATAATGGCCATCATCATGATCATTCTGATTCGTCAGACAGCGATTCAAATTCGGAATCTCATTCTCATCACCCTAAACCAAAACCTTGTGGTTGTGGCGAAAACAATGATGATCACCACCACCACCATCATGATCAACATGATCTTCTCGCCCATATATTAGACCTGGTTAATCAATTACTCGACAAACTTGGCTTGGGACACACAGTTACTTCTGTTGTGGATACTGTTGATTGCACAGTTGATTCAGTCCTAGACACCGTTGATGATACTTTAGGAACAGTTTTGGATACTGTAGGAGACGTGCTAGATCCTGTTCTGAATACGGTTGATAATGTTGTAGACACAGTATTAGATACAGTGGACCCTGTTTTGGATACGGTAATCTGTACTCTAGACCCAGTTCTCGACACTGTAACAGACACAGTCGCGCCTGTTTTGGATACTGTAGGAGACGTGGTAAATCCTGTCCTGAATACGGTTGATAATGTTGTAAGTCCAGTCTTAAGCACAGTAGTTGATACAGTAGCCCCTGTTTTGGATACGGTAGCCTGTACTCTAGACCCAGTTCTCGACACTGTAACAGACACAGTTGCGCCTGTTTTGGATACTGTCAATGACGTTCTATCTCCTGTTGTTAACACCGTAACAGACGTAGTGGCTCCAGTATTGGACACAGTTGGTGACACGGTTGCTCCAGTTTTAGATACAGTCAACAACGTGCTAAGTCCCGTTCTGTGCACTGTAACAGATACAGTAACACCTGTTTTGGATAATGTGGTAGACACAGTTGCCCCAGTAGTTGACGCAGTAACATCCGTCGTAGACCCTGTAGTAAATACAGTAGTCAACACAGTGGAACCTGTTTTGGACACTGTCACATCAGCAGTGGCTCCTGTAGTAGACGCACTTGCTCCCGTAGTAGATACAGTAACAGATGTATTGGATCCTGTGGTTAATACTGTTACTGATGTTGTTGCACCTGTTGTTGAGAGTCTTCAACCAGTTCTGGATGCAGTTTCTCCTGTAGTCAATACAGTCGCGGATACACTTGCCCCAGTTGTGGATTCACTCACTCCTGTAACTGATACTGTAACGGATACAGTCGCTCCAGTTGTCCAATCACTTGCCCCTGTGACTGATGCTGTCGCTCCGGTTGTAAGTGATCTTGGTGATACCTTAGCGCCTGTTTTGGATGCTGTTGCACCGGTTACAGACGCACTTGCGCCTGTACTTGATTCGGCCTCACCTGTAACAGCTCCTTTGTTGACTAATACTCCTTTGGGAGATGTTGCTGGAGGATTATTAGGTGATAATGCTGGTAATACTGATAATACTGGTAATACTACTGGTGGTGATGATGCTGGTGGTGCAGAAACAAATCCTTTGAATATTGTAAATGTTTTAACTGGAGGTTTAGGTGCAGGTACAGATCCTGTTGAAACTCCTGCTCCAGGTGACGCTAGTCCAACCGAACCAACAACGGCTGTACCTGATGTTGCCCAACCTGTATTAGCAGCTGTTACTAACCTAGCACCTGTTAAATCCGTTGGTAAAGTTTTGCGATTATAAACTAATAAATAATATGTCTACATAAAATATTAATCAACAAACAAAAAACTGTTTATTATGCAGTTCCAACAAGTTGTAGTTGTAGTAGGCGTTGTAGTCATTTGTAAATGAGACACCAAGATAATTTATAAAGTATAAACCGTTGTACGCTCACACAATAGTCAGAAGCGGATGAATTGTTTGCGAACTCTGTGTAACACCCCTCGCGTTTCTCGCAATAAGAGCACATAGAAAAAATGTAATAAAGAAAAATGTTGTCTGCGTATATATCGGAAATGAGTTATTGCTCCCAAGTGGGGAGTATAAATGTATAAAAACCCGCGCGCGAGGGCATTAATCCGCGAAATATAACCAACCAGCCAGTCAAACCCTCAAGGGTGGTTGGGAAACAGCTTGGAAGATGCGCAATGTCTGCAATTTGTTACGATTAGAGATATATTCCATTTTTGTCGCGCTACACAAATTCTACGCGCCTCATAACACGACCATTTTTTTATATTTTAGATTATGTCCTGTTGACGGTTGTTTTCTATTGTGATTGGTGGTTTGGAATAGTGTTTATTAGTTTATAAAGGAAAGTTTTTGGTGGCTGAAGATAACAGTAAAGTATATCGATATTGATTGATCCGTAAATTCTATTTCTAGCCTCGCGTGAGCTAAAAATACATTTTACGTTTTTAAAGGAAGCAAACTTTTGGGCTTTTTCGTATTGAATGCCAAGTCTGAATGTTTCTTTCATTCGTAGGACTTTTTATTGCTGGGCCTTTTCGTTCTATTCTACTTGGTATTTTAACATTACTAAACTTCTATGGCTATCGGCGACACTAAAATGACAAAAACTTTCCTTTGTAAGCGATAAATTATATGTTAAGTACATAAAAAAATAAAAATATAATAATAAATAAAGTTCTGAGACATTTAAATATTTAAATCATAAATTTAAAATTCAAATTTTTCTATTATGCAATCAGCTTTGAGTTATGTTTAACTTCAAGAAGGTTTTTGGTGAAAAAGAAGCCTAAAAAGAAACTCATTACGTATTATTTTTATCTCGTCATTTAAATTGAATAACGAATTCATTACGAATTCATTTGATGTTCAATTTTGAGTTCTAAAATTTAAAAAAAGTACACATTCTGGACGTATTTTAAAATGAATTTTTATAAGCTATTTTTTTAGATATCTGTTAAAAGTTAGTTTAAAAAAATATGTATCTTTAAAATTGCGATTGTTATCACCGAATGTCAACATCTTTTTGCGGATGGTGTGCTAATGGAAAATGGAAATTACCAATCGATTTTGTGCGCTTTTTCTTCATTGCACAGCGCAAGCGGAAGAACAGAGGACGACAAAAACCAACACGATTCTGAAAGTAGTCAGGACTTTCGGACAAGCGCAAAAAGCTCTGCAGGATCTATAAAGTTTAGCTGCGCATTTTTATTCGTTTCTTTTATTAAAAAGAGTAAATTCCTGTTTTGTACTGATATGTCAGATCTGATTACAAAATACGTTGTTTGTATTCTGCTATTGATATTATTCTAAAGCCATAGAAATAGAAAATCTACATAATAAGATTAAATCTAAACCAATACAATATCAATTTCAATGGGTATTAATTTATTTCATTTTTTTGTTACAGGAATGTCCGGAAGGAGTCGTTCATGAAGATTCCTTCAAAGAAATATATTCCAAATTTTTCCCACACGGAAGTAAGTAATTTACAATGTTTATTATTTGGTTTATGATGTTTTACATAGCGATTTGACCGTAAAAGCTTTAATTATATTAATATTATTATTGAAAATAAAATATATTTGCATATAAATGAGACAAAATTGAACATATTAAGCTTGTCACTGTTGGAATATTGCGCGTGTGCGGTTCGGAGCTCAACGAATTTAATTAATTATGCGGAGCTTTCATTGAAACTTTGCGGTGCCCGCCCGAAACGTGTTCGAATTTCGAATCGAGCATAAAGTCCAGTTTGACAATTAAAATCAGCAATGGAAAGCAGCATCGAGCGGTGGATGTTAAACGAAGCTATAAATATTGTATTTCGGTTTGATTCAATTTTGCACTTGACATCACTTTAAATATGCAATATTTTCGATATTTTTAGCTATTTTGCATTCACTTTTAAGCAGTAAAGTTTTTACAAGCTGAACCTGTAAACTAGAAATTGTAAGAAACATAAATATTAGTTCGTATCGCGATCGTAAATCTTAACAGGGTAAAACTTCTATTCCGGTTGGGTGGAAAATATTATTTTGCTTTCTCGAGAGCGTGCTGCTAGTTTCGATAATAAATGGTTGCGCATGGGTGATATTGATAAAATTATTGGAATTGCCAAAGTTTTTTTTCTATCTAATCAGCAGTGAATTAGATATTAACTTGGCAGGTAGGATACTGCGTCAACAAAACAGAAAACATTAAAAAGTGGGTTGGGAATTGTTTTCATTCTTTGTTTTCCTTTATATTACAAGAAATTCAGGCGACAGAAAGAGCTTATTATTATTTTTACTAATATTATAATAATTTAACTTCAAAATTACTTAATTGTTAATGCTTACTTTCTCGTTAAGTAGAATAATAAATATTATTGCAATAAATGCAGAAAATAAATAAACGCTATCGTTTTTTTCTGCGTTTCTTCGCTTATTTTGATGTTGCTCCCTTCGGGGGCTGGGTGACAGCAATAAAACAAAATAATAACAATAAAAAGTCGTCTCATCTATCATCTATCACGAGCGAAGAGGCGTACGAAAACGAAATGGCTCGCGACGCACGATTGGATTGAACCGGCGAATAAATCACCGGAAAATTCGTCCGAAATATGGACGTCGACCAACCAGCAATACAAAACACACTGTTAGGTTTATGGGAAGGTATGACAGAAGGGATGTTAGGTTCAAGTTATTTATGATGGTATATTTTGCACATTACCCAAAGTTTGACCCAAAATGTAAAGTGATTATTTTTCTTTAACATACAAAAATGATCCTAACATGTTTAACTTAAAACTTTCTCCTATTTGATAGCAGTTTGAACAATATTTCCTTTTCAATTCATGGATATTTTTAGCCTACTACAAAAGCTATGTTTTTTCGTCCTTTCAATGCTTTGTACAAGTTTGTTTATTGTTTAACCTAGTATGCTTTGTTACCTGTTTGGATAAAAAGCAGCACGTGAATAATTGCAGGGTATACAATGTTTCTTGTGCGACAATTCAAGCATTCCCGCCATTAGCGCACGAGAAAGTTTGCTGCTTTTGCATTGTGCATTGTTTTCGGCCTTCCTGTGCCGTGCGCTTAGATACACACCGTAATAAACATCACAATCGGGGGACATTTCACGTTTCACGTGTGCATTATGTAAGCGAGCGGCATTCCGGCTTTCCCATCGTGTAGAAAATCGCGTGCGAGCTTTTTGCACTTTCACGGCCGTGACATTTTGCGATTTGAACGTGTTGGATGATTGCGATCGCAAACCAATTGTGGAATATTGTCAAAACAGTGCTGGTATCATTTGAATTTCAGTACAAAACTTCTGTACATAAAAATGTATTAATACGTATGCATAATATGTAATTTGTTTTTTGGTGGTCTAATGGTGTTTTTTTTCTTTTAGATTCAAGTTTATATGCGCATTACGTGTTCAAAGCCTTCGATGTAAACTGCAACGGGGCAATTAGTTTCAGGGTAAGTAAAGAACCATGAAATTTAAAGAAAAAAATTGTTTGTTTTTAAATGATTATGTTTTATGTTGTCATTTTGAGGTTACGTTGAGGTTAGGTTAAAGTTTATGAGGTTATGATGTTTATTAATCTGTGAATGCGTGGGGCAGTGGAATTGCGCCCAAAAATATATACGTTGGCTGGTGCCAGTACAGCCATAACTAATCCGGTGAGATATTTATGTTCCATTCCGACTCAACTTAGTTGGATTGGTTGGATTGGTAAAGCCGCAGATGGGCGAGTTGGCGATGCGAGAACGAGAACGAAAACCGAACGGATTTCGGGCGATTACCAAACGCTGCTCTGCTCATGTTTAAATTAAAGTTGCAACGATTAAATTCTGCTATTTCTAATCATAACCGCATGGAAATTTTAGAACTCAAATTGGAAATAATGCAAATCAAGAAAATTTCAATTGTATTTTGATTTTTGATTAATATCTCGTAAACTAAAAGAGATATTTAAGATCTGATCGCAGCGTCTTAATCTACGGACTATTCTCTATAAGAGAGGATAGTTAAAACGGAAATCTGAGAGATGAAATTTTAAGACTTAAGAAAAAAATTGCCAAGGGGGGGTGCTTGATACTTTTTTTCGACGATTTTTGAAAATTCATATCTCTTAAACTATAAGCGACAGCAACCAACAAATTACTGATTATGAAAGATTGGAAAATTCTGTATCAGATAAAAATATAAAATAATTATATTTCCAACAGTAAAAGGTAAAAAAACGCCACTAAAAGTACTAAAAAGTGACATTTTTCAATTTTTGCCCATTTTATTCAATCGCGAATATCTCGTAAACTAAAAGAGATATTTAGGATCTGATCGCAGCGTCTTAATCTACGCACTTTTCTCTATAAGATAGGACAGTTAAAATGGAAATCTGAGAGATGAAATTTTCATTCTTAAGAAAAAATTGCCAAGGGGGGGTGCTTGATACTTTTTTTCGACGATTTTCAATAATTCATATCTCTTAAACTAAAAGAGATAGCTACCAACGAATTATTGATTATGAAAGATTGGAAAATTCTCTATCAGATAAAAATAGAAAATAATTATATTTCCAACAGTAAAAGGTAAAAAAACGCCACTAAAAGTACTAAAAAGTGACATTTTTCAATTTTTGCCCATTTTATTCAATCGCGAATATCTCGCAAACTAAAAGAGATATTTAAGATCTGATCGAAGCGTCTTAATCTACGGACTTTTCTCTATAAGATAGGACAGTTAAAACGGAAATCTGAGAGATGAAATTTTAAGACTTAAGAAAAAAATTGCCAAGGGGGGGTGCTTGATACTTTTTTTCGACGATTTACAAAAATTCATATCTCTTAAACTAAAAGAGATAGCTACCAACGAATTATTGATTATGAAAGATTGGAAAATTCTCTATCAGATAAAAATAGAAAATAATTATATTTCCAACAGTAAAAGGTAAAAAAACGCCACTAAAAGTACTAAAAAGTGACATTTTTCAATTTTTGCCCATTTTATTCAATCGCGAATATCTCGTAAACTAAAAGAGATAGAAAGGAACGAATCGCAGAGTCTTAATCTACGGACAACTCTCTATAAGATCTACAGGATACCGCTCGGTACATTCGCTCTCAATCAATCCCGTTTGTGATGCCCTCGTTTAGCCACTTGTTACTTAATATACTATTACACTTAATGCCAATTTTATAATAAATAAATTCTCCAGATAAAAATAGAAAATAATTATCATATTTTTGCCCATTTTATTCAATCGCGAATATCTGATACTATTTTCGTCTGATTCTCTCGCAGTGCAGTGTTCAGAAGGTTTTACTTCAACCGCGTGTGAACTGAACACATAATTTTTTTTGTCAATATATAAAAAAGGTTCAATTCTAAATTCGTAACTGCTGAGTTGCTAAATTAAACCACCACTCATACAAAATGTAGTACGATGTATGAGGTGGAGAGAACAACACTTGACGTTGCGCCACCCCCAATGCACTCTCGTTGTGCATTCTTCACTTTTCAACTCCACTCCACAGTGAAACGGCAAGTGTCAGCAGACAGGGGCTTAAAATAGAGCTGTGCTTTCAGCCAGCTTTCGTAATTATCAATATACGCGAGAGTGACAATTGTATGACTTGCAAATACAGGTTGCACAGAAAATATCGATAACAAATATTTCAAATTGTTATTTTAAATTGAAAGCTTTAACGGGAATTAGCGATAGCAGTGAATAAGATGAGAAGAGATAGTGGAGAAGTTTGTACATGTAGTCTACCCGCAAAAACTGGTGGGGGAAGCTACAAATTGTTCGCCGCGCGCGAGTGTGCGTACTGTGGGTACTTGTAAATATAATTAAGAGTGGCAGGAAGAGTTTGGGTCACCAGGTGTACGACCCGAACGCGGTCAGTTGCCCTTGTAGACTTTCATGATATAATTCAAATACGTAATATATAATTTCGTAATCTCTACGCCTGCACAATTTATTCCTGCAGTTACAAAACATTATAAGCATTAAAACAAAGTTTGACATGTGTCACGGTTACTTCTAGTTCAAATACTTGGCACAGTGAATATAGTCGGTTGTGCACTGTTTAGAACAATGCGAGGACCTCTCCCGTCTGCGTGCCTTTGTTTTGTGCGCTTTCAATCTCATCAACCCCTTTTGCGTCCGCACTGCCCGCAATTTATCGCCGCACACTACGCACTGCGATCACTATTATTAACTCCGAGAAGTCTAGACTGAACACTCTGAACAACGGAAACACCCAACTAAAAGTAAAAGGGTTGTATTAATCAGATGACACAATGGAATTGATTTGGGAAAGGAAAAAAAATACAGAACACAGTAAATCTTTTTGTTACGTTGTGATTATATCTAAAACGTTGCGCTTCTTGGCGATAAGAGATAAAAAAATAGTGAGGGGTAGCTGGTTGCGTGCTGGAACTCTTTCCAATTTTCGTGATCATGATCGTGACCCATATTTTAGTGATATTACTCTGTTATGTGTATATATCAATTTTTTTTCTTATCTAAACTACGAATAATTAGATTTATGCATTAAATGATAATGAAAACACTAGAGCAACACAGAGCTACAAAATTTAACCTCAAAATTAATTTTCTATGAAAATTTATAAAGAATGTGTTAGTATGCTGTGGAGCGAAACAATCATCATTTCTTTTGACCCGTTTGTTTGCGAAATGGTCGCGTCGAAAATTGCGTGCGCGAGTTTAATCTATTTCGTCTATTCGCGTGCGTCCTGCCCCCGCGCGCCGGAAATTGTCGGTCTGTCCTCCGTGTCCTCCTCTCGATACAGTGTCCAATTTATATTATTATTATTATGCAGCGTAATATCCGCCTCGCGCGCGACTCGACTGAACACTGGACGGCCATTTTTCGCGGAGTAAACGCGTTTTAAACATTTATAAAGGAAAAATTGCAGAACCGAATTAAACTGCGTAATTGAATTAGAATTTGCATGTCAAGGTTATTGCAGTTGATGTGCTTCAGCGTTTCAAAACGCTTTTTGAATCAAAAAAGAAGAAAAAACAGAAAAGTTGCGAGTGTGCGGAAATGATGTGAAATTTCCCGTTTGAGAGTTGAAATTGTCATCCTGGCGAGACGTTCGGCGTCGTTAAGCTCGTGCAGAGATGCAACCGCGTTAAACTTCTTAATCAGTTTTATTGCCGACAATTCCACCATCAACACCATGAGAAATGAGAACGAAGAGATTTTCCACACTCAACATGAAAAAGTGTTTAAACACACGTAATCTGCGATTTAAACACTGATAATTAATGTGACATATGACATAACATACTTTTTGTCCTCCACATCAAGTTTTGTGACAAATATTGATGGAATATTTGTTCTTATAGGATTTACTGGTGACATTATCAACACTGCTGAGAGGCTCTGTGTACGAGCGACTCCGATGGACATTTAAATTGTACGACGTGAACGGGGACGGCTGCATCAGCCGCGCCGAACTATCGGAAGTGGTGTCAGCGGTGCACGAGCTGATGGGCCGCCGCGCGCACCAGGTGGAAGACGATCGGAAGGCGCGCGAGCAGATTGATCGCGTCTTCCGGAAGCTGGACCTCAATCAGGACGGCGTCATTACAATTGAGGAGTTCATGGAGTCGTGCCTCAAGGACGACGTGATCACCAGGTCGCTGCAGATGTTTGACGCGGTGCTATGATGCGCTCACGCGCACCCCTCACCCCCGCCAGCTCATCCATCCATCATTCTCGTCGACATTCTGATTTTCGCGATGTTTACTCTTCATCAACGACCTACTCTTATGCATTCACTGTGGATTAATCTAAATCTAAACTGGATAAAGACTTAAGGACTCACTTAAGATAATTTAGTGTTTAAGAGGAGCGGAAGCAGTACAATGGCGGCGAGGACGAGTTAGTTGCTTTAATTCGACCGGACTTGTAAATTGGATACCTACTAGTCGTTTTGTTGATGCTTGTAATTTCCAAAGATAAATGTGTAAGTGTACAAGTATACACGCATTTTCAGTTTGGAGTTTACAGTTTGATATTTACATTTATTTTGGTTATTTTTAAAACTTTAATCAAGAAACATCCAAAATTTCTATAAAAATTTGTTTCTACGCCTAAAAATGTGATTTTTTAAAGAGTTTTGTTGTAAATTTGTAAATCAAACTATAAACTCTTACGTAAGCGTTAAATATTCGAGTGATAGTTTTAAGTTTTAAGTTTTTATGAGGTACGTGTTAACAAAACAGCCAAATAACTGATTAATCTAAGAAACTTTCACTTTGGAACCTTAAGAAAATCATCCAGTTATATGAAATATATTTTCCTATCACGTTTATTTGCTTGATTCGCTTGAAATAAAAGCAAAAACAACTGAAAATGTATTTAGCACGTAACTTTCGATCAATAGTGAGACTTTTGTACAATTTTTCTTGGAATTTATTAACAATTAACAAAAAACGCTAAAACTTGCCACCGCGTCCATACAAAATTTACTCATGAAATCACTGAAATGCATTTATATTATTACGCGACACAGAAAAAAGCAAACACAGTGAAACCAGAAGCCTTTCCCATTGACTATTCGTACTCGTTGAGCATGTACAGGGTGTGTATACAAAGGTTATAACTTGGTTGAATATTTTAATAACTTATACTCTTCACACTGAAAGTCCTTCCTCACTGTAACGAAGAACACCCTGTATGTTTGCCATCGTCCATTAGCGCGGCTTGAGACACAGGCACCAAAGACGTTTAAGATTTAAATAAATAAAACTTTAAATATATTGAACTCGTAAAGCGTAATTTTACTAAAAACCAAAATAAACCAAACAAACACGTAATTTTACGGATAAAATCTGTATGTTTAGCTTTAAATGCAGGGTAATAACACGAGACGAAAAAAAAAACAATTAATTAAACAATACATTAAGTCTGGCAAAGATATTGATGGACAATGAAATGATATCCACAACAAATATACTGTGGTCAGCAATATTGACGATGTACAATGGCAGAGAAGTTATATCACTAAGAGTGTATAACTCTTTTTGACATACTTCTTTTATTTATTATGTTTTTTGGTTAAAAATTAAATTTTTATTCATGCGAGGTTTAACCTTATGAGAGGAATATGTATAGTTATGGCGTACTTGGGTTAGAAAAGCAATAATTCAACAAAAACAGCCAAAACCTCTTCCATAAAACAAGAAATGTTTAGCGAAAACAAATGTAATTCCATATTATTGTCAATTGTGTTTGAATTGAAGATGTTTGAACGTTGAATGACAATCGAAAAGTGCAAATATTGAACACAAACGAAACGAAAAACAAACAAAAGAACGATTCAGACATGGTGCAGCAACCGTAGTGATGTGAGCAACCCTCTCTTAACTTACCCTGACATAGATACACGTGTTGTCGAGGTGAACGAAGAAGTACATGTTGTGTAATTCATCGTTTCGTATCGCTCTCTATCTCTGGTTTGACGAAATTCTTAATTATTCCTCTTCATGTAGCATGTAATGTTAGCGGATGACGCAGTGAAAATACTTATGACTTATGAATAGATAAATTAATATACATATAAATTTGTAATTGTGACATTATTGAGTATACATGTAGATTCTGATCGATGCCGAATGTTAGAAAATTTGAGTGGAGCGTACAACACATTTAAAATTTTTAAAAATTACAAAACATACAGAAACAGATAGTTGTTGATTGATTGAGTGATTGGTCGAGATATGTGAATATACGATTCGATTATTGAATTATAAGCTAAATGAGGTTTAATTATTATACTATATGATTATATTGATTATTATTCATTATTATTGTTATTTATCTTTAATTATGAATAAATTGTTATACGGTGTCAATAAAATTCAGTGTTTTACTTAAATGCTGTATTTATTTGTCTATTGCACCTTCTGCATTACTACATTGAAAGTATCAGTGTTTATAAACAAACAAGTTTTCTTATCTCTTGCAATTTTTGTGCTATCGCCACGCGGTTGGCTTGCGTACCACGTCAGTCTCATTTTGGTCGTCGGGTGACCTGCACGCACATTTTCTTCACAATAATTGGAGATCGTTAATTTCTCCTCGCGTAGTTACCTAATATTTTTAAATGCTTCTTCGATTGTGCGCGAGTGATGTGCGGCGTTCGTTAAAGGCGGATTGTACATACACGGAGGTAAAACGTGAGTGATGTTCCGTCGGCCGTCGAATACTCTTTTTGTATTATACGCGTATTTCATCGTTTTAACAATGTGCATAGTGAAGGTACTTACAATTTAGTGGTTATGACAAAAGCGCAAAAATTTATTTTGCATCAAGGTATGTTCTCACATTTCTTAACCCATATGAAAATTAAATAAAATCAAATTTGCATTACGTATTTGACACATTGTTTCGCTTTCGTTTCGTGTAAAATTTAAAAGATTAAGATTGTCGCGTGCCGTCGGCTGCGTTCCTGATCCGGGCTGGTCGCTAGTTGTTTTACACGATTTAAAATAAAATTCTGCTTTGTGCTTTATTGTTGTAGTAATTAACCTATCACTTTTCCTAGATAATACAATTTCATCTTAAATGTTCTATTTATATATTTTGTCACTCTTTCACTTTTCTTTGATTTCCAATGCAAACATTTTGATTTTTTTAAATTCCTAATGGTTTTCTTCTTATATTATTTTGTTATTGTTGCTGCATTGTAGTTTTTTTCGTATAACACGCGAACGCGGGGTTAAAATTAGTTAGAATTAATATTCCTAGATGGAGAATTTAATTTTGTATCTCCCTGTATAGAAAGTTATTGCGAGAAAATTCCGTAACGCGAGTTATATTGCAAGTTGTGTGTGTGTGCCGTAGTTCTCGTTGCGCTAGGAATTATAGTTTTTTTTCGTATAACACATGAACGCGGTGTTACATTTATTTCTAAATAATATTACTTGATGGTGAATTTAATTCTGTATCTCTCTGTATAGAAATTTATTGCGAGAAAATTCCGTAACGCGAGTTATATTGAAAGTTGTGTGTATGTGCCGTAGTACTCGTTGCGCTAGGAATTGTAGTTTTTTTAGTATAACACGCAAACGCGGTGTTACAAATAGTTCGAAATAATTTTCTTATATGGAAAATTTAATTCTGTATCTCATTGTATAGAAATTTATTGAGAGAAAATTTCGTAACGCGAGTTATATTGAAAGTTGTGTGTGTGCGCCGTAGTACTCGTTGCGCTAGGAATTGTAGTTTTTTAGTATAACACGCGAACGAGGTGTTACAAATAGTTAGAAACAATTTTTCTAGATGGAGAATTTAATTCTGTATCTCCCTGTATAGAAATATATTGCAGGAAAATTCCGTAACGCGAGTTATATTGAGTGTTGTGTGTGTGCGCCGTAGTACTCGTTGCGCTAGAAATTGTAGTTTTTTTCGTATAACACACGAACGCGGTGTTACATTTATTTCGACATAATTTTACTAGATGGTGAATTAAATTCTGTATTTCCCTGTATAGAAATTTATTGCGAGAAAATTCTGTAACGCGACTTATATTGAAAATTGGGTGTGTGCGCCGTAGTACTCGTTGCGCTAGGAATTGTAGTTTTTTTAGTATAACACGCGAACGCGGTGTTACAATTAGTTACAAATAATGTTCCTAGATGGGGAATTTAAATCTGTATCTTCGCGTATAGAAATTTATTGCAAGAAAATTCCGTAACGGGAGTTATCTTGAAAGTTATGTATGTATATTAAGAATTTGAAATCCGTTCTTGTCGTTGCGGTAGAAGTGACTCGTGTTCAGGGCACCGTACGAAGGTAGCGGTAGAAGTGACTCGTGTTCAGGGCACCATACAAAGGTAGCGGTAGAAGTGACTCGTGTTCAGGGCACCGTACGAAGGTAGCGCTAGAAGTGACTCGTGTTCAGGGCACCGTTCGAAGGTAGCGGTAGTGAGTCGTGTTCATGAAATATAAAATATAAATTGTGCTATTCGGAATGGAAAAAAAAACTGGGATAAAAGAGCCGTATCGCCTCTAGTATTTTTTAGTTATGAATTAATTTCACTTCTTATTTTTCCGATTCTAATACTTTCGATTATAGTACTTTATTTTATAGAGAATATTTAAATTAGTAGCGATGTTGTCAATAATTTAATTAACTAACGTATACAGTAAACTTATACGAAGACCCTTAGAAGACAATAAATTATTTATTTGTATTGGTAAATTACAAATTCCTGTTTTTCCTCATCCTTATTGCATTCCAAAACCAATGTATAAGTAAGTAAAAGTAGTTTCGTGTATGTGTGTTACTTCAATATTGTGAATTTTTACTTTTCGTTTGTTTATAAACAACTTTTTTGTTGGACTGAAGTGTATTATCGCGACGTACCTGCCTTGTACCTGGCAACGCGCAGCGCACACGGCAGTCGTTTCACCGCATGGTCCGCGAGCGCGTCTCACAACTAGCCACGCGGTTTCTGACTTCAATTATTCAATTAATCGTCGTGTATTCTTTTCGTCATCAGCAAAATATTCGTAACGAGCATGTGTGGCTGCTTTGTTTGATGAGTTGTGGTGGTTAGAGTGTTCTTAAGTTACAAATAAGTGTCTGTTAATTTCTGCACGAGTTTTCAGATGATAAAATATTTTCCTGGATCTAAAATCTCTTCATCATTGTACTGGTAGGTGTACAATTTCTTTTTCGCGGAAAGTTAAGACGGTTTATATTAAATTGATTATTCCATTTGAGGGATATTAATGTTGCAAATTACAAACACGTGGTAGCATTATTTATCTGAATTCATAGGCCTGTTTCCGAAAATAACATGCATGCGCCGTCGCTTGCTTGCTGATTTGGATGTTTTCCGCCCGATGTTCTATCAATTTATGATGATGCTTGACCCGTCGGTTACCTTATGCAGTTGATGCCATCATCAAATGATAAATATATACACAATAAATTAAAATGTAAGTGTTTTATTCTTGTAGCACCTTTTTTACACAACTTTTTCGATGATTTTCGGGTAAAATCTTTGAATTTATGTTAAAATACAGTTGTTTCGGTATAAATTTCTCTCGTCATGATGTGAATATTGACCATATTTATAGTTTTTAAAATTTTCCTTTTGTTACACCCTGTATATTAGTTTTTGCTAACAGTACGTTGTAAATCGCTTTTATTTGTGAGTTTTGAGTGTCCTTTGTTTTAAACTTGGGATTTTCCTTCTGGAACACCCTGTATGTTCGCTTTTCTTTGTGTCCATAAAAATTTTCCTTCGACTGCGGTTCTAGGGCTTCTTTTTTGCACTCTACTTTTTTTGTAACACCCTGTTTATTAATTTTAGTGTTTATATGTTTTCCTCTTTGATGGTTGAATTTTCTAATTGTGACACCTTGTATAATCCTTTTCCTGCACATCCCTGAAAATTTAGCTTTGATTGTTATTAAAATTTAACTTCTTGCACTTTGAATTTTCTTTTTGTATCGCCCTGTATATTTGTTTCCCAGAGTAACGGAGAAAAACGAGTGATATTTGAGTGTTTATATGTTTTCCTGTATGCACATAAAAATTTTCTTTTGTGACACCCTGTATATTTGTTTCCATTCTCAATCACCTAGAAAATGGACAATTTGCTAATTTCTTTATCCCGGTAGAACATTTTGATGTGATACTTGCTTATATGTGCGCGACGACGCAGGTCGTAAGTTCTGTTTCAATATGGCGGCATGTATTCGGTTGACTTGTAAAATATAAACTTGTATTCTATTGTTAATAAATAAATAGTAAGATATATTGACTTCTTTGATTTGTGTGTTCGCCTTCTATCATTTCAGGAACAGGTCTCTAAGAGCGTTCCCTCTCTCAGCGGATGATCACCACTATAAAAATTGTTAAGGTATCCTGTATGACTTGTGTACTCCTTCTCTCATTTCAGGTACAGGTCAGAACTTGTAAAAATATTTATAAGTGTCTCTTGAGACGACTTAAAACTTAGAAATATTTGAACAAGATCTTATAAGGAATGTCCTTATAAGGAGTTCTCCCACTCGGGGGATGATCCCCCACCATAAAAATTGTTGATATGCCTGATAATTTCGGGGATGAAGCGCAGAGACATCGTAGCTGTAGGTTGGGCCGGGAGCAATGGACGGACCGAAACAGTGGCGACCGTGGACTGTCTTATAACGACACGTGCCAAAAAATTTAAAAATCTGGATCCTCCCCTGTTCTCTTTCTTCTATCACCTCCTCTTCTCTACTCTACTCTCTGTTCTCTTCCTTCTACCGTCTCCAATTCTCTACTACTTGCTTGCTTTCTTATTTATTCTCATATTGCCTTCACTTGTATTTCAATTTCTCTTATATTTCGTTGCAATTCATATATGCAACCCAAATTACACCAGATATTTTTATATTTGAGAAAAATGCCTTCTACACCTGAGATTCGATCCGTGCCTGCTAGCATGTCAGCAGGTGCACGTCTCCACTCGACCACCGAGTGTTTTTATTGTTGTTATTTGATTCTTCTATTTATGTTTCTACTTTTATCATATTTTAAAAACAACAACACAATTCAAGAAACAGTTAGTTATCTTATACCCGCTGCTCACACATAAGACTTATATGCCATATTATTTAAAACTGAAAACGACAAAGAGGGTACCAAAATAAATAAGCGTTCAAGTATAATATTAAATTGTCTTTTATTGAATCCCATACAATCCAGAAAGTACTTTGTAATTTTTTTCTCTTAACGTGTGATGAAACAATTTTCTATAGTTGTGTAACTTCGGTATCATTAACAAGTTACAGCAAATGGTTTCACTACACCATAAATAAAAACAAATACATATCAAAACTAATGAATACGTTAGTTTTAACTTACATTGACGTCACTCACTTAAGTGTTCTTCCGTTAACAACAGACATTTCACATTTGTAAGAATTGATACTTATTTTAACAAATTAACCGTTGAATAAATAAATAATAATACCAATTCAATCGACATATTAGCAAGCGGACAGTATCCGACGGCGGCCACAAATTTTAGAGAAATCACTCAATATCTGATTCTATGCGCGACAATTCAATAATTGTAAGCCACACTCGCTGAAATTCATTGTCGACCATACCACTATCATATTAACATCTCAAGAAACGCGTTTAATAACTATGCAGATAAACTCACGAACAAAACACGTGCTCACGACACCACCGCGCACGACCGACTAAGTAGGAAAGAGAATTGCTAGCAGGCGTAAACATCTAGTTGCCAACCGCGTGGCGATCGCACACAATTTGCAAGCGATAAGAAATTATGTTTGTTTGTAAACACTGACACTTTCAGTGTGGTAGTGCAGTACATTAGAATTGTATTCGTACTATGCATGGAACTAATAATTTCGATTAATATTTAAATGGGAAACCTAATAGATAATTTAATTATACATCGATTATTTTAACTTTTTTTGATAACATTAACCGTTTATACCCTTTACAATTTTAGAGAAAAATGCATTCGTTTTTCGTAGAACTTTTTGTTTCTTGTTCTTCGACCCTGTTCTTCGACCGAAACACATTTTAACAAAATAGTTCGACCCTGTTTTTTGACCGAAAAATATTTTAAGTAAAAAAATTCGACCCTGTTTTTCAATCGAAAAAATTTAAACAAAAAAAATCGACTGAAAAAAATTTAAGAAAAATAAATCGACCAAAAAAATTTTAACAAAATAATTCGACCGGAAAAATGCTTACAAAAATATTCGACCCAAAAAATGTTTACACAAAAATTCGATCGAAAAATGTAAGTAAAAAAGTTCGACCCTGTTTTTCGACCGAAAAAATTTTAACAAAAAAATTCGACTGAAAAAATTTTAAGAAAAATAAATCGACTGAAAAAATTTTAACAAAATAATTCGACCGAAAAAAAGTTTACAAAAATATTCGACCGAAAAAATTTTTACACAAAAATTCGACCGAAAAATTTTAAGTCAAAAAGTTCGACCGATTTTCGACTGAAAAATTTTAATAAAAAAGTTCGACCCTGTGTTTCAACCAAAAAATTTTAAGTAAAAAAGTTCGACCCTGTTTTTCGACTGAAAAATTTTTTAATAAAAAAGTTCGACCCTGTGTTTCGACCAAAAAATTTTAAGTAAAAAAGTTCGACCCTGTTATTCGACCAAAAATGAAAATTAATGGTTGCAATATTCGAAGGCTATTTTAAGACACTTTCAAAGGGTTTATAGTGTTAAAAAGGTATGCATAGCGTTGAGGGTCTCTTAAATTATAACATGAGGTTGAGAAACTTCAAGAAAATCAATTAGTTCAGAAGATACAGGTCGTTTTCCACACAATGTTTTCAAATTTTCATAAAATTGCCAACTTTGGAAGGTAATTTTACGGCACTTACAATCGGTCTAGAGGGTTGAAATAAAATGCATCGTAAAAAGGGTCTCTTGGACTATAATATGGCGTCAAAAAATTTGAAGAAAGTATATTAGTTCAGGAGATACAGGGTGTTTTCTACACCCTGTTTTCAAATTTTTATAAAATTGCTAACTTTTAAAAACCATTTTATGGCACTTCCAAAAGATTTAAAGGGTTGATATGGAATGCATCGTAAAAAGGGGCTCTTGGACTATAATATAGCGTCAAAAAATTTGAAGAAAATAAATTAGCGCAGGAGATACAGGGCGTTTTCCACAAAATGTTTTCAAATTTTTATAAAATTGCTAACTTTCGAAAAATATTTTATGGCACTTCCAAATGGTTTAGAGGGTTGATATAGAATGCATCGTAAAAAGAGTCTCTTGGACTATAATATGGCGCCAAGAAACTGGGAGAAAGTATATTAATTCAGGAGATACAGGGTGTTTTCTACACCATGTTTTCAAATTTTCATAAAATTGCCAACTATTAAAAGGCGTTTTAGGGCACTTCCAAACGGTCTAGAAAGTTGAAATTAAATGCACTGTACAAATGGTATCTTGGACTATAATAGCGCAGAGAATTATTTTGAACACTTAAAGGGAAGCAGGGTTATCAGAGTTTCTAGCTAGTATCTATATTATGCTATAATGCAGGTAAATATACATAGACACGAGAATATTTAGCGATATTGATTTTATTCGGTAAATTGAGCTGACTCCAGTAATGAATTGTTGAGGTACTTACGTGATTAAACTCCATAATTATCGTCGAATGAAAGAATAAACCTTAACGGTTTCACAAAACTTATTACACATGTTGTGGCACACTGTGTGTAATATGATCGTCCACCAAAGTTTAACAATCAGCTGATCGGCAATGTTGCCAGCTGAAGATTTGAGAAGATTTAGAACAAGGCTGGCCAATGGATTTTCCTGGAGGGCCAATTTTTTTAGAATGCGGCAGCACCGGGCCACAGACTATGGCCATTCATACATAAAATATTATACATATACAAAAGTTCCAACTTTGGTTTGTGCGGCGGGCAAATTCAAATGACCTGCCGGGCCACCCCGTGGCCCGCGGGCCTGGGATTGGCCAGCCATGATTTAGAATATAAGTTCAAATACAAAATCCTCAACGTGGTAAGTAATGTGCAAGTCAAAAAAATAGCGTAAGCATCACGTGGCTTAACATTGTTAAACACTCGATTGATTAAACGCTCGCTACGCTTTCTCTCAACCAATCTAGTGCCAAAAACTCCCGTTTAGCCAACTTGATGCTTAGTATGCTATAAATTAATCAAAATTGCATTTAAGATTAAAGAAATATAGAAAATGTATGTTTTACAAATCAATTACCAACGAATAAAGTGTTTTATGATATTTTTTGTTTTAAAATTTTAAATTAAATTCTTCTGGCTGTGGTTGTCATCGATCCTTGTCCCTCAGGACTTAGTCACATACTAGTGGCAGAGAAGCGTATTAAAGGACAATAAATTACATTCATGTGTAAACGCGTCCGCAATAGTTCGAGCTTCATTAACCCGACACGCACTGCAATTTCACACGTGTTCGCACGAATGCATCCCCACAGCGTATGGACGCGCGACTATTCTGCTATACGCACCCTCTGGGAATTGACCTGAAATGCAGATAATACCGAATAACATCCCTACAATCCAACGGGCAGGCTGTTCAACATGTTCAGTTATGCGATGTTAACATGCAAATCAAAACTGTGAAACTGGCATCAAAATAGGAATGGCGGAAAGCACAGAGCAACTGGGATCTGTCATCATCAGTCTTGTACGTCTTTTACAATTAGTAATAATGATATTACTATTTTAATTGTTGAAATTGTTAAAAAGAAACAGGGGATGTTAATCTCGGAAATTACGTCAATCTAAACTTTGAAATTTAATGGAACAGTACATCCGGTCAAGATTAAGTGGAGTTTTTATTTTTGATGTGGTTTAATTTAATGAATTTTGAATAAAACGCATAAAACTGTTTTTGATTATTTAAATAAATTGATTTTGATTTTCTCTCAAATGTTCCGCCAAATCGGTGGCGCCACTGTCGCAAGGTCACTTCGCGTTCGGCTGTTGCCGACACTTTCTATTCGGCAATGGCGTGCGAATCGGAAAACATTCGTGTTTGTGGTTAGTTTTACATTTCTTGCAAAATCAAGATAATTCCGCAAGAAAGCACCAATTATTTGCATTCCCTAAGCTGGATAGTCACCCAGCCACGATGTCGAAACGTAGGCTAGACGTGCTTGACCCGTTCATCAAGAAGAAACGGTAAGTCACTTTTTTTATCACCGACGCACGTTTTCGTTTTTGAAACGTTCAAAAACGTTCATCATTATATTTTTACTTATTACAGAGAAGAACGCGGTATATCCACGGCGGTAACGACTGCACCCGTCAAGAACGCATCTCAGAATCCACTCACTGGCCTGCCTTACACCCCCAAATATCATGAGCTCTTCAGGAAGAGAATTCAACTGCCTGTGTTTGAGTACAAAACTGAATTTATGAAGCTATTGGATGAGAACCAGTGCATTGTCTTGGTGGGTGAGACTGGTTCTGGTAAGACCACACAGATTCCACAATGGTGTGTGGAGTTTTCATTAACTAAGGGCACAAAGGGTGTGTGTTGTACACAGCCCAGGAGGGTGGCAGCTATGAGTGTGGCAATGAGGGTTTCTGAGGAAATGGATGTGGCATTGGGGCAGGAAGTTGGTTATAGCATTCGTTTTGAGGACTGTTCATCACCTAAAACCGTTTTAAAGTAAGTGAACCACTCAAAAATCACGTTTTTATTGTTAAAATATGTGTAAAATTTAAAATATCCTCAGTTTTATATCAATTCATTCTTTAAAAAAATAATACTTATTTTCTTATAGATATATGACAGACGGTATGTTGCTGCGTGAGGGTATGAGCGATCCAATGTTAGATGCATACCAATGTATCCTGCTTGACGAAGCTCACGAACGTACCCTTGCCACCGACATCCTAATGGGTGTCCTCAAAGAAGTAATCAAACAGCGCAAAGATTTAAAATTGGTTATTATGTCTGCCACATTGGATGCCGGCAAGTTCCAGCAGTACTTCGACAACGCACCCTTAATGAACGTCCCCGGCCGAACTCATCCCGTCGAAATCTTCTACACCCCAGAACCAGAGCGTGATTATCTCGAAGCGGCAATCCGTACGGTGATTCAAATTCACATGTGTGAAGAGATCGCCGGTGACGTTTTACTCTTCCTCACCGGGCAGGAAGAGATTGAAGTTGCATGCAAACGCATAAAGCGAGAAATTGATAATTTAGGACCGGATGTCGGCGAATTGAAATGCATCCCTTTGTATTCCACGCTGCCTCCTAGTTTGCAACAGCGTATCTTTGAGGAACCACCGGCAAATAAAGCCAATGGTGCCATTGGTAGAAAGATTGTTGTTTCAACCAATATTGCTGAAACATCTTTAACCATTGATGGCGTTGTATTCGTTATTGATCCAGGTTTCGCCAAGCAGAAAGTTTATAATCCGCGTATAAGAGTCGAGTCATTGCTGGTGTCGCCGATTAGTAAAGCGTCCGCACAGCAACGCGCTGGACGTGCTGGACGTACACGTCCAGGAAAATGTTTCCGTTTGTATACAGAGAAGGCGTACAAACACGAAATGCAGGATAATACATACGCGGAGATTCTACGTTCGAATTTGGGTTCGGTGGTGTTGCAATTAAAAAATTGGGTATCGATGATTTGGTCCACTTTGATTTCATGGATCCGCCGGCGCCCGAAACACTGATGAGAGCACTGGAGTTGTTGAATTATCTAGCTGCGCTGGATGACGATGGAAACTTGACTGATTTGGGTGCGGTGATGGCCGAATTTCCGCTGGATCCTCAATTGGCGAAAATGTTGATTGCCAGTTGCAACCACAATTGTTCCAATGAAATCTTATCTATAACGGCCATGTTGTCAGGTATACCTTTTGTTTATTTTCATTTGTTTTTATTGGGTTATGACTTTGTTGAAAGAGGGAATCTGAGGATTGTTTCTTTAAAAATGTTAAGAACGTGATAAACTGAAAACCAACAACACAAAACAAACACAATTATATTATATTTAATTTTGTTGTATGTGAGTTAATGAAATGATTGCAATTATTGTGTTGGTTATTATTGTGTTGTTGGTTGTGTACGTGCCTCGCACGTTCTGACTAAGGATAGCTCTATAGGAATTGCTTGAGTGCGGCTATCTATATTGGTTGGATACGGGCCGAATTTTGCGCCCTGCTCCAATGTTTAGTCCCACAGTGTTTCTTGCGCCCCAACGAAGCGAAGAAGGCAGCCGACGACGCCAAGATGCGCTTCGCCCACATTGACGGCGATCATCTCACGCTACTCAATGTGTACCATGCCTTCAAACAAAGTAAGTTTATTAAACTCAAATACTGTATTATTTTTCTGTATGCACATGCAATATTTAATCAACATTAACAACATAATCTTTATTTTACGATTAAAATACTAGGAAATGTTTAAGTTTTAAAGAGTTTATATGTAAATGAATATTAAATATTTAGATATGGAGGATCCTCAATGGTGTTACGATAATTTCGTAAATTATCGTTCTTTGAAGTCCGCTGACAACGTTCGACAACAATTGTCGCGTATCATGGATCGTTTCAACCTGAAACGCACGTCCACGGACTTCACCAGCAAAGATTACTACTTGAACATACGCAAAGCATTGGTAAATGGGTTCTTTATGCAAGTTGCACATTTAGAACGTACCGGGCATTATCTAACAATAAAAGACAACCAAGTAGTACAACTTCATCCATCTACGTGTCTGGACCACAAACCTGAGTGGGTGATTTACAATGAGTTTGTTTTGACGACCAAGAACTATATCAGAACTGTCACGGACATCAAACGTAAGTTAAACTTGTTGCGAAATGTGACTTTTCTACTAAATTTTGTGTTTTATTGTTTGCAGCTGATTGGTTATTGAAAATTGCACCACAATACTATGATCTTGCGAATTTTCCTCAGTGCGAGGCCAAGCGACAGCTGGAAATCCTGCAAACGCGCCTGGAGTCGAAGCAGTTCCAACAGGGTTTTTAATTTTGCTGCTTTTTTTCTCTCGTTGAATGGAGTATATACGACTATGTGAATGCCGTGTAAAATAGTTCTCTTCTTCCCTTTAATCAAGTAATTACTTAATTATACTGACACCAACATTTATTTGTGTGTTGCATTCCAAACAAAGAATAAACACAGTGAAGAATAATAATAAAAGCAAATTTGCTTTACATTTAGAATGATAAGTATTTAGTTTTCCATTTTTTGGAGTTTGCGTATTTACACGAAATGGTCACATGTATTCTTTGATACATACCTAATGATATACCATTTTCGTCTTATACCCTGCGATATTTATTCTTCTTGCGTTCGCATTTCCTCAATTTTTATTCGTTAAAGTTGGGAAAATTTTGTTTAGTTGTATTGTTTTTATTTTCACAAATACATACGAGAATAGTAAACATACAATAAATTTACTACTGTTTTCATACATAGTCAATTCCGATTGCTTCGGAAATCATTCTTTAGATGCTTTTTATTACTTCATATGCAATTTGTCGAGCAATTTCACTTTGATAACGTTGTGCATTTCTGTCATCAGTCATAAACGCGTGATAATCTAAAAGTTAAAGTTTAGTTTGTTGTTTTAATCTGCATTCTATCATACTCAGAGTGCCAATTAGATACTGCTTCATTCTGAGTACAAGGAAAAGTGTTAATAGCAGAAAAACACCCATGATAAACAAAAACAGAGTGCCGCCGAACTGTAAAACAATAGGATATATAATGAATTGTTAAGGTTTATAAATCATAAAATACTTACAAAAGTGTATTGCAAGTGTTCACAGAACAAACTCCGAGTGAAAGCGTAGTATGCGGGCAGCATATCACATTTCCCAACATTCCTTTGTAGTGTTTTATTGATAAATGATTTCATTTCAAACAGTTCATTGTTAATAATGTGGGAATATTCCCTGAAAAACAAATCCATTGATGTGTCTGCTAATGATTTTAGTTTTTCATCAAGTGGTAGACTTAATATCTGCAGTAATTCCATATTTTCCTATAGAGACAACCAATTTTTAATATGATTCAACAAATAATTGATAATTACACAAATTCTCTTTCTAAGCAATTCATTATTCGAATATCTGGTAAACTAAAGGAGATAAAACGGAACGAATCGCAGAGTCTTAATCTACAGAAAATTCTGTATAAAATAAGCTGGTTAAATTGGAAATTTAAGAGATGAGAATGTAATTCATAAGAAAAAATGGGCTAATTTATTTCCACGCTTTTTGACAGTGAATATCTTCTAAATTAATATAGATAGCAACCAGAAAAATATAGATTCTGCAAGATTGGAAAATTCTCTATCAGATGGATATTTAAAATAATTTAATTTAATGTGGCAAAAGGTCTAAAACCGCGACTGAAAGTGCTCAAAATTGCAATATTTCAATTTTTGATGGGATCTTAGACTATCAGTTTTTGAGTTATCTTAAAGATTTTATTTAAACCAAGGTTGTTTTTAAATTTATTGCATTAATTTGCCGTGAGATGTCGGTAAATACACGATTTCAAGCATAATATTTATTTGCTGAGTCATTGAAATGACTAGAATGTGTTATTGCATTATATTTCCACGAACATCCAGACACACTTTCGTTATCGCCGCATACAAGTCAACAAAAACTAGTCGTCACTGTCGATACAATGAACCGCGTTTAATTTTATCCTTCCATGACGCGCAATCGACATCGCCATGCACGAACAAAGCGACAAACACACATCATCATAATACAAATATATACAAACAAACATTTCTACATTTCTAATCGCATTTGCATTTCACCACATTACACCATTGCTTCTTTTCGTAAATTTATTTGCAATTGATGCAATTAATACAATAGACAAACATGCGTTTGTTGCATGGTAGAATTTTAATCGTTTACTGGAAATAATTGATTTCCAGTTGAGGTAGAAACCTTGAAACTAGGCGAAATAAATCAAACTCGATTATTCGGAATGATTAAAAATATGTACGCAATGTGAACAACATTGTAAGTAATTATTATAATCTGTCATACACTTGTTACTGAGGTAACCGGACGATTTGACATGTAATCGATAATCTCGCTCGTTATTTTTGGCACGTTTAGATAATCTCACTCTCGCTCTTGACACGCGATTAATTAATTAGAAAATAATGCATATCACCTGAATGTGCTTCAACGACCATAATAATACCATATTATCATAGTTGTCACCCATGACTTGTTCAAATACTGTTAAATTATGTTGTTTTTTTAATAGTTTGCAATAGTTTTTGATTTTCGTTGCGTTAATGACGTCTGTCTCCTTAATTTGCACTTTCAAGTGCGATGTAACTAATTGTATCAAGTTATCGATTATATTCATTGTATTTTTATATTCGGAGATATGCCGACCGCCATTTTGAAATGACACTTGTCCAAGAACAGTCTTGGTTTGTTGGCTGAGTTGTTGATAATTTAAGTTGCATTTTAAGTTGAAGTATTTCTGGAATATTAACTGAAAAGGAAATAATATGTAAAGGAAATGATGATGTGGCTGTGTTTCATCACGTTGATGTTTTGTTTTTACTGCTATCATTGTTTGCTTGCGTTGCGTTTTGCATTAACGCGCAAAACAAAACAACTACGCGCTTGTAACTCACATCGTCTAATTTTAAAGTCGCAAAAATCGCGTTGTCTTGACACTCGTCCAATAAATTGGCAACTGTTAGGTTTTCAGGTACAATATATGCAACCCATGGATCTGGGGAACTTGATTGAATAGATTCTATAATTCCTGATTCTTTTATGTTATAATCTAACCATGTTTGACCATTCCAGTGCTAAAAATGATGAATAATGATGTAAAATGTTGAAATTTTTGCTTAAACGACATTGATGAGTGCAATTTGCATAAAAAAAACAAAAATTGCCATCAAATTAGGTTATGACCTTTTAAAAGACCTTGACATCACGTTACAACTCACTGCTACTCACACTACAACCACTTAAAGGTTAATGTCAACGCTTGATTGCATTACAATGAAGTTCTGGCGAAAGAAAAATGAGGATATCATTAACAATTCATTCATTTCTTACAATGAAATTAAATTAAATCATATTTTAGTGTAGATTTGATTTAAAAAATGTAGTGTAACATTTTAATCATGAAAATCCACTTGGTAACAATATACGACTAATCCAAAATAAAATCAGAAACAAATTAACCTCTTAATTAAATGATTAGGGATTATCATCCACTTTTCTTCCGTCAAAATTAATCTAATTGCTAAATCAAATCAATAAATATAATACACGTCTACGTTCTAGATGCGAGGTCAAAGTGTCGATAGATTAAACAAATCATTACTTGAATGCAATAACATTTGCAATGTGTTTACTTACGTCTGAGTTCGGCTGGTCGAGATAATGAACAAGTAAATCGTTTTTCGCTATGTGACAAGAAACTGCCATTGCGTAGAATATTACGTAGAATATCAATGCCCACATGAATATTATCCACATGACGAGTGAGGTAGCAATCAATAAAATCTAAAAATAAAAAATTTAATTTTCTAAACAAAAATAATGTAAAAAATGTAAATATTTTACGTTTAAAAGTCGAACTGTGGGACCTATTGGGCGTGTAGAGGTTTCTGATTTAAATTGTGACTTAATTGTTGTTGACATTTCATACAAACCAACAATACAAGACAAAAACAACCAAATTAAGAAGCCAATACAAATTATAGATGGTAATATGATTAATATAAACCAAATATTAATTTTTAACCATTCATAGCTAAAATTAAGCAAAAAAAAAATTAAAAACATGTTTTTATACAAAAAATAATTAAAAAGTACCTAGTATAAATAATACCACTGCGAATAAACTTTTGAACACGCAAAAATGCATTTTGTATCGTGTTTAATCCATCAGCAAATTTTTTTGTGTATTTTGTAAGTTGCCGAGTTTTACGAGTGATTAACTTAGCTCGTTGCCATTCGTCTTCTTGAAATTGCAATTCATCAGTCTCATTGTATGATTTTTTAATTTCTATTAAAAAGTTTTCCAAAACTTTACCAGGCAATGATTGTTCTAAACTTTTCTGTAACTTTTCCTTAGAAATCTGCAAACACAAACATGGAAACATAGAAATATTCTTGCTTATGTTATTTTACATTGGTCTACATACAGTGACGTTATCAACATAAGATTGATAGTTTATCTTGGTAGCCTCATATTGTTCCTTTTCTGTTAATAGCTTATTACTGTCAAACAGTGCACAACTACTGCTGATAACGCGGTGCATTGCGTTAAACTCTTCGAAATCAACGCTTTCTTTGTCACTTATTAACTGACCTATAATAATATTACATTATTTCATCCATTGGAATATTTTAATTATAAATTTAGTTAAATATCTACTTGGATTTGTTAGTAATGCCATTGATTCTTTTGATTTTTTCATGTAGATATCATATTCGTTTCCCAAACATTTTTCTATAAATTTAACCTGTTCGTCTGGTAATTCATGAATTTTCATTGTTAGAGAGTCAATACTCATGTTTGTGTAGAAATTTAATACGTCAAGGTCATTGCTAAGGCGGTGTGTTGATGAAAGTAACTTGGCGGCCATCTTGTTACCAATCATAGGCGCGAATTGAATGGTTTTGTTTATTTCTAGCGCAATAATCCAATACAATACCAAACATATTCTACGAGATAATTTTGCATCAAGTAATTGTCACGTATTTTGTTATCTTTTCAATAAACTATGTTTCAACACATAATAATGAGTAATATATTAAAAATAAAAGAACTTACATTAACGATACGAATGATAATGATAGAATAATGGACTCAATGCCGAAATTAATCACTTTCTTTGTACCATTGATCGGCGTGATTTTCCAGAAGATACAGCAACATGGCAGAACTGTAATAATTGAGGTTATGTTGAATTTTAACAATTTTAGTAAATATTACTTACGTGTTAATGATAAAATTAACAATAGTAGTAGTATTATTAAAAATATGCAGGGGCCTGTTAATCCCAGTTTGTAATTGTTAATTTGGGCTTGTGTAGAGTCTTCGTCACCAATGTTTTTGATAAACATATCTAAAATTAATAATTATTACGTAAATAACACAGGAATATAACAGGAATAAATAATAATCAATATTTTCCTACTAGCAGTGTCTGAAATTACATCTTTGCATAATTTCATGAATGGTTTCAAGATGTTTTTAATTTGTGGCACAAAATCTTTTGAGATATTACTCCAGCATGGAGGAATGATAGTGGACATTTTATTTTTATATCTGAACTCAGAGAACTTGAAAATTTTGATTGCAATTTGAGATCTATTGCCAGATTATTCAAAAACTATATTACTGACAATTCTTTGAAATATTTGAGGAGATAATAAGTAACCATGACGTTTTTGGTGACAGAAATGTACTATTGCCTATACATTGTTATAAATCGTAAGCAAGGAAACAAACATTGTTTAAATAAATAAGTAAACAACAAAATCTGTTGCAAAATATTAGAATATTAAGTATCATGCGCAGTGGCGGATTATGCTTCAGTGGGGCCCTAGGCGCAAATCAAGTTTGGGGCCCCTAAATCCGAAAATTTTCAAAAACGGTTATTAGCCCAGTAAAATTAATAGTTTTAGCGTACGGGCGCCGCAAAGTCTACTTCAACATTCGTTTGTGCCAAAAACTCATTTCCACACCACCATGAGGTAGAGTACCTGGCGCGTTTTTTTTATCGTGGTATCCCCAGTAGGCTAATCCACACGCACTATTCCAAAATTTAATGGATTTGAAATATTTATTTATTTATAATTTTTCGTGAATATTGGATTTACAATTTATATTTGGAGTTGACATGTTTCGCCCAGAGGGCATCTTCATAAGTTTATGAAATATAAATTGTAAATCCAATATTCACGAAAAATTATAAATAAATAGGACCGATCGAAATATCACAGGTTAAATTTTCTGCCATACTATCCGCGATGGAATTATCGTTTTCAATGCTATCTTGGTTCTCGAGTTCATCGTACGTGTGCTCAAAAACGGTAATCGTATTTAAATATAAATTACAAATCTAGTTTTCTTGCCTTCTCTTGGGCAAAGATTTCAATAATTTTGTCGTACTCTAGTTTTTTAAAAATATCATTTTCTATGAACATTAATGCGAAGTCATTTAAGTGCTCTTGTGAAAGACTATTGCGCAGATAGTTTTGACTCGTTTTAAAACTGAAAATGTCCTTTCTCCACTTGCATTAGAAACGGGCAAGGTCAAAAAAATTTGCAGTATTGTGTGTATATTTGGAAAAGTTGATTTTAGACCATTTCTTAATGCTGCATACATTTCATGTGGATCTCTAATATTTTCTTCTTGTACGTATTTTAGAAAATGAGTTAACTCATCAGTGAAATATTCTGGCTCAATATCTTTTTCATACTTAGCCAATAATCGCTCTACACAATCATTAGTCTCAACACGGCTTAATTTTAAATCAAAGAAAATTTTAAAATCGTTAAAAACATTGATATAGACATCGCTCCTTAGAGTAATTTCTGATGTTAATACATCACATACAATAAAAAAATTTCTTGACGAAAATGCTGTATCATTTTTGTTCGCTTCATCATATGGATATTTGCGTTTTCTTTGTCTCATCTCTTTATAAGAATGATGAGCTGTTACGGATTTAGCCTCCTCTTCAACAGTTTCGAAATTATTTCTGACCTCTGTTATAAATTCATTTAATGATTTTAATAAACTAACACTATTAAGAATATTTGTCTTTGGTTCCTGTAAGTTTTGCTGGTAATTTCGATTCTCTGTAGGAGTTTGTTCCAGAAAATATTTAACAGTGCCTTTATAGAAGCTCTTGTTGATTATTGACTGCAGTTTTGAAAATCACCCACGCCAAATCGTCTATGCACAAAACTTCGAGAAAAAACTTTTGTAGAACTAGTGTTGTCGGGGTTGTGATTCAAGACTCACTGACCACTCTCTGTTTTTCTTTTAATCCAACTACCTACCACCCCAAAAATCTAGATAAAAATTGTAGGAGGATAAACGTTGGTACAACGTGTTCCGCAGATGTGAAAAATGATAGAAAGACGAAATAATTAATATTCCAAAAAAGAGAGCTACCCGCTATTTTACAACCTCAATGGAATATTCCTCAACTCAAAAAAATTGGCAATATACTACTCGCATTATAGCTATAACTTTCTAATGCAATATTCAAGAAAAGGTCACAAAAATTCGTGGCAGAAAATATCCAAATTTTATTTTAAACAGTTTGTCAGAAAGAAATAAAATCGGAGATAAAAGTTTTAAGTCAGCTATATATCCGTGACGGTTGCTTTGCGGACACGTGTGAAATGCCGTTTTGGGCGCAAAGCGAAAACCGATACGCTATTCATAAAGGCTGAGGTCAAAACCAACTGATGAAGTATTTGTGAAATTACTATATCTATATGGGACATATAAGTGCCAGGGGCCCTCAGGCAGCCGGGGCCCCCAGGCAGCCGGGGCCCTAGGCGCGCGCCTAGTGCGCCTAGGCCGTAATCCGCCACTGATCATGCGACTAAACGCAAGTTTTTATTTTTGTTTAACAACGTTTAAGTACTTTAGTCACGACTTTGGCCATCCGTGAATAAAGTACCACTTTTTGTGTCTCCAAACCGTGGAAAAACTGGCATTTTAAAGATAAAAGTAAAAAAAATCCAATTTTCTTCATTATAATTTATTTAATTTATATTTTTCACATATCCATCCAAATAATTTACATCTACACATCCTCATCATATAAATAATCATCAAATGTGGTTAAACCTACAGCGTAGTTAATAGAATCAGACATCTTCGTCAACACAGAAACATATCCAACCAACTGCCTCAACAATTTCGACTGCTGGAAAGCGAATTTATTCTGAATATACCAAGCCACATCCATGTCGTGCTTGTTAGGTGGTCCAGTAACAATCTCGTGAATTTCATTTGTATCAATCGCGAATTGTTTCTCAATATCAGTCGCCATAGCCATCGCTGGCAATTCATGAATATCATACGCCCCAGCAGTGTAAGCATTACCGGGACCAAATTCAACTTCACCATTACGATTTGTGATAAACTTTATGATGCGAATGGCTGTTTCCCACTTCCTGTCAGACAACTGGCCGAATAATTGGGCGAAACCAGGACGCGCATATTCATAATTATCGAAGTTTGTTTTGATTAGAAGATATTCATTGCTACGCATCAGATAATTCTTGAACAAGTCATTGAACAACGGCTCGACACATGGAAAGTTACCGTAGTTAGCATTGCAGGAAACATGTTCTACAAAATGACAGATTATTAATATTAACATGAAAATATGATTTAATTGAAGAATACTTACGAATTCCACTAGCACAATCCTGAACTACTTTATTATAACAATATCTATCAGCAAAACTACCCACAAACAATGAAACCAAAGTAAAAGCGAATAAAGTCTTCATTGTTTGTTATAAGTTTTGTAAGTTGTGTTAAATGTGTTGCCTATCTGTGTTAGGTATCCACAATAGCATTCAAAGGACTGTCGGCCATGTTTTATAGCAAACTCTACTTAAACAAAATTAATAACCATCAACATCAACTTAATTAAGCCGTACTTATACAAATAAACAATTTTAATAAGCATGTATTGTTTTTGTTAATATTATTATAGATTTACACGCGGTATAAAAGCAGATAACACTTCGAAACCCATCATACAGTTCAGCGTCATGAAGATGTCAGCCATTGTAACACTTTTTACATTTATCACCTGTTTTGTATGGGTTGCTAATGCAGATCCCAGTAATACCGACTTAAAATGTATAAGAACAAAGTGGTAACCTAACCTAAAGAATTTATAACCTAATTTTAAAACTTTTTAGGTGATTATACATTACCAGCGGTAATAACATCATGGATCCAAATGACAAATCCATGCATTAAAGGCTTACAAGCTTTGGTAACCAATAAATTCAACAATGTGTTGAATTATCTTGCATTGGCTAATTATTATCTGCAAGATTCAGTTAATAGGCCAGGATTTGCTAACCAATACATCTTAGATGCTTATCACGCTCGATCAACGGCTATTAAATTTATTGATTATTTGACTATGCGTGGGCAGAATACGCAGGGACAACTTATTAAAATCCCTGTTCAGTATATCCCACCGGTGACGAAGTGGAATTCTTTGATTGATGCAAATCAATATGTTTTGTCATTCGAAACTGTTACAACTAATTTGTACCATAGTACGATTTCTACTTGCGAGCAACAAGCTTTTGATGATTATCACGTGAGTAATTTAATACTGAATCAAAATAGGGAAATTCTATGGTTTTTTGTTGATTTTTCAGGTTAATAATTGGTTATCGCATAAATTCCTTGGAAAACAACTCGATGGAATGAAAATCTTCGCGGATAGAGTCTCTTCTTTACAGAAAATGAAACAAGATCATCAAAGTTTAGGCGAATATCTCTATGATATTGAGTTGTACTACAATCTTCCTGACAGAGATGAAGATGATTATTAAATCGCAAAAAATGTCAAAAAACACTTCAAAATTTCATGAAATGATTTGAAAAATTCATTTATTTATTATGTAATTAAATAAATTAAACGGTAATAGAAATAACTAACCTGAATCTTTATTTCTTCCCAAAGAAATTTATTTATAAAATGATGTATTGAGCAGGCTTTGAGTATAAATATATATTTGTGTCAATTTTGACGTTTAAATTACACCAATTCGTGTAAAATGCGATTTTCTTTGATAATTTTAATTTCTATGAGTTTAATTGCCACTGGTTAGTATAATTATCTCACTAACTTACTCTTTAACTTACTTATTGTGTAGTTAATAGTTTAAAATGTTATCAATGTCGTTCGGATCAAGACAAACATTGTGAGGAGATTGAAGATGCTTCGGAAAAATATCTAAAAAAATGTAAAGCACCAGAAGTTGAAGAAGATACAAATGAAGACGTTTCGGATGAAGATAAAACTGATGATGATGATGTTTCTGGTTCTAAAGATAGGCCAAAACGTCAGTCAATTACAACAGCTCGTGATACAGCGTTTAGATGTAGAAAAATCACACAAACTCGTATGGAATTTATATTTTTGCATGTGTTACAATACTTTAATATTGTTTTTTTTTAGTTTATATAACCGATCCATATGAGACTATAGTATATCGCGAGTGTACTTCAATGTTCTTCGAAAACGAGTGCAACAAATCATCGAATAAGATGTTTTATCTTGTTGTGTGCGATTGTGATGAAGATGCATGCAACAACACTCCTAGTATAAGTTTAGAAATTGATTTCAAAGTTTGGATTATTATTTGGATTATTTTTACGTTTTTTATGTTAATTTAAAGTTGGTGTTATTAAAGTTTAAAAGAAATATCGTATGCAAAAATTTATTGCGTCCTAAATTAAGCTAAACAGGTAAATGTATTTTATCTTCGTTTTATTTATTTATTTATTAAATATTTTAGGTATTTTCTTTTTACGAGTAAATTAATTATAATTTCTGTAAGTTTGAAGATGTTTTACCCAAAGGGCATTGTCAGAAACAGTTTAGAAATAATAAAAGCAAGTTCATTTCATTCGTATAATTTATTCTTGGTTTTAAGTTAAATTAAATTAATCAATACGACATTTAATCACAATATTCATCTTCAAATCCAACATCAAGTTGGAACTCTCCGTAATATCCATTGGTGACAAACACCTTCAATAGAGACGAAGTTGTATCGGCGTACCACTTCATATCATCATATTGTGTGTACAAGAACTCCTTAGTCAACCAGTTGTTCAACTAAACAAACAAACAAACAAAACATCAAAATGAATCAATCATAACCCTAAAACAAGACTACGTACATTATAATCATTGAAGGATTGATCCTCACAAACACCAATCACATTACGGAAACGATCAGTAACAACACCTTCAAGTTGCAAAGCGAATTTTAAAGCTTCCGCTACATTCGTCCATTCTGTTTGCGTCGGCGTATACTAAAAATAGGTTAAAACATAGGTTATGTTGTTAGTATACAAAATATGATGAAATTACGCTAAGTTGTAACAACGTATTGACATCTACGACGTTTTGACCTCTCATAGTTAGATAATCAATTAGTCTCTTGCAGTTTGAGCGATGATGGTTGGCTGATTCGATGAAAACATGACCGAAACCAGGTCGGCTCACATTCGTCCGGAAATGATAAGCAGCTAGTGCTAGATATTGCACTGCAGTTGCCATTTCCTGATTTAACAAATCTCGGACTTTTGTTATGCACACATCATCCATTTGGATCCAACTGGTTGGAAGGATAGGTAAATCATAATTACCTTAAATAAAAATATTATATTAATATATTAATAGTTTGTTAGATAGTCACTTACAAACTAAATCATCAGATGCCAAGATGGCAACCGGAAGTGCAAGCAAAACTATCAATTTCATGGTAAAACTCTTAAATGACAATCAAGATGAATCAATAATTGTACGCTTCGCAGCATTTATAGTCGCTGGAAAGTTGTTTTCGACAAATATGGCGCTTAATTTGTTATTTTCTTAATTTGATATTAATTTATTAATTAACACAATCTTATTTGCTTGTGACAAGCATATAATACAAGAGGTATAAAAACTTGAGGACTTGAAAACTTGGAAAGCATTTCTCTGTTGCTTCCCGAACATAAAACACAATTTAAAACAGAAAATGTTTAGAAACTTGGTGATTGTTTTATTCCTTGGTGTTGTGACTGTACAAGCTGATTTGTACTGTTACGACGATGTTAAATCAGAGTGTGCTTCAAATACATGTAAGTAATTTAATACAAAATGACAACATAACCTAACTTTAAAACTATTTTGTTAATATAGACAAACCAGTATGCTCTACAACGTTTGGCAACTTCCCGAACGTCGTAAATAAATTCCAGCAATATGCCAATACACATTTGGCACGTTCAATGCAATCATTAATGGTCGCCACGCATTTCTCTAACTATCAAATGATGCGACATGGTTTCCATTGTTTATTCTCCGACTTTTCCGATACACTTTTTGACCAATTCGTCAGTTTAATGCGTTATATGAATGATCGTGGTCTTACGCATGATTTCACCAAATGTTCTGCTCATGATGAGACTCATGGTAACTTTGAATTGTACGAATTGGAATCGTTGAGTTACATCACTGACGTCGAGAAGAAGTTAGCACAGGACGCACTTGATTTAGATTCATTGGTTGGTGGTAGTGATGCCAGGTATCATGATGCTGATGCTTCTTTCCATCTGGCGACCAAGTATGCGTATAGGCATCGCACTAATGTGAAGACATTCGCTGGTTATTACGTGAAGTTGGAGAAGATGTTGACGAGCAAGAATCAAATGTTGGCTATGTATGATTTTGATGGGTATTTGGCACGCATTTATTGTTGATTTACTGAAATTGATATCGATGTATTTAAACATATGTATTTAAATTAAATTAAAGAGAAATGAAAATTAATATTGTAGAAAATGGTTTTATTAGATTTTAAATGTCCCTTGGGCTTCGTAAGCTTCACCCCGTGGCTTTAGCTAAAGCTAAAGTACTTTAATCTTGGTTTTGGCCGTTTGTGTTTAAAATACAACTTTTTATGTCTAAAAACCGTGAAAAAATTGGCGCTTTAAAAGTAGAAGTAGAAAAAAATTAATTTTTTCTTTTAAATTTTATACCAGGTGTTACAAAACTTAATTATAATACAAAAATATATAAAATTTACAACAACACCGAGGTTGTTATAATAAAATATGGAAAATTTCTTTAAAAAATGTCACACACGTAATTTGAGAATGTTTTCATTGCAATTTAATGAAAGTATGATTCATTCATGTTAAGAATTTATATATCTTACGCAGATGGTCAAAAAACTGAATATTTGCAATTATTAATAATTCATTTCCTTGTTTGTTTACTTTAGTTAATTAATTGTTTTTGTTTATTTGTTCTTATTAAATATTAATTTTTATAGATATTTACAAGACGTATATTTGGATAAATTAATTGTTTATTATTAATTATGTTCAATATGTTCAAGTTCCCTTCATATATTCAAATAAATACAATACAATAACACAGTTTACAGCGATAATAATTCAAGGTCAGCGAAGAATTCTCCAAGATCTTGATGCTGTGCCTTCATCTTATCCAGAGAAGAAATCAAATCGGCGAAGAACTTTTGATCGCTGTATTGGTCCCCAAGGAAATAACGACTTAGCCAATTAGCAATCTATTAAATAAATACAAAAATTTTAAAAATATAACGCAGGAGACTAATTTAGAAGTAATTTGTTGCTAACTTACATTATAATCATTTATTCCTTGGCTTTCGCATGTGACAATTGTATTATGAAACTGATTGGTTAGATCTGCTTCCAGGTTAAGTGCTGATGTCACTGCGTCTTCTGCACTGTCCCATTCTTGAACAGCTGGTGTGTACTAAAATAAAATATTGTTAAAATTGTGTATGTTGGGTAGCCTGAAATAGAAAACTTACGAAAAGCTGTAGAATATTGTCTGGAGATGTGTATTCTCCTCGAAGAACAATATAATCAATCAATTCAATTGCTTGATCTCTATTTGCATCAGCATTGATATAAAATAAATCGGAAAACCCGATTCTGTTAACAGAATCTCTTGAAAAATACGCTCCCAACGCTAAATACTGCGCAGAATTTAAGAGTTTTGTGTTTATTAAAGCTGTCATGGCGTCTTGGCACTCGGGAGCCATGACAATCCAATTTGTAGGTACATCAGGGACATCATAAGTACCTTTGATGAACAAATTTTAAAACGTATTTCATTTCAGTCAATATTTCATTGTTAACTTACATTGCAGGTCGCCCAAAACAACGTTGACGGCAATAACCGAGAGCAAAACAATAATTGTATAACGCGCGGCCATTTTGAAGCACTACACTGTCATTGAGTTGCGACTTGTTTTTATACTTACCCGACTCGGCTTGAACAAATTAATTAAACTTGTTTATGTTGACAAGGAAATTAATTGTGAGATTTCCAGGTATAAAAGGACCCGGGAAGTTGTGTAGAGCACCAAAGCACCTTCAGGTTGTCAAGGGTAGAAAATAATCCTAACAATATTTGTATAAAACAGTTTAGGAAATTGTTCAACATGAAGTTGTTGTTTTTGTTGGTGTGTGTCATGGTGGTGACGATTGTTCTGGCTAGTTCACCATTGGTACAGGTCAATATTGGCACGGATACAATTGCCAATGCTCTTTGTGATGATAATAACAATAATTGTCAACAAAATCAAGGAAATGGTAATGGTGGAGGGAATACCGGTGGTACTGGTAACACTGGTAACACTGGTAATACCGGAGATTCCAGTGATTCTAGTAGTGAGGATAGTTCAAGTGACGATTCTAGTAGTGAGGACAGTTCAAGTGACGATTCTGACGATTCTGGTAACACTGGTAATGATAGCAACCCAGATAACACCGGAAACACGGGTGATACAGGCGATGATACCGGAAACACTGGTAATACAGGCGATAATACCGGAAACACTGGTAACACAGGTGACAATACCGGAAATACTGGTACCACTGGAAATGGTACTTCTTCAGCACCAGGAGGAGAATACTCTGGGGACACCTCCAACTACTGTTTCCTTGAAGTTGAAGAAACATGCAGCGCCCAACAAAGTAACTTTCTTCAATTCTTCAAAAACAATTTAAAACATACTAATTCATAATATTTTCAGATGCATTGTATTGTAAATCATCCTACGGTGACTTTGACCCAATGGCCGCCCAATTTTCACAAATGGTCCGCAATGTAATGCGCCACAGCTACGAATACCTAGCTCTCTACATCCAACACTCAAACTACCTCGTCAATCGCAAAGGTTTCGCTAAACTCTTCCGTGAACTCTCCGATTACAAATGGAACCTCGCCAAGTACACAATCAGTTACATCACCGAACGTGGTGGAGTCATGCAATTCTCCCCACCTCCACCTCCCTGTGATTGTACCTGTGAAGATAGCAGCAGTTCTGAAGAGGATTCATCTTCAGTGCACAGCATGTTGGCTGATTTGATAGATGGACCTGTTGAAGACTCAAATGGCGGTAGTAATGGAACCGGTACAACCAGTTCATCAGATCCTGGAGAATACACTGGTAATCCTGATGGATACCAACTGAGTGAAATATTAAGTCTTGCATTTTCGAATGATATTGAGAAAGAAGTTGCGATTGCAGCTGATGGTTTACATTTAATCGCTGTGGGAACAACAGGACATGATGTACAAAGTGCAATGTATCTACAGGAGACTTATGTGCAACCACACAGGGTAATTGTTGGTAATTTAGCTCGGTATGTCAATATTTTATCGCAGATGTTGACTACGATTGATCAAATGGTTGCTTTGTATCATTTCGATGACTTGCTATGGAGTTTCAGCGTTTTTGAGTAGAAGGTGTGCTTGGGTTGGTGATAATTATCTATTTATGTCAAAATAATAAGTATTTAACTGAAAATTAAAGGTGAAATTGAAAAATCCACATTTTAAGTAATATTTTGCAATATACGCGTATATAACCTCAAATTATCTCCATTTATTCTAAAATTAAGATAATTTTGAAGTTTTTGATGTGATTTTGCGAAATTTAAAGCTCGCAGACAAAAAAATACCCAAAACACTTGACGTAACTTCCTTAAATCGGTTTATTTATAATAGAAATAAAGAAAAAACACAAATTTTAGTAATATTCATCGATTACGTGTATATAACACGCACATAACCTCAAATTATCTCCACTTATACTAAAATTAAGATAATTTTGAAGTTTTTGATGTGATTTTGCGAAATTTGGAGCTCCCAGACAAAAAAAACCAAAACACTTGACGTAACTTCCCTAAATCGGTTTATTTATAATAAAAATAACGAAAAAACACAAATTTTTAGTAATATTCATCGATTACGCGTATATAACACGCACATAACCTCAAATTATCTCCACTTATACTAAAATTAAGATAATTTTGAAGTTTTTGATGTGATTTTGCAAAATTTGAAGCCCCAGACAAAAAATACCCAAAACACTTGACGTAACTTCCTTAAATCGGTTTATTTATAATAGAAATAAAGAAAAAACACAAATTTTTAGAAATCTTAGTCGATTACGCGTGAATAACACGCACATAACCTCAAATTACCTCCACTTATACTAAAATTAAGATAATTTTGAAGTTTTTGATGTGATTTGGCGAAATTTGAAGCTCCCAGACAAAAAATAACCAAAACACTTGACGTAACTTCCTTAAATCGGTTTATTTTATAATAGAAATAAAGATTACAAGTGTTCAAGTGTCCACATTGTTCTGTACAGCCATATCTCAACACAGACTGATAATAGAAATTTAATTGTATCACAAAGTACATACTCGACTTTCAACAAAAACGGGTAGTAAAACTAAATGAATATTTTTGTTATATTTAACATTTTAATGATGTTACATTTACTGTTTCTGCAAGTACTCATCGAACAAGTACAACGCCAAGGATGCATCATTGTTGCTGCTGAGTAAAGCAGTCAAATCCGTAGCGTAACCGGAAAGTCTGCGAATAGTCTCCGCTTGTTTCTCGGTGAATGCCTCTTCGATGTAGTGCGACATCTCGGAGTCGTGTACGGATTTGTTCTTGCTAAGGACCTCGTGGTGGATGGTATTCGCCTCTTTGGTGAGTTTCTTTTCGATGTCCAGAGCCTTGGCGACACTTTGCAGTTCGTAGAGTTCGTATGCACTGACTGCGTTGGGTTCAGCGCCCAGATCGTTGAATTGATCGAAGTCCATTACACCACCACGCTTGGTGATATACTCGATTAGACCAATGGCAGCGTTCCATTTCTCATCAGCGAGAGAGCGGAAGAGTTTCTCGAAACCAGGGCGGTTCATCTCGAAGTTGGCGTAGTGGGTGGCCATCATGAGATATTCATACGAGCGCGTGATGTGGGTATTGACGTAGGTCTGGAGATCCCGCAGGATGTGTTCGACGCTTTCGTCCTTGGTCATTGCACCGAAGCGCGAGTTGCAGACAGTTTTTTCTATACATGATTAAAGAAAAGACTTGTTATTTTTAGGTTGTGTGTATGAAACTACTAGTTATATTATATTACGTTGTGACAAGGAATAATTACTTAGAAACTAAAAGTTAAACATGATGCTCATACCGATAGACATGTTTTTATATCGGCCATCTTGTTTCATTCAAAACAAGCAATCTGATTGGTTGAAAGCAATAACATGTTGCAGTGTCACCGAAATATTTGTTTGCAATTGACACTCACCTTTGGTTCCCTTCGGGTTGGATTTGCTCGAGCATGCGGCGTTCACTTGAGCATAGCAGAACGGATCGTCCGCCCTGGAACTCTCGGATATGGTGTTTTCGGCCGCGGCGACCGCGACGGCGATGAGCACGCAGAATGCGACGGAAGTCTTCATGTTCATGATCCCTGCAAACAAATGCAATTGCACAACAAAACTGTATTTCAATGCGGTTGTCGGTTAGACTAGAATGGATTATAAATGCGCAGCGTGCACCTACCTAGTATCTCGCTAGCGTAATCACGAATAAGCGGACTTGTTTTGGTCACTGGAATATATAAAAACAGGAATGTCGGAGAGAGATAACTTGTTTGGCGCGCATGCGCAGTGCGTACGTCTGTTTCTACGCAGTCGAATCGGAACAAAGAGCGCAAAGTCACGCCAGATGTTTTGTAGACGCAAAGTTTTTGAAATGTCGCTCGTCGGAAACTGACTCACGACACGCGCACTATGGAATTTGTTATTTTACTCTTGCATGATACAACAATCACGTAGAATTGTGAGAGTTCTTGTACGACAAGAAACTTCTGGAGTAAACATCATCATGATTTAGTGATATGATCAACTTGTATGATCAAATAAACTTGAACAGAAATCTATACGTTATTTTTTGTAATCAGTTATTGTATGTATCGTTTGGAAAGTTTAGTTCCTGTCATCCTGGGCAGGGTTTTGTGATAAAAAAATCATTTTGTTAGATACTTGAGAGAATATGCATTGTAATTTGATATAACAAGTGATACAATAGAGTACATTTAATCCACGAATGTTGACATCCTATTTGTACTTCAATATTTTATATTTGTTAATTTTGATTGTCATGAAGTAGCCATTTTCGATGTCAAAAGTTCCGTGGATTTAATGCTATAATGTGCATCGCACTGCCATCTGTGGTCGATTCATGTAACTAATTCGGCCATTTTATGTTAAAATGCAGAAATGTACTCATTTAATGACTACAATGATAAAACTGTCAAATTAAATGACAGTTTGCCGCAGAACAATTAATTTTTAGATAATTTTGATAAATAAACAAAGTTTTTCTTTGCTCAATTGCTTATAACAGGCATTAAAAGAAAAGAATCACTTTGTTTAACCAATAAGCTGTTTTTATTGATGAATTTCTTAGAAAATAATTACAGATTTAAGCGACAAGCGCGGACGCTGTGCTGGATTCGTATTTCCAGTTTGGTGCCAAGACAGCCTTCGTTTTGTAGTATCTCGCCAAACGGTGGATCCTGGACTCGACCAGAATAAGACGGAACTTGCTGTCGCGATCCTTCCTGTTGCGCTCCAAATGCTTGCGGATGGCTACTGCCTTCTTGATAAGGTAGTACAAATCCTCGGGCAAGTCAGGCGCCAAACCCTTCGCCTTCATCAGGCGGAGGATTTTGTTGCCGGTGACGAAACGCACCTGAGCCACACCATAGGAATCCCTGAGGATGACACCAATCTGTGATGGGGTCAAACCCTTCTTGCCCAGCTTCTTGATGTGCTCGATGACTTCATCGGCGCTCAATTTAAGCCATGTGGGTACGGTGCGACGGTAGGGTAAAGCTGACTGGGCAATACCCTTTCTAAAAATTGAAGAAGTAATAAATATGTGTGCAAAACACGCGGTAGCATAACCTCAATGAGGTGTAAACAGATTTCATATGTTAATTATATATAAATATTGACTTAAAATTAGGTAAATGAATACGTGAGAGAGTGAAGAAAATATTGATAGTAGATTATATTTACCCTGGTGCGTGCATGCGACCCATTTTCGTTTATTTTCTGGAGTTGTAACGCGATCAGAAAATGCGTCAAAAAGAAGAGACGTCAGGCATGCAAGATGGCTGCCTCGAAAAAGATCGGCTGCTTCCGGTACACGAACATATACGAGCTAGATAGCGCTAGTTGAAAGTCACCTTTACAAATCAAAAAAACCATTCAGCATTCAATATCTTTAATAGAAATATCGAACAACTCCTGCATTTTATGTTTTATAATAAACTTCAATCGTATTTCAACAGCGTAAGTCACTTTGTTTTCACTTTCTTTGTGCATTGCAATAGTTGAGTTGTTTAGATACAAATCTCGCTTTAAAAGCTCCAAACTTTTGCCGATTTTAAAAGGAGCCATGTCCATTGGGCATATTAATTCAACCTGGCAGCCTAGTAGTGCTTTTGTTCAGTGTGTTGACTGAGATAAAGCTCTAATATAGAAGTATTTGATAAGTACTCGCGTTTTACAACATTGCGACAGAAATGACTCTCCATTGGATGTCTGCAATCAAATTTCGGACTTTCATTCGACGCAAACTGCATTTCTCTGTCATATTCTTCTTTTTTGCCATGCAAACCATTATATAAGTTAACCAAAGCCAGTAAATACTTTAAAATACTTGTTCGTTCCTCTTGCGTCAAGTAACGATCTTGGCAATCTTTTATAAAGTTAATATCTGGCATGTAAGTTAAGAATTTTATGTTTTCAGTGTAATAATAAGCAAAAACAGTGCATGAACACTCGTCAAAGTTGTAGATACACTTAATATCGTAGTTAATACCAGTTAAAACATCCAAAATGTCAATCACGTGTACCCCAAACGGGTAAGTTAAGTTTCCAGTGATGTTTTCGTTGTAAATATTGAAGCGTGAGATGATAGTTTGTAGTTGTAGGCAGTGTTGCAGCCAGGACAAACAATTTGTTATTTTCATCTAGAAATTTCACAAAAGTGGTTTTATTTGAGTTCAAACAGTAGTGTCTACTTTACCTGCTGTAAATGTTTTATAATATTATCCAATATTATTCCAAAAGGTGTAAAATGACATTTTGGGAACAGGAAATGTCTCCGCAAGACGTACAAAGAGTACACGTGCATTCGAAGTAGTTTTAAAGTGGTAAAAGTTTGATTCAGAGTGATTTTATGCTCCAAACTGTGATGAACTTCTTGTAGTTCAGCTTCTAACACAGTCATTTTCTTTGCCAAGATAGTTAACACTTTTTCAATACCAGATTTCATGCAGTTTATCCCAATTGAATGAAATTGTGTACACACACATCTTATTGTATCCAGTTCTTTGTATTCTAAATATTCTAAGATGTTTTCTATCAAATTATGGGGTAAATCAAGTAAGTGAATTTTCTGCAGGTCCGTGTTTGCTGAGTTTTGCATATTTTAATGAAAGTTTATTAAATGAACTTAATAATTTAGATAATTTGGAAGAGAAATGATGTTGACAGAAATTTTACGCCAAAATTTTGAATGATTTTTACTGAATAATGTTTTAGTTTTATGTGCCGCCAGTAGAGTTACACTCACACCTGATTTCAGTTATGTACAACTACAACGGCTTGTTCAATCAGCTGTTTGCTTGTGATGATTGATTCCTAGCGCAAAACATCGGTTTTAACGTCGCGATAATGGTTTATCAAGTGTTTGTTCTCCTGTTCATCCTGTAAAATGTTCTTTTTGGGGTTGATATCGTTTGTGGTCGTTTTAGCAGTTTCCATAACATGGTAAGATTTATTGTAAGGTTAATTGACAAAAATTGTTGAATCGCACCTCTGCCCTAGTTATTTAGTAATTAATTAAACATAGACGCAGTAAGATAGTATATTGATTGTTTTACACGGAGATATAGTATTAAATTCTACGTATTTAAATTTTAAATTACGTTTCATTATATTTTTCTGTACAAAAAATTTAGTTCTATGAATTCAAATGATTGTTGAAATGATTGAGCATTTCGCCTATAACTTGCTAAATTTTAATTATATTTTTGCAAAAATGAACAGACGTATATCAAATTTATTATTGTGTAGTCAATTAATCAATTGTGGCAATATTTAAACTAAATTTGTTTGTTTCAGGATAATTCCAATAATAATTTCTTTGATCCTAAGCAAAAAATTGAATGCCAGTGTGAAGATTGGACGTTTTGGCATTATTTACCTAAAGTTATATGATGTTGAATACATACAGAATGGAATCAAAGTGGTAAGAAACCCATAACCAAAGTTATATACTTGTAATTTTATTTAAATGATTGTTTACCTCTAGAATATTAAAGAAATTGGTCTCAATAGTAGTTTTTTCAATGCTGAAGTAAAAAAACTAGTTACTTTGGTAACTCAGGATGTTAGTATTAGCTACACAGTGCAAAGAAAGATAGATTATGCTGCAACACAACCTAATGCATTGGGAGAAGAAAAGAAAAAAGTTGATTTTCGTAATTCAAAGATACCAGCATCATTGCCAACATTTGCACAGGTAAAATTTAAATTTAATAAATTTTTGAGTATAAATGTTAAGAAATTATACGTATGTTTAGTTTATGGCTCTGCATGTCTACAACATATCAGCGCTCATCGTCTTTAAAGATACTTTCTACAATAGTCGCAATCAAAAAGAAGATATTCAAAATGTCTGCCTTTATGCAGACGCAAAAGAACTGCACTTGGATGGTTCAATTGTGCAAAACTCACAGTCATTGCTGGTCAATGTCAATTTATTAGAAGCGTCTGCTCGAGCACTCGATGCAAACAGTGTAAGTAGTACCGACGGTGCGAAAATTAAAGATGGCGAATCGTTGGCGGAGATTCGTTTTGCAATTACCACGGAAGCGACGTTAATCGCGCAGGGACCGCTGTCATTCGAGAAGTTATCAATCGGGATATGGAAAACAAGTGCGATTATCACCGAGGGTTTGTATAGGATGATTCAGAAGACTTCTAGTGATCATAAAACACATTTTCGAACATTGCCGGTTACAAGTAACACAGATTCAAAGCAAAAGGATGTGGATTATGAAGAGACATTCACGCGCATTGCTCCAATTATTCCTAAAGTAAGTTATTTAGGATTTTAAGATGTTAGTTATTTTAATTTAATATATTTGGTTAAAGAATTTCGTAATGCGCATAGATAATACCTCATTGCGTGGAGTGCGAAAATTTGGCCACAATGATTTTGCAGCGACTTTGAGTAATTTCCTCTGCAGTTATCGATTCTACGGTGCTACTGGAAATTCTTTAATTCCACACATGTTGGCTTCTTTTGTGATTGATGATTTGGTTGTGAGAAACAGTCGGGAACAGCTTATTCTTTTAAAGAAGATTAAATTGGATGCCAAAGTAAGTTACAAATGTTTTGTGGGTTTTAAAACATAAAATATCATTATTTTGTAGGTTGATAATTATATAGTAGATTTATATTTATTCCTAAACACGTTAAACGTTGCCTACGATCATGAGACAATTTACACATGGTTATCAACGCACTTTATGCAAAAGCGAAACATTGCCACATCGCAATTCGCCGTAACACCTCCCAAAACGCCTGAAAAGTCTCTAAACACAACTCGCAAGTTTCTGCAACCTTACATACTCAATGGATGCGCTGAACTTCTGAACGTAACTGGCCTTATCAGATTTAGCGACGATAACAACGATTACATCTCTTCAGTAGGAGTAAACCTAGTTAAGTTTATCCTGAATCAAACCGCAGATAGTACAAATGCAATATCACATGCGAAATCAGGATTTAAAAACATCACAACCATCACCGGATGTTTTGTTTGGTGATCGTGTATTCCAAACAGAATTACTAGTCGAAAGTCTCTGCTGGAGTTTTAAGGATTGTGCGCAGGATTCGCACATTTCGAAGAAGATTCACTTTTGGGGCACGCCGCTGTATTTAAACATGGCGTTGATTCATTATGAAGTAAGTTTAGATGCTGAGGAGGGGCGAGGGAAGCTTGTGAAGGTGCATAGTATTGTGGATGGGCTTCAATTGGAGTGGTCGAATACTTTGGCGGAATATACGGTGTTGGCATTGAAGGCATTCAAGCAATATGATCGTCGTGTTTCTAAAAATGTTACCAGTGGATTAAAAGTTAGTGATTGTGACAAGAAAGATGTGCGGGTTAATCTACAAGTTAATTTACATCAAGTGAATTGCTTCTTTAATTCAACTGAGAGTGAAAATGGTGAGTTTTCAAGTTTTAATCGCGTTTTTGTTTTAATTGAGAATAAGTTAAGAACACGAATCTTTAATTCTGATTTTTGATTAATTTTTGTTTAGAATATCTAGCGCTGCGTCTCGACACAATAAAATTCGACTATGAAGTTCTCAAATCATCCGAAGTTGTTTCATCACCGTCGCATGTATCAACGATCCAGCTTGAGGAAATTAAACTTTCCCTTGCAAAGATATCGCATGCGTACTACACCTGCCAGAAATGTGAAGACATCAAAGATTACAAACTCTACGCGCAAATTATCCGTGTGCAAATACAGCAGCAGCAGCAACAACTGTACAATCAACGTGACATTCATCTACATCTCCTCAATAATATTCAAATGCAATGGTGTCCGAACTCGCACCTCAAACTCTTATATTTAATTCGAGATATTCGCGAATTTATCGAATTGTTTAATCAGGAAAAAGTACGATCAAAAACCAGTACAAAAACGACGAATTTAGCGTTAGATATATTAGGAAATGTTAACATTGACATAAAAGTATCACAAAACCACAGTATTAGGTTGTCTTTTGACGAAATGACTATGAATTACTTGAGTGCCAAGTCACATGATATCTTGAACAAAGATACTCCGAAAATTACGCTCTCGAATTCACAGTTTTCAATATTTATTGATGACGCGTTGGTTTTTGCGCTAACTGGAATATTTCTTCAGCCGGTTACCGATGCAAACGTTCTGGAATTAGTCAGAGCCGAACGACTTGACACTGAGACGTTCAACACCGATTGGAATGATCCACAAATCTTAGAAATCGCTTCGTTGAAAGCAATATTTCCCTATGAGCATAGTTTTGCTGATGCAATCAATAACGACTTTGTAAGTTTAGTTAAATGGTTGAAACTAGTACATAAACCACTTGATAAAGACGATAAAGTAAAACCAATGCAGAAAAGTATATTACCGCGTGATTTATTAATCAATATCAAAGAGTTTGTGTTTGAAATGTCTGATGATCCGTTCGAAATTAAACTGCGAGATAATTTTGAGTTACTAGTTGATGAGTATCATGAGAGTTTGAAAAGGAGAAAGAAACTAGCGGATAAAGTTGATCAATTAGTGATGAAACACTTACATCTGCCAGCTGGGAAGGTGGAGGAGTTATATGCAAACCTACAAGAGAAGAACGCGCAGATTTATATTCAACGGAGTAAACAATTGAGCAAGGAGGAAGGACAACGCAGGCGACTTTTTGCATGGACGTGTACGAATGTAGAGTTGATGATTCTAGCGGATGATTCAATCTATGGCACTGAGAATATTGTAAGGGTAATGAGAGAAATTGATTGTGATACACCGTGGCCAGAGGAACCGCTGGAGTTTTCAACGCTTTGGTGTCGTATGGTGTCCCTACGATGCGAGGAGTGGAAATTTCAACTGAGGGATTTTCCGCAACCATTTTTACTCATACAACAGTGGTATATTTCTGGGATGCTGGTTGGAGCCGAGCAGCTAGCACCAAAAAGAGGCAAGTTTTGAAAATGTTTAATATTTATTCATATTTTATGATTTTTTATTTGACAAACTGATGCCAACCATGTCGGCGACGCTCTGCACTGCTTCTAAGGCTTGCATGCCAATATCTAACGCTGAACTGATGATGTCATCTATACCGGGGATGCTGCCGCGTTTTACCTGATTGGATTGATTATATATAAATGTATTCATTGCTTTTTTGTTAGAAACGTACCCTTGTAGATGAAGAGATGATTGCGGCCGTAGTTACACTTATCAACAAAAGTTGAAAGAGCAACACTTTAAGGAGCATCATAGCTCGATTTTTAGTAAATTTCGGACTGATTGTCACGTTTCTGTTGATCGTCTCATAGGAAATGTTGCATTTTATTGAATTTATACCTAAATGATGATGATCACCAAGATGACAACATCGGTTACAGATAAAATCTAAATTATCCTGCGTTTCATTTGCGTTCTTTTGCTATAAAAATGCGCACAATGCAAAACACCATAATAACAATAAGGTAGTCATTAAAATCGAATTACGAATTACATCTGCTTTCGCAGAATTCAGCCTTCAATTTGATCGATTTGTATATTTTAATATAATTTAGATCATTTAGATATACAATTACAACGTATTTTCTTTTTTGCATTGCAGCTACACGGGATGTATACATCGATTTAGGTCCGCCATTTTCTTCGCCGTTAATATCACGCTCCTTGCTTCCCCTGAAATTCTACCATGACTTCAACAGTGAGATTTCATCCTTTTCCTACGCATTTGGTCCATGCTGGGAACCTGTCATTGCGCAATGTAATCTCTCATTCGAGAAAATCTTCCAACCATCTCGAGATCCATCACCGCCATTACCTTTCTGGGACAAAATGAGATTACTCCTGCATGGAAGACTTACAATGGAAGTACAACAACTCACCGTATTACTACACGCATCGCTGGATCCGTATAATACAACTGAAGAAATGGAGTTGACTTGGAACAATGTTATTATGGATTGGACCAATGGACGGTTTGTGTTTAAAGGTGACTTCAACATTTTTGTGCGCACTGCGTCCAAATATGATGATTGTCAGTTGCTACATCTACCAAATTTGAAATTGGTTGTTTCTCTTGAATGGATGTCCTTGGGCGATCCGAGAGATCATCATAACGTGATACAATGCGCGCCTGATAAGATTCCGGAATATTCTAGCAATACCAGGCATGATTCATTCAGAGCGTTTAGGTCCCAGAATGTAAACTTATCAATCACATTGGAAACTAAGTCAGGAAAAGGTGGGCAAGGTGAATTCCCCGGGAGTATGTCATCTGTAAACACGGATTACCCTAAAATGCAAACAGTTGAAAAGTTTCCGATGTTATCTTTGTATGGTTCAACACTCAGGTGGTTCGAGAACTTAAAACTAATTCTACAAGGCGTGACACGCCCTACGCGACGTGGAAGGATATTTAACAACTTACGCCCGAGGAAACTGCAACTTTCAAGGCATTATAAGAAGGTGCATCTGTTGCTTGGTCTGCATAAGTTTCAGGTGTGTTATTGGATGTCTTTCGCCATGCAGCGCGGTTTGCAACTCTTAGGAGGACATCTGGCATCTACCTCTGAACATATTTTATCTTTGCTGCCAGTTGATGATGGTCTGGTGCATCGTCCCAAAGCGGAATGGTCGATTGTCTACGTCACTTCCGAGTTGAGCGATAGCGAAATCTGGTTGAAGAGCGCTTTGCTTCCCGATGATTCTCTGGATGATGTTGAAGGATACCTCAAACAACCCGTTGAGAAGTGTTATTGTTTATCGGTGGCGAAGGTGAGCTATGGTAGAGAACCCCATAGAGAGTACGGAAGGACCGGAAGAGAAGACACGCCTACTCATAGATTGGTTGTGTATGATCTTAAAGGCGCATGGACACAGAGTAATCGAAATGTAGTCTTTTCGCTGTTTGATACTTTTATGAAGAACAAACAAATGAAGAAGAATTTGTCAACGGAGGTGTTAAAGGCTGTGAGGAAGGATCCTACAACTACGCCATTAAAACGCAGGACTGGAGGAAGTGCTTCCCAAGAGGGTGTTGGAGGTGATGATTCCACAGGGGCGAGCACAGGAGGTGTAATTGCGGGTGCCGCGGGAAATTCAGCGGGGATATCACAAAAGTTGGAGTCTGGGCAAGCGGCAACAATGTTACAGCAGTTAATTGCCGAGGCTGAGAACAAAAGCGTTGTTTTTAGTGATGATTTGTCGTCGGCTACAAGGCAGCAGCATTTGCAAGGCCCTCAAGCTTGTCAGGATGATGATATTTTACATAAAAATTGGAATAGTAAGCAATATGTTTATTCTATTAAATAACTACTAATTTCTCTAATATTTAAAGTTGCTTTGGTCAACGCTCAAGTTCTCTTAAAAGGATGCGAAACCAAAGGGTATGTAATTCTTTCCGCGGCCAAAGCTGAAATTATGCAGAGGATTCATCGACCAGTTTGGAAGGAGTGCACGCTGGTGTCGAAGACAACTTGGGTAGGTAATCTCGAATGCATGCAGTATTATGCAACAGTAAATGCAGGTGGTGAAAATGATGATTTGAATGGTGAGTTTTAAGAATTTACGAATTCTTAAAAATATTTCATGGATTGTTTTGATGTATTATAGAAAATATTATGTGGTTGACTGTTGATAATATCCAAGAGAAGGAATGTACTGTAATATCAGAGATTCCGCAAGTTCCCAATATGGTGGGCTGTGGAGTTTCTGTTGGCGCTGTTGTTTCCGATACTGTTGGAGCTTCAACACCGAATAGTGATTCGCCAGTGCAATTACAACGAATTGTCTCCCGCTGTAAATGCGAATTCTTTTACGTTGGCTATGGTGATATTTCTGTGGATCCCGCGACTCTACACGGCGAATTACCGCCACCACCTCAAGAGGAATTTGAGCCTTTTTTTCGGCCCGGACAGAGCGCCGTCAACGCGTTTACGCTTATGCATCATGACTTGGATTGTTCAACAAACTCTCTGCAGTATACAATGTTATTGGATATTATAAATAATTTACTCTTGTTTGTGGATACGCATCGTAAGGAGGCTTTGGAGCGTCTGCAAAGGATGCGGTTCCAATTGCAGCTGCAATCGGTTGAGGACCAGCGGAAACCGATTTTAATTTTACAAACTAAGGTCTTTTAATATTTTAGTTTACATATAAATACGATTTCTAAATTACTCTTATATTAGGTTCGTTCAACATTATCTCGCCTTAGGCGTCTTGAAAAAGAAACCTATTTGGTTCACAAAGCGCTTGCCGATGAAACCTCTCCAGAACTGGAAGAGGATCTTCTCGAATTAGAGCAGCAGGTGCACGAATGTAAAAGCCTTCTGAATATTCAAGCTGAAGAACTTGATATAATGCTATCCTGTTACAAAGAGTCGCAACTGTTAGCGACTTCACGTTTGTCTACAACGCGCAATGACAAACCGCTTAAGATTGTCAGGGCAAACGAGATCTTTTTCAAGCATGCACAGTGGCGACTAACGGAAGCCGACGGGCAGATTGGTATTGCCGATTTGGTACTGACTAACTTCTTGTATACCAAAAACTCTAAAAGCGATGATAGTGTGGAGCATCTTTTGGAGTTGGGCTATGTGAGGATGACCAATTTGCTGCCGAATCAAATTTACAAGGAGGTGTTATTACCTACGGAAATTCAGAGTAATATGCCTGTAGAACATAAGGTAGTTTATAATTTAAAACTTAATAAGCGTATTTCTAAATTTATTTTATTCATAGAGGGTTGTTAGAATATTCTGCCGTGAAAAACCACCTGTAGGTGGTATATCTGTGAAAGAGCACTTTGAGATCAACGTGGTGCCATTGACAATAGGCCTCACGAAGAAGTTTTACGATACCATGTTAAAGTTTTGCTTCCCCGAACGCGATCCGGACAACATCGATGGAGAGCAACGAGCAGGTACATCCACCAACGATGATATTGACGACAACGTATCAATTAAAGGAACAAAAAAGAAAATAAAACGTAACCGAGATTCCAATTTTTACGTACACATCGACGACGTAGAAAAAATGAAGGTAATATGTCTTTTAATTTATAAAAATTTATACTACTTTCGAATGCTTATCGACAGGAACGTGCTGAAAAGAATAAATTGTTTATCTATATCAAAATCCCGGAGGTGCCTGTGCGATTGTCTTATAAAGGCAACAAGGAAAAGAATCTTGAAGATATTCGAGACTTTTCTCTGGTTATTCCCACATTGGAATATCACAACGTCACTTGGACCTGGTTGGATCTGCTGTTAGCGATCCGCAGCGATAGTAGGAAAGTGATATTATCACAGGCTATTAAGCAAAAGTTGCAGTTCAAGAGGAACATTGTTGGGGGATCGTCACTTGATGAAGGATCATCACCACATGAGGAGCAGGACAAGGCGAAGATGTTATTTGGGACAACGCGTCATGTAAGTATTTATTAGTAATCAGGATTTAGCTTTAGATGCAGAAATACATTTTTTGCTGGTTCTAGATGGACAAGCCAAAGAAGACAGGTGTTTTTAAGTTCGGTAAATAATGGTACGTAAAATGTTTAAAACAATGTATATTTTGTATGTTTGAATGTATTTATGAAGTAAATGTGTTTTTGTAAATTGCCCCTCAAATCGGTAGAAAATTGGGCAATTTAATCTTTTCTAGCATAATCACTTGAGTGACCTTTGCAGTGGCTCGCCAACCCATTCATCCTCCCCTAAGTAAGCCAAAGATAGTAATGTCTAAGAAGTTTGTTATCAATAGCAAATATTGAGAACAAAATTAGTGTTGATGTGCAGAGTGTCCATAGTATCTTCAAACTGAACTTGTGTCCTCCTTTGCTTGATTTTTGCCGTAAGTTTACTTCTTATTTAAGTAAAACATGACAATAGAATAAACCATTTTAAAAGTCTAAAAAGCAAAGCATAATTAAACTAATATCAAACAAACACAATTGAAGAAGTTCTTACCACGAATACTAGTTGATTATTATAAATGGCGTAGTTTCCCAGAGGCAATTCGAACACTTTACGCAGATTTAAATTCATAAAAATTAAAAATTTGACACTTTGCGCATCTCCATCCCATGGCACCGAATAAAATGTAGCATATTGAAATTCTTCTCCCTGCAAAAAGTTTTATTTGCCTAACAGATAATTATCTTGCGGTTACATACCAATCGCTTCATTTCTTCTCCGAAAAACCCGAAAACAGAAATACCTACTACGTAAATAGTCATGTGAAAAATAGATATCGCATCAAATTTCTAAAATAAAACCATTGATTGATAAACAGTATCAAACTATTAAATACATACATTTAATTGTGATATAATAATTAATGCAATAATAATTGCAGAGGTCAAATATTGCATCAACAAGGGCCACTTGTAGCATTCAACAATATTAGTCCAAGAACTAAAATTTCACGCATTTTTGTCATTTGAAATGATTACAAATAATTGTATGTTGCTTACTGTGTAACATATTGATGCATTTTATGAGCTTGTAAAAGTCTTCTTTGCCGAAGCGGTTTTCCATGAGTATGTTGAACCTTTTGTAGAATCAAAATGAACTCTTCCAAATTGTCCTCCGTAAGCTTACGTACAATATCCAACAGAGAAAATATTAACAGGATCCCAATGGTAATGTACAATACCATAATCACCATCAAGAAATTAAATAGTTCGCGATACGGTCGTTGGCGTACATCAACAAGTAAATACTAAAACAATCTCAAGTTCTAATGTAAACTTAAAAACTTTGTCTCATCGTACAATTGCATATACAAGCCCACAATCAATTTGTTTGAAATTTTTCTCACAGTCCATGTGCTCAAAATATATGTAACCAGTGGCACTTACAAACATCATAAGAATAATTCCTGTTTTTATTATCATAGCGTGGGGAATTAATTTCCCTTTGAGTTTACTTTTTGAATAAGCAAACTGAGGGTTGCTTTCCATATATGTATATACGTACTTGCTTTCTTCTGAATAATTTTTAAACACATAGATTATATAGTATGCAAACAATACTGACGTAAACCAAGATAGATTCAGTGCGAGTTCGCGGAATGGAACACCAGAAACTTAAACATAATTTATTCAATTTCAATTCAAAAATCCTGGTTTTAGGCGTACTTACAGTACGACTTGATTAAATATGCCACATTTGCAAATGTAGTAACAAAAACTGCAAAGTTGTAAATTAAGTTAATCACTTTAGACCATCCATCCTTAGTGGGCCAATAAAATCTAGTGGCGAGCTCATAAGCAAGAAAGTCTTCCTTTTTAAACCACATTTTCTCTTGGAGTGAACGAAAATGTACGCAGCAGAAGGTACACATTTACATATTTATGATAATTATCATGATGCTGATTAAGATATTTATTAATGTAATAATTAGCTATATAAAATATGAAATAGTCTACTGATAAGTGATAGTGATACTATATTAGATTTTGATTTGTAGTTCATATCGAGGGTTTCTTGTTAGATTAGACTTCTGATAGAAGTACATTTGTTGTTTTGCGGACAACTTCTCTTTCTCTTTCTTTTCCTTTATTATTATTATGAGTAAAACCCTCTCTAATGCTATTTACTTAATATTTGTAATTAACTAAAGAATTCTGGTAGCATTTCCTAATCGGACTTCTCCAAGTTTAGGCCTTTCTAGAGACCAGTCCGATAATTTGAATTCTTTCTAGGTAACGGACCGGTAAAACGCATATGTTGTGCATATCACTACATAATATAAAGTAAAAGTAGTCATTAAAATCGAATTACGAATTACATCTGCTTTCGCCGAATTCAGCCTTCAATTTGATCGATTTGTATATTTTAATATAATTTAGATCATTTAGATATACAATTACAACAAACAATTGAAAAAGAACTTACAAACAAACTTTTCTACAAAATCGTGACGTTTTATTTAGATTGTTATTTATATTAATCTGACAATGCGTGCCGTGACGTGATTTACTCGCAATTGAAACAGTTAAAAAGCCTAGCCGCACTCTGCCCGCGCCCGTTGGTCGCAACCTGTCGTATTAGTGTTTATGCGCTCGACTAGCATGTACTAAGTGCCGAATATTCCGCGCTTCGGCCGACAGCATTGCCGAATATTCGGTATATTGTGAACAATATTAGTGTTGATGTGCAGAGTATCCAAATATTTGTGCGTTAAAGTGTTTACTTATTTAGGTAAAACATGACAATAGAATAAACCATTTTAAAAGTCTGAAACTCAAAGGATAATCAAACTATTATCAAACAAACACAATTTAAGAAATTCTTACGACGTATACTAGTTCATTGTTATAAATAGAATAATTTCCCAGAGGCAATTCGAACACTTTACGCAAATTTAAATTCATAAATATTAAAAATTTCACGCTTTGTGCATCTCCATCCCACGGCACTGAATAAAATGTAGCATATTGAAATTCTTCTCCCTGTAAAAAGTTTTACATATTTGTCTAACAGAAAATTATCAGATTACTTACCAATCGCTTCATTTCTTCTCCGAAAAAACCGAATACCGAAATACCTACTGCGTAAATAGTCATGTGAACAATAGATATCGCATCAAATTTCTAAAACAATATCTGACTGACAATTGATATACAGCGTCAAACTATTGTATACATACATTTAATTGTGATATAATGATTAATGCAATTATAATTGCAGATGTCAAATATTGCACCAACAAGGGCCATTTGTAGCATTCGACAGCATTAGTCCAGGTACTAAAATATCACGCATTTGTGTTATTTGAAACGGTTACAAATATTTGTATGCTGCTTACTGTATAACATATTGATGCATTTTATGAGCTTGTAAAAGTCTTCTTTGCCGAAGCGGTTTTCCATGAGTATGTTGAACCTGTTGTAGAATCAAAATGAACTCTTCCAAATTGTCCTCCGTAAGCTTACGTACAACATCCAACAGACAAAATATTAACAGGATCCCAATGGTAATGTACAATTCCATAATCACTCTCAAGATATTGAAGAGTTCACGATATGGTCGCTGGCGTACATCAACAAATAAATACTAAAACAATCACAAGTTATAATGCCAATTTATTGGGTAATTTTGAGTCTGATCGTACAATTGCATATAGAAGCCCACAATCAGTTTGATTGAAATTTTCCTCACAGTCCATTTGCTCTAAATATATGTAACCAGTAGCACTTATACACATCACGAGAATGATACCTGCTTTTATTATCATAGCTTGGGGAATTAATTTCCCTTTGAGTTTACTTTTTGAATAAGCAAACTGAGGGTTGCTTTCCATATATGTATATACGTACTTGCTTTCTTCTGAATAATTTTTAAACGCATAGATTACATAGTAACCAAATGATATTGACGTAAACCAAGATAGATTCTGTGCGAGTTCGCGGAATGGAACACCAGAAACTTAAACATAATTTAGTCAATTTTAGTTCAAAAATCCTGGTTTTAGGCGTGCTTACAATACGACTTGATTAAATATGCCACATTTGCAAATGTAGTAACAAAAACCGCAAAGTTGTAAATTAAGTTAATCACTTTAGACCATCCATCGTTAGTGGGCCAATAAAATCTAGTGGCAAGCTCATAAGCAAGAAAGTCTTCCTTTTTAAACCACATTTTCTCTTGGTGTGAACGAAAATGTACGCAGCAGAAGGTACACATTTACATATTTATGATAATTATCATAATGGTATGGCTACCATGCAGATAAAGATGTTTAATAATGTAATAATTAGCTATATAAAATATGAAATTCTCTACTGATAAGTGATAGTGATACTAGGTATATTAGATTTTGATTTGTAGTTCATAACGAGGCTTTCTTGTTAGATTAGGCTTCTGATAGAAGTACATTTGTTGTTTTGGGAACAATTTCTCTTTCTTTTTGTTTTACTTTATTTTTATTATGAGTAAAACCCTCTCTATTGCTATTTACTTAATATCTGTAATTAACTAAAGAATTCTGGTAGCATTTCCTAATCGGACTTTTTCAAATTTAAGCTTTTCTAGATAAAGGTCTGTTAATTTGAATTCTTTCCAGGTAATGTGCAGGTAACGGACCGCTAAAACGCATGTGGTGCGCATATGTATGTATAATTTGTGGTTTATATATAACCTCAATAAATTTATACATGCAGTTGATTTGGTTCAGTCTTTTAAGAATAATATTATTAATAATATAAGTAATTAGAAAAATATTAGTTATGAATACTGTATTTACGAATATTTTAAAACCCTTCTTAGTGAAGTCATATTCACTAAGGCACCTTAGAAATGTAAAAGATCCTGGAATTAGAAGAAGAGCAGCAATCATTCAGCAAAACCTCGAAAGTGATGATAATTTGGAAGAGTTAGAAGCTGATTTCTTTGATCTGAGCAAATCACACAAACAACACGAGCGAGAAGTGGAAGCCTCCAGAGAACTGCATAAGTATCATATTGTTAAACAGAAATATTTCAAAGAAAAACTGCCCAATTTCTTAACATGGGCTGATAAACAACAAATACAATATTTACACAGCAGTAATCCTGAGGAATGGACTGTGGAGAGGCTGTCTGAAGGATTTCCGGCATTACCAGATATCATTTCAGTAAGATACAAATATAAATTAGCATTATTTTAAATAGTTTTATTAATAACTTAATTTTTATACATAGAAAATTATAAAGAATAAATGGGTGCCAAAGAACGCGAATCGTGTAAAAAAACACGATGAGGCTGTTCAACAAAACTGGCATCTTTTCAAAAAGGAGAAGGAGAAGCTCAAGTTACCTGCAGATGTAATAGCACATCTGAGGAAGTTTACATCTAGGGATTTAAACTTAAATCCGGATTTAAGTGAATTGCAAGTTGAGGATGTTTCAAAACGCGAATTGGTCAAGAAGGGCGGTGAGTTCTCGAATATTATACAAAGTTATGAAGCGCTTAAAATGAAAAACATAGACAAACAAATTTCTAAACAAAATTACTTCTGGGTACTAATCAAACATCAATTGTTGAAAGTAACACACAACTTGTTAATACTCAACAAGATGACATTAATCTAAAAAGCAAAAAATGGACAAAAGTAATGACTCATGATCAGTTAGAGAAGCAATTGTCACATGGTAAATCATTATCACCTAAAAGTGAAAGTGATTTAGTTATAAAATCAAATGAAGGTGAAGAGACGCCAGAAACCAAAGAAATCACTTTACAACCTGAAGAATTAAACTTTAACGTAACTAAATTCAAATCCCCTGAACAACAATTTAATTTATATAAACCAAAACGCGATTATTTAAATCTGATGTATCCTCAAAGGATTAACATCCCTGCTGCAAAACGTAAACGCGGATACACTTACAAATTAAATGACTGTTTCTATGACTCAGATGGTACGTTTTTGTACAGGGTTCCTGGCATGTTATAAAAAAAAACGCAATAAATAGTCATAATTTAATTACGATTGAACATTATTTGTATATTTAAAAAATGACTAGATCGAAGCGATGAATGTAGCCTGCGATGCTGATATTTTCACTTTTCACATTGTTCGGTCAGTGAGAACCATGGAACAGGCAACCAATGAAACAAAGTAAAGCATGGTTCGCCTCAAATCGCACGTATTCATTTCCATTTTCTCAAGCAATCCGTAAATATCCATCAATACTGTTGCTGTACTCGACTTTTAGATTCAGTTTCCATTACGTTCTTGCGTTGTTCTTACGTCAATTTAAAAAATATTTACACATATATAACAATAGGCCAACTCTACACGAATAATGCAGTCAAGCCCGTGTCTATCATTGCAAGCCAATGCCTTGTATCCACGAGCTGAGGTCTGTCGTGTCCACGCAATCCACAACTATCTCCTGGGGCTCTTGCGTGGATAAAAGCAATTTGGCGGACATGCGTCCCGTTAAGTAAGCGCCATGTACTGTCGAATAGAAATTACTGTGGGTGTGTTCGCCAGCAAACAATAATACAGGCTGGAAGAATAAAAATTCATCATAAATAATGTTCATCATTTGAATAGTAAGTGCACTTACTTTGTCTTGTGTGTCTTTGGTATAAAGTGGTTGTGCGATGCATTCAATATCGATTTGTGATGCACCGACTGCAATTGCCGTGTAGGAGCCTTTTGTGTAAGGCTGACTGTACCAACTTGTACTGAAATAATGAATTATTTTATTCTTAGCGTAAAATCACAGCATTTTAGAAAAAATCGCTTACCATACACAGGTTTTTGGTTTAGGAATAAAAGGATCGTTTAAAAACTTCCTCAAAATGCTCGTACATGTCTCAGCAACTAAATCCGAAGGCAAGGTTTCCATGTACTCAGCTTCCTTGCCAGAAATCCAACCGACCAACAAAGTATCCGAAACTTTAGCAAACGAATAGATCTTTTTAAACCATGTCGCTTGATAGTTTCCCTTCTCGGTGCCTTCATCCTTGCTGTCATCCCACAGTAACAACACTTCGGTGATATTAGGATTCAGAAATGGTCGTTCATACTCAAGAATAATTTTATCCACGGTGCCAAAGAGCAGCCGGTCGATTGCTTCGAGCTTATAATCAGGCAAAGGCGGTTGAAATATTGTATCAGCTTTGTGCTTTAATACTCCCAGCGGCATCGTGCATATCACATGATCAGCGAAGAATTTCTTTCCGTTCTCGCAGGTCACTTCCACCTCCTGTTTGACGTCTTTTTCTAAGCTGGATTCACGACTTGACGACTCCTCAATGACAGTGCGATCGGAATCATCCGATTCGTCGCCATTTGACTCGACATTGCCGTTTTTATTCCACTGGATCAACGTGACTGCATGTCTTAAGTAAATCGATGATTTGTCTATATCTTTACTTACTGGTTCTAATATAGAACTGTATCCCTGTGGTAATACAATATTCCCACCTTGCAGCTCTGTATAACTGCCAATTTCCAGCAGGTCTATCTCAGACATGTTATCACAACCAGATATACAAGTTTCCCTCTTGAGGAGGCATTCAAAGATGAGTTGTCTTAAGTGTCTATCACTGTTGTCTTTAATTGAATCTAAGTAGAGTTGAACCTCAAGGCGGATGTGATCGCCCACACTGTCGATCCCATCAGGGGGCAAATACTGCGTGACGTAATACTCTTCACAGCGCCGCAGGAAGCAGAGATATGCCTCGTAAATCTCGTGTAGTACGTTGAAAGGTACTTGCTTGCCTGCTTCAGTTGCAGCGACGACTTTATGTGGTTTAGGACACTGAAGGATGTCGACGAGGCCGTGCTCCATCGCTAGTTCATAGACAGGGTTGCCGAGGATGCCGTGAATCCAGTTGGCGCCCAACTCAACGCGTTCGTTGGTCATTGCAATTTGAACGATGCGCCCGCCTAGTCGGTTACGCGCCTCGAGTAACTTGAAGTCTGTGAAACCGTTTTTCGTGAGGTGGTAAGCTGCGGATAGACCGGCCATGCCGCCGCCAATGATTAGAACTTTGGAACGATTTTCAGTCTCACTCGGGGTTTCGTTTTCTGTTGGTATTGGTCCATGATCTTCGCAATTGCTCATGTTTTTGCAAGAGCACAAACTTCAAGGAAGTTATCCACTGTTGATTACATGAGTGTTTGGCGCTCAGCTGCTCCGTGACATCAATTCTACCTTAATTTCGACCTTGCGGGGACCTTGTATTGTGAGTTGCCTATCAAATTACACCTGAAATGCAAAACTCTTACAAGTTTACTTTTATATAGTTCTTTAATAACAAAAATTATAAATTTAGTCATTTTATATAGATCATAATATAAAATGTACTTTTCTCTAAAACTCAAGCTTTTCTGAGTGGATGTAAATTGTCAACTAGGGTACGAATTTTTAAATACTATAAAATAATTTCAAATGATATATTCATATTGCTTGGAACATTTTAACAAAATTAATTATTGAATTAATCACTCATATCTTCATTCTCTTCCATATCTACTTCTTCATCCGTAGATATTTCCGGTTGATCAGCCTCTTCAAGACATTTCTCACAAGCACACAAGAACAAATAATTTTCTTTCAAATTCTTCTGCCTCGAATGTCGCGAGCGTTCCAACGTACATTCATCCAAATAGCTGATACAAATCTCATCACCCTCCTCAATATCTTTCAAAGCAACCAGAGACAATCTATTATTATTATGCACAAACGTCGGTTCCGCATTCGGGTTGCAACTGTGATTGCATGTACTTTGAAGTGAATACAGAGCAACTCCCTCGTTATTCAAGAAAACACCAGCGTGCGCATCCATAGCATCATACAAATCATCAATCAGTTTATCCAGTTTGCACTTGTCTTCATCGCTTACCGACAAAACCATTACATTGTGCGCCCAGCGACTGATAGCACTTGTACCTACACCTTGCCCGTTCGTTCCAATGAGCGCCAGCATAGATCTATATCCGTCAGGTGTTAATAACTGCTCCACTCCCTCATTGGGAACAGCGTTCCTAGTCATTTCACATAAAGTGTCAATTCCAGATTCAAATTTCTCTGCAAACATTTTGTGCACAAATTGGTCCTCTTCATTTGTATGCTTGTGGACAAACTTTAGAAATGATTGAAGAGTTTCATCTTTTGTTGGAGATTGCTGAATCATTGCAATGATTCTTGGGATCAACATAACTGTACTTGTTTCTGGAGGGTAATGGCACTGCTTCCAGAATTCATTCAAGATTTGTAGTGGATGTTTTTCACCCTCACCTTGGCAGCATAAAGTCTGGTGATACTGCTTGAAAGCTGTTTGTTGGCATTCTGGACTACAGTAATTGATGCCACATGATGGACATGCAGTGATTGTAGTTTTGTTGGTCTCACAACATTCTGGATGTGGAAGAACTATATTTGGCTTGGCGGAGAGACGACGGACGTTTTCTTCTGCTGTTTCCAATGGCCTAAAAGTTTAATGCAACTTATTTATCATTTTTAAAATTATTTCCTTATTTTCTTACCTTAAACAATGATCACACGCGTTATATCCATAAGCAGCATTCCATGAAAACTGCGCAGATACAAGCGGATTTTCTTCAAATATTGTTTCACCAGATTTTATTTGTCGCTTGGCAAACAAACCGTTGCCTTTGCTGGGATCAATATGTCTTATTTCCACGCTCATTTTCGATGATTTATAAGATTTAATTCGTTCTTCACCTTTTACATGTGCGTAGAGACCAGCCACATGGAGCGACGGAGTTTAATTTCTCTAACCTTCAAATTAATTTTTATAATTCTTTATTTTTACATGATTATGAATTATAATTTTCTTTTAAGTTTACAGGTAGTGGCGAAACATGTTTAACAAAATTAGCACATTTTGTGTCTCAAAACCGTGAGAAAACTTGCGCTTTAAAGGAGGAAGTAGAAAAACATAATTTTTATTTTGAAAAATCATTTTATCCCAAAAACTAAATATATACCAAACCAAAATTATAATATAAATGATGCATAAAGTACAATTTCCTAGAAATTTTTTAGTATATTAATATATCGAACTTGTCATCCAAAATTATTAATAAATCTAGGTCTTTTTCTTATGCGACTTTTTCAAAATTCAAGTTGACAACACTGGACTACCTGCCGACGCAAGTCTAGTCTAGCTCTGGTGCTCGTGTGCGTTGCACGCGTTTATCGTAACTTTGTCCGTGATTTCCCCGGTTATCGTTCCTTCATCCACTCGCGAATGAGAAAACCCCGCCTGAGCTGATCTATCAACCTGAAGGTAAAGAATTCTTCAACTTATTATTGCCCTAAGCCATAAAATATTTACTTGTTGCGTTCGCGGAGCACATACTTATAGAATTGTTGCATGTATTGTTAGGAGACATTCACTCTGTTTTTTTTTGTTATCGTTGTTTTGTTGGTGCATTCAGGTCACCTCGTATCTTAAGGTGTTGCTTTGATAACTCGAGGTTTGTTTTATAGTGAATATATATAGTTTAAAATAGTTGAAATGTGTCTTATAGCGTTTCTAAATCCGAATTTTCATCACACGTGAAGTTCCGGAAAACCGCCCTGAGAAGTTTGTCATTTTTAACATTTTCAAAACCCTTCCTAATTAACTTTTGTGATTATCTCACAAATTGACCCCCAAAATTGCATTTTTATGTTCGAAGGACTGATTTTTGATGGTTTTAGGGATTTTGCTCCTGAGTTTGACATTGTGGATGGACCATTCTGACATCAGAATGTAAGTATTAAATTTCTTTATTATTTGCCTAAATAACTTTTGTGATTATCTCACAAAGTGACTCCCAAAATTGCATTTTTATGTTCGAAGGACTGATTTTTGATGGTTTTAGGGATTTTGCATCTGAGTCTGACATCGTAGAAGAACCATTCTTGCATCAGTTTGTAAGTATTTAATTTCTTTATCATTTGCCTAAATAACTTTTGTAATTATCTCACAAATTGACCCCCAAAATTGCATTTTTATGTTCGAAGGATTGATTTTTTATGGTTTTAGGGATTTTGCATCTGAGTCTGATGTCGTAGAAGAACCATTCTTGCATCAGTTTGTAAGTATTTAATTTCTTTATCATTTTCCTAATTAACTCTTGTGAATATTTCACAAATTAACCTTTAAAATTGCATTTTTATGTTCGAAAGACTAATTTTTGCTTGTTTTAGGGATTTTGCACCTGAGTTTGACATCGTAGAAGCACCATTCTTGCATCAGATTGTAAGTATTTAATTTCTTTATCATTTTCCTAATTAACTCTTGTGATTATCTCACAAATTAACCCTTAAAATTGCATTTTTATGTTCAACAGACTAATTTTTGCTTGTTTTAGGGATTTTGCACCTGAGTCTGACATCGTAGAAGGACCATTCTTGCATCAGATTAAATTTCATTATCTTAAATAACTTATGTGATTATTACACAAATTGACTCCCAAAATGTATGCTTGTGTGTTTTCTTTAATAAAGAATATTTTTAAGTTTTCCTAATTATAATTATTTCTCTTATTTCTACCTGATCACATATTTACCGATTCCTTAAACCATTTATTTTGAAAAGTGCATGCTAGTGCCATCTATCAATGAGAAACAACAACAACCGAAGTTTTAAGCTTCGGCCCGTCGCCACCAGAGGCAGCACATTACTAGTTGCCGCGAAAACTTTATCAGCCTCCTCAACTTTCTGCGATCCTAATATTCAATCTTTATTTTGTCGACTCTGAGAGGCAAAATGACACAAAATTTGGACTCGAAACAGTCGAAACTCGACTTTTGGTATTCGGATCGCAGAAAGTGAGAGGAGGCTGATAAAGTTTCGGCGGTAACTAGTAGAGGCGGGTAAAATTAATGTTTAAAAATCTTTTTCATCAAGTGCAGCTTCTGTATATTCGGAATTTTTAAATTCTGTGTTCGGATTCTGTAAGCAAAAATTCTATATCGACTTTTATGTAATTACTTTCTTAACATTGATCGTTTAGGCCCTATTTGCATGTTTTTAATTAATTGATTTCTCTTTTTTATGTTGGAAATTAAATATTGGAATTTTTAAATTCTGATTTCGGATTCTGATAAACAATTTAATTCTATATCAATTATTCTAGTAACTTTTTTTGCTAACGTTAACCGTTTAGGCCCTATTAGCAATTTTAATGAAACATGTGCATGCCGTCGGAATAGTTAAATTTAAAAGATTAAATATTAATTATCTCGACAACTAAAAGGACTAGAAAAAAAAGAACTACATATTCTTGATCCTTGAAAAAATCCTACAAGATGGTATCCTAATTAAAAAATTATGAAAATGGCACAAAAAATTTTTAAAGATTTCTCTTTTTTATGTTAAAAATTAAATATTAGAATTTTTAAATTCTGATTTCGGATTCTGATAGACAATTTAATTCTATATCAATTATTATAGTAAAATCTTTGGCTAGCATTAACGGTTTAGGCCCTATTTGCAATTTTATAGAAAAAATTGAATATGTACCGAAACAAATTAAAATAATACATATAATAATCTGGCGGGAACTGTCTGTCCACTTTCTGCGTTCCTAATACTACAGACTGATGAGCAGCAACATTTCAGCAAATTTCTCGACAAATTATGTCGAGAAATCCATTGAAATTGGTAACAAAATTCTTTTGAATATTAGGATCGCAGAAAGTGCAGAAGGCTGAATCTCCAGCAATCTTGAATAGCGGCATAGTTTAGTTACTCGTGGATAGATGACACTAGTGATACCATTTTTAAATTAATATTGATACAAAATAAAATTGATTTTGAACTATTTTCCATAACTAGCAGCGACATTTCCATTAAAGTTTAAGGGATTTATGAATTAATTAAAGGAGTAACGATGTTGCGAGCTATGTTCCCCGTTTGGAACAAATAAAACAATAAAAATTTATAGTTAAAAATATAAAACAACAATTTTATTAAAACATGAAGAATATACACAGCCAACTCATTTTCTAAATATGTACAGCATTATTAACAATATGAAAACAGGGTAATAATATGCAATTACATAATGCTCTTTTTATAACTTTTAACAAAATAAACAAAAATGATATCAATAACAGCATCCAAATGTTGTAAATTCATTCAATCGTATTTGGAATCATCATCAACACCGGCAATCCAATCTTCAATTTCTTGGACACTATAAACCAGAATAAATAACAGAATAGTAAAGAATAAAATATTATAAATTGCCAAAATATAACATACGTTCTTGAAACTTTTGTCCAGTTGACACATCCGTCTTCAGTAATCAAAACGTCCACCAGTACCACGGAACTTCTCCAGTTGATCCTTATCCTTGGCCATCTCAGGATAAGCTAATGCTTCATCCAACAACTGGAAAATATTTATGTAAATGAAATATACATATACATAAATTAAATTAATTTTTCTTACAGGATCCATAAAGACTCCCATTTAGGGCACCGAGCGCAGGTAGCGGTAGAAGTGACTCCCATTCAAGGCCCTTCAAGGCACCGTACAAAGGTAGCGGTAGAAGGGTACGGCGAATACTGAAAAAAAGAAACGTAAGTTAATATAACTTGCATAAGTATGCACACAGAATACGACCAAATATCACCATATTTGTTCAATAATGTACTACGGCGCACAAACACAACTTACAATATCATTCGCGTTACGGAATTTTCTTGCAACAAATTTCAATACACGGGCATACAGAATTATAATCTACATCTGGGAAAATTATTCCGTCCTTACTGTGAGGCCGCGTTCGCGAGCAATACTAAAAAAACTACAATTCCTACCGCAACGAGTACTACAGCGCACACACACGACTTTCAATATAATTCGCGTTACGGAATTTTATTGCAATAAATTTCAATACAGGGAGATACAGAATTAAATTCTACATCTGGGAAAATTGTTCCGTCCTTACTGCGAGACCGCGTTCGCGTGCAATACTAAAAAACTACAATTCCTAGTGCCACGAGTACATCGGCGCACACACACAACTTTCAATATAATTCGCGTTACAGAATTTTTCGAAATAAATTTTGATACAAAGAAATACAGAATTAAATTTTACATCTGGAAAAATTATTTCGACCTAACTGTGAGACCGCGTTCGCGTATAATACTAAAAAAACTACAATTCCTAGCACAACGAGTACTACGGTGCACACACACAACTTTCAATATAATTTGCATTACGGAATTTTCTTGCAATAAATTTCAATACAGGAGAATACAGAATTAAATTCTACATCCGGGAAAATTATTTCGTCTTTACGGTGAAACCGCGTTCGCGTGCAATACTAAGAAAACTACAATTCCTAGCGCAACGAGTACTACGGCGCACACATACAACTTTCAATATAATTCGCGTCACGGAATTTTCTCGCAATAAATTTTAATACAGAGAAATACAAAATTAAATATTACATCTGGGAAAGTTATTTCGACCTAACTGAGAGACCGCGTTCGCGTGTAATACTGAGAAAACTACAATTCCTAGCGCAACGAGTACTACGGCGCACACAAACAACTTTCAATATCATTCGCTTTACGGAATTATTACACAATAAATTTAAATTCAGGGTGATTACGAATTAAATTCTGCATCGGGCAATTTATCCCAGTTGACTCTCCCCTCTCATCAGCTATAGAGGTAGGTAGTACGTGATAAATAGAAAATTTGTTTATAAACAGCAAATATAAATTTGTCCGAAAAATATAATTGAATTATAAACTTACCAGTGTACAGTTTATTGAACTGGCAGGGCCAACGAGTGCTGTAACTAAACGAAAACATAAATTAAAACAGAGTTTTATTGAAGCATTTATTGAAGCAAATATTTCCACAAAAGGTATCAATTTTCGAATTGCAAGAAATCAGGAAAACAGATACTATCCTAAACTAAAGGAGATAAATAGGAACGAATCGCAGCGTCTCAATGTACGGACTATTCTCTATAAGGTCACATAGTTAACAGGGAAATCTGAGAGATGAAATTGCTTTGAAATTGCTTGATACTTTTTTTCGACGATTTTAAAAAATTCATATCCCTTAAACAAAAAGAGATAGCTACCAACGAATGGTTGATTATGAAAGAATGGAAAATTGTCTATCAGATAAAAATATAAAATAATTATATTTCCTACAGTAAAAGGTCGAAAAACGCGACTAAAAGTGCTAAAAAGTGACATTTTGCAATTTTTGTCCATTTTATTCAATCGCGAATATCTCGTAAACTAAAAGAGATAATTAAGATCTGATCGCAGCGTCTTAATCTACAGACCAATCTCTATCAGATAGGCTATTTAAAGTGGAAATCTGAGAGATGAAATTTTAAGTCTTAAGAAAAAATTGCCAAGGGGGGGTGCTTGATACTTTTTTTCGACGATTTTCAAAAATTCATATCTCTTAAACTAAAAGAGATAGCTACCAACGAATTGTTGATTATGAAAGATTGGAAGATTCTCTATCAGATAAAAATATAAAATAATTATATTTCCTACAGTAAAAGGTCGAAAAACGCGACTAAAAGTGCTAAAAAGTGACATTTTGCAATTTTTGCCCATTTTATTCAATCGCGAATATCTCGTAAACTAAAAGAGATAATTAAGATCTGATCGCAGCGTCTTAATCTACAGACCAATCTCTATCAGATAGGCTATTTAAAGTGGAAATCTGAGAGATGAAATTTTAAGTCTTAAGAAAAATTGCCAAGGGGGGGTGCTTGATACTTTTTTTCGACGATTTTCAAAAATTCATATCTCTTAAACTAAAAGAGATAGCTACTAACGAATTGTTGATTATGAAAGATTGGAAGATTCTCTATCAGACAAAAATATAAAATAATTATATTTCCTACAGTAAAAGGTCGAAAAACGCGACTAAAAGTGCTAAAAAGTGACATTTTGCAATTTTTGCCCATTTTATTCAATCGCGAATATCTCGTAAACTAAAAGAGATAATTAAGATCTGATCGCAGCGTCTTAATCTACGGACCAATCTCTATCAGATAGGATAGTTAAAAGTGGAAATCTGAGAGATGAAATTTTAAGTCTTAAGAAAAAATTGCCAAGGGGGGGTGCTTGATACTTTTTTTCGACGATTTTCAAAAATTCATATCTCTTAAACTAAAAGAGATAGCTACCAACGAATTGTTGATTATGAAAGATTGGAAGATTCTCTATCAGACAAAAATATAAAATAATTATATTTCCTACAGTAAAAGGTCGAAAAACGCGACTAAAAGTGCTAAAAAGTGACATTTTGCAATTTTTGCCCATTTTATTCAATCGCGAATATCTCGTAAACTAAAAGAGATAAATAAGATCTGATCGCAGCGTCTTAATCTACGGACCAATCTCTATCAGATAGGATAGTTAAAAGGGAAATCTGAGAGATAAAATTTTAAGTCTTAAGAAAAAATTGCCAAGGGGGGGTGCTTGATACTTTTTTTCGACGATTTTCAAAAATTCATATCTCTTAAACTAAAAGAGATAGCTACTAACGAATTGTTGATTATGAAAGATTGGAAGATTCTCTATCAGATAAAAATATAAAATAATTATATTTCCTACAGTAAAAGGTCGAAAAACGCGACTAAAAGTGCTAAAAAGTGACATTTTGCAATTTTTGCCCATTTTATTCAATCGCGAATATCTCGTAAACTAAAAGAGATAATTAAGATCTGATCGCAGCGTCTTAATCTACGGACCAATCTCTATCAGATAGGATAGTTAAAGTGGAAATCTGAGAGATGAAATTTTAAGTCTTAAGAAAAAATTGCCAAGGGGGGGTGCTTGATACTTTTTTTCGACGATTTTCAAAAATTCATATCTCTTAAACTAAAAGAGATAGCTACCAACGAATTGTTGATTATGAAAGATTGGAAGATTCTCTATCAGATAAAAATATAAAATAATTATATTTCCTACAGTAAAAGGTCGAAAAACGCGACTAAAAGTGCTAAAAAGTGACATTTTGCAATTTTTGCCCATTTTATTCAATCGCGAATATCTCGTAAACTAAAAGAGATAATTAAGATCTGATCGCAGCGTCTTAATCTACGGACCAATCTCTATCAGATAGGCTATTTAAAGTGGAAATCTGAGAGATGAAATTTTAAGTCTTAAGAAAAAATTGCCAAGGGGGGGTGCTTGATACTTTTTTTCGACGATTTTCAAAAATTCATATCTCTTAAACTAAAAGAGATAGCTACCAACGAATTGTTGATTATGAAAGATTGGAAGATTCTCTATCAGATAAAAATATAAAATAATTATATTTCCTACAGTAAAAGGTCGAAAAACGCGACTAAAAGTGCTAAAAAGTGACATTTTGCAATTTTTGCCCATTTTATTCAATCGCGAATATCTCGTAAACTAAAAGAGATAATTAAGATCTGATCGCAGCGTCTTAATCTACGGACCAATCTCTATCAGATAGGATAGTTAAAGTGGAAATCTGAGAGATGAAATTTTAAGTCTTAAGAAAAAATTGCCAAGGGGGGGTGCTTGATACTTTTTTTCGACGATTTTCAAAAATTCATATCTCTTAAACTAAAAGAGATAGCTACCAACGAATTGTTGATTATGAAAGATTGGAAGATTCTCTATCAGATAAAAATATAAAATAATTATATTTCCTACAGTAAAAGGTCGAAAAACGCGACTAAAAGTGCTAAAAAGTGACATTTTGCAATTTTTGCCCATTTTATTCAATCGCGAATATCTCGTAAACTAAAAGAGATAATTAAGATCTGATCGCAGCGTCTTAATCTACAGACCAATCTCTATCAGATAGGCTATTTAAAGTGGAAATCTGAGAGATGAAATTTTAAGTCTTAAGAAAAAATTGCCAAGGGGGGGTGCTTGATACTTTTTTTCGACGATTTTCAAAAATTCATATCTCTTAAACTAAAAGAGATAGCTACCAACGAATTGTTGATTATGAAAGATTGGAAGATTCTCTATCAGACAAAAATATAAAATAATTATATTTCCTACAGTAAAAGGTCGAAAAACGCGACTAAAAGTGCTAAAAAGTGACATTTTGCAATTTTTGCCCATTTTATTCAATCGCGAATATCTCGTAAACTAAAAGAGATAATTAAGATCTGATCGCAGCGTCTTAATCTACGGACCAATCTCTATCAGATAGGATAGTTAAAAGGGAAATCTGAGAGATGAAATTTTAAGTCTTAAGAAAAAATTGCCAAGGGGGGGTGCTTGATACTTTTTTTCGACGATTTTCAAAAATTCATATCTCTTAAACTAAAAGAGATAGCTACCAACGAATTGTTGATTATGAAAGATTGGAAGATTCTCTATCAGATAAAAATATAAAATAATTATATTTCCTACAGTAAAAGGTCGAAAAACGCGACTAAAAGTGCTAAAAAGTGACATTTTGCAATTTTTGCCCATTTTATTCAATCGCGAATATCTCGTAAACTAAAAGAGATAATTAAGATCTGATCGCAGCGTCTTAATCTACAGACCAATCTCTATCAGATAGGCTATTTAAAGTGGAAATCTGAGAGATGAAATTTTAAGTCTTAAGAAAAAATTGCCAAGGGGGGGTGCTTGATACTTTTTTTCGACGATTTTCAAAAATTCATATCTCTTAAACTAAAAGAGATAGCTACTAACGAATTGTTGATTATGAAAGATTGGAAGATTCTCTATCAGACAAAAATATAAAATAATTATATTTCCTACAGTAAAAGGTCGAAAAACGCGACTAAAAGTGCTAAAAAGTGACATTTTGCAATTTTTGCCCATTTTATTCAATCGCGAATATCTCGTAAACTAAAAGAGATAATTAAGATCTGATCGCAGCGTCTTAATCTACAGACCAATCTCTATCAGATAGGCTATTTAAAGTGGAAATCTGAGAGATGAAATTTTAAGTCTTAAGAAAAAATTGCCAAGGGGGGGTGCTTGATACTTTTTTTCGACGATTTTCAAAAATTCATATCTCTTAAACTAAAAGAGATAGCTACTAACGAATTGTTGATTATGAAAGATTGGAAGATTCTCTATCAGACAAAAATATAAAATAATTATATTTCCTACAGTAAAAGGTCGAAAAACGCGACTAAAAGTGCTAAAAAGTGACATTTTGCAATTTTTGCCCATTTTATTCAATCGCGAATATCTCGTAAACTAAAAGAGATAATTAAGATCTGATCGCAGCGTCTTAATCTACGGACCAATCTCTATCAGATAGGATAGTTAAATGGGAAATCTGAGAGATGAAATTTTAAGTCTTAAGAAAAAATTGCCAAGGGGGGGTGCTTGATACTTTTTTTCGACGATTTTCAAAAATTCATATCTCTTAAACTAAAAGAGATAGCTACCAACGAATTGTTGATTATGAAAGATTGGAAGATTCTCTATCAGATAAAAATATAAAATAATTATATTTCCTACAGTAAAAGGTCGAAAAACGCGACTAAAAGTGCTAAAAAGTGACATTTTGCAATTTTTGCCCATTTTATTCAATCGCGAATATCTCGTAAACTAAAAGAGATAATTAAGATCTGATCGCAGCGTCTTAATCTACAGACCAATCTCTATCAGATAGGCTATTTAAAGTGGAAATCTGAGAGATGAAATTTTAAGTCTTAAGAAAAAATTGCCAAGGGGGGGTGCTTGATACTTTTTTTCGACGATTTTCAAAAATTCATATCTCTTAAACTAAAAGAGATAGCTACTAACGAATTGTTGATTATGAAAGATTGGAAGATTCTCTATCAGACAAAAATATAAAATAATTATATTTCCTACAGTAAAAGGTCGAAAAACGCGACTAAAAGTGCTAAAAAGTGACATTTTGCAATTTTTGCCCATTTTATTCAATCGCGAATATCTCGTAAACTAAAAGAGATAATTAAGATCTGATCGCAGCGTCTTAATCTACGGACTATTTTCTATCAGATAGGATGGTTAAATGGGAAATATGAGAGACAAAATTTTAAGTCTTAAGAAAAAAATTGCCAAGGGGGGGTGCTTGATACTTTTTTTCGACGATTTTCAAAAATTCATATCTCTTAAACTAAAAGAGATAGCTACTAACGAATTGTTGATTATGAAAGATTGGAAGATTCTCTATCAGACAAAAATATAAAATAATTATATTTCCTACAGTAAAAGGTCGAAAAACGCGACTAAAAGTGCTAAAAAGTGACATTTTGCAATTTTTGCCCATTTTATTCAATCGCGAATATCTCGTAAACTAAAAGAGATAATTAAGATCTGATCGCAGCGTCTTAATCTACAGACCAATCTCTATCAGATAGGCTATTTAAAGTGGAAATCTGAGAGATGAAATTTTAAGTCTTAAGAAAAAATTGCCAAGGGGGGGTGCTTGATACTTTTTTTCGACGATTTTCAAAAATTCATATCTCTTAAACTAAAAGAGATAGCTACTAACGAATTGTTGATTATGAAAGATTGGAAGATTCTCTATCAGACAAAAATATAAAATAATTATATTTCCTACAGTAAAAGGTCGAAAAACGCGACTAAAAGTGCTAAAAAGTGACATTTTGCAATTTTTGCCCATTTTATTCAATCGCGAATATCTCGTAAACTAAAAGAGATAATTAAGATCTGATCGAAGCGTCTTAATCTACGGACTTTTCTCTATAAGATAGGACAGTTAAAACGGAAATCTAAGAGATGAAATTTTAAGTCTTAAGAAAAAAATTGCCAAGGGGGGGTGCTTGATACTTTTTTTCGGCGATTTTCAAAAATTCATATCTCTTAAACTAAAAGAGATAGCTACTAACGAATTGTTGATTATGAAAGATTGGAAGATTCTCTATCAGACAAAAATATAAAATAATTATATTTCCTACAGTAAAAGGTCGAAAAACGCGACTAAAAGTGCTAAAAAGTGACATTTTGCAATTTTTGCCCATTTTATTCAATCGCGAATATCTCGTAAACTAAAAGAGATAATTAAGATCTGATCGCAGCGTCTTAATCTACGGACTAATCTCTATCAGATAGGATAGTTAAAACCGCGTTGGCGTGCAATACTAAAAAACTACAATTCCTAGCGCCTCGAGTACTACAGCGCACACACACAACTTTCAATATAATTTGCGTTACGGAATTTGCTCACAATAAATTGCAATACAGGGGAATACAGAATTAAATTATACATCTGGGAAAATTATTTCTACTTTACTGTGACCCCGCGTTCGCGTGCAATACTAAAAAAAACTACAATTCCTAGCGCAACGAGTACAACGGCGCACACACGACTTTCAATATAATTTGCGTCACGAAATTTTCTCGCAATAAATTTCAATACAGAGAAATACAGAATTAAATTTTACATCTGGGAAAATTATTTCGACCTAACTGTGAGACCGCGTTCGCGTGTAATACGAAAAAACTACAATTCCTAGCGCAACGAGTACTACGGGGCACACACGACTTTCAATATCATTCGCTTTACGGAATTATTACGCAAGAAATTCAAATTCAGGGTGATTACGAATTAAATTCTGCATCGGGCAATGACCCCACCCTCTCATCAACTATACAGGTAGGTAGTACGTGATAAATAGAAAACTTGTTTATAAACAGCAAATATAATTTTGACCGAAAAATATAATTGAATTATAAACTTACCAGTGTACAGTTTATTGAACTGCCAGGGCCAACGAGTGCTGTAACTAAACGAAAACATAAATTAAAACAAAAATATTTCATACCATTGAATTATGTTATAATTCGATCTGCGCTGTTTAGTTAAAAAATTCTTACACGAGCCTGATGGAACTTACATAATGATGAGAATCGACATGGGGGCAATATATATCCGATTAATTTAGTAACCGACACCAAACACAACGCCGAGTGAAGAATGTTATCAAATCCACTATCACGTGACTTATAATACCTATACATAACAAACGCGATCAAAAACCGGCATTTGCGAACATTAAACAAATTACGAGAAAATATAAATACTCGTAAAAATACTCGTACTATAGTAGCAAAGTACAAATAAATAGTCGATTGATCTTCGAGTTTAACACAAATTTAGAATATTGAAGTCCGAATAAACGATATATGTCTCATAAACACGACTGGATTAACCAGCGACCGGCACGAAACTGGCTGCAATCTACCGACAGTGCATGCCGAAAGTGCGTAAACAACAACAGGACAGTATATGATAAGAAAGCAAGAGGTGCGCAAAGACGGCGCATCGAAGGCACGCAACCTTGTGTGCGAATTGCAATAGATGCGCAAAGACGGCGGAGCGTCGATTGCACGCGACCTTGTACACGAATTGCAATAGACACGGTACCTGTGATAAGAACTAAACTAAAATGTGCTGCACGCGACAGCGCGACGAGAATCTTACGCGTAGCATCTCGCACGGCGAATGCGATAAGAAAGTGGTTTATACACAAACGCTGATATGATTCAAAACGAATACAATTCTATGTTATGATTTTTAGTTCATACTCGTAAAGTAAGATTTGAATCATGAAATTATGATTTATGATTTGAGTTTTATTGAAGCATTTATTGAAGCAAATATTTTTGTAAAGGTATCAATTTTCTAATTGCAAGAAATCAGAAAAACAGATAGTATGAATGATAAAAATTTTACTTACACTGGTAAGTCGAACACCGCAAATCAATTGTGAGTAGATACTGAAAAAAAAAAAACAAAACATTAGTTACACAATTTCGGACAATAAGTTCCGGCGGAACCCAAAGTTTACCATAAATTTCGTCTTGTTCTCCATAATTATTTAAATTAGTATTCGTACCAGGTAACACATTGAGCCAATGAGTTGTGCAGAAGTCAAAAATGGTTCGCACAAGTCCAAAATATTACTTATAATCACACACAGTGAGTCAGGGAGTCTGCCGACCGGCGTCCGACGACAACCGATCAGAAATCCACGTGAAAATGTAATAAACACACAAAATATTGAATTCCGAAGATTACATACGCGATAAATATTTACCGAATGTCCAAACACGGCAATTAACACTAAATTCAATAAAATATAACGCGATATGCCGAATTTACAACGAGAAACACGAATACTCGACGGAGTACAGCACGTCGACTGTCACTCGCAGGAATATTTTTAGTTAAAACATGCATCGTTGCGCTACCTGAGAATACTTTATTGTACCTCCAGCAAACACAAAGCGTTTCAAAAAGTGTGGCGTACATATGAGGCAGTAAGCGCACTTAAGTGGCCGTGTTCGTGTATCACAGATCGAAATAAATTAGACTGAATTAAACTTTTTAAAAAGTATACAGCGGCATCTGTCGACTCACAAAATAATGAAATAATGACGGAAACCAGTACTGCACAATTTGTTTAGAAATCTCTGGAACCTAGCATATTTCTGTGGCGTATCGAATTGACAAGCGAAAACAATTTAAATTCAACAGCATCTTTCATTGTATTTACAACAAAAACTGCGATTTATTGCTGGGTGCTATGAAAGAAATGGGAAAATCACGAATCGATCGCCTAATTGCTTAATTACTTAGTACATCTCTTGGAGCTGGTTAAGCCTCAAACAAACAAATAAAACAAAACATGCAAAAACAATAAAATTTCTTGCATTAATATTCAAACTAGGTTCTCCGGCATTCAGTTGGCTGGCGAATTGATAAATAAATTAAGCCATGAAGCGAAAAATCTGACTAGTGGAACAAATGCTGATACTATTCAGTATTACACGCAAACTACAGTTTTCATTTGATGTTCTTAATATGCCCCTCTACGGGGCTCCCAAAAATTGCCGTAGCGGCTGGTATTTCACAGCCTCATGGCGGGGTATTGGTTAAAGTTTTCAACTAGCAATAATCGCACCTCGGATAAACCTCATTGGTTACGATATCGCCCCTGCGCAAAGCTGATGAGAAACACCAACGCAGGTGATTATGTACACGTCCACTATATTTATAAGATAAGAAGTATTCTGCGTGCCATCTATGAGCTTAGGTTACATTGTGTATTAGTATCAATTGCCATCTACCAGAGATGGATGGTATTACAAATGAAAACAGTAGATTCAGTGGCTTATCAAATCCATCAGCTGATGAACGATAAAAGTGGTTAGACGTCGTGATAATGTGATTGCCAAGGCCTTGCGTGGACGCTAGTCGCACCACCGCACGCGTTCAGCGTCTCTCGAAACACTACTCCACATTAAGCTCGTAAAACCACGTCGGATGATACGGTGTGTAAGTAAATTGTTTACTTAATATTCATTTACTTGGTTTTTTCTTGCGTTATCACACAATTAACAGTCTAACGTCGTAGTATTTAACTGATATCATTCTACTGTTTCCATTTTTCACAAATAATGAAGCAATATTTTACATTTTTATGCTATTATTTGATTTGTTTTGGTTATGGTGCCAGAAATGTGACTTAATTATACTTTTATAATCTTAATAAACAACAAGTTATTCATTTTTAGGAGAAAGTTGCTTGGAAACTGACCAACAGAAATTCTGGTGTAGACTATGGATTCACTCTCTGATATACCATCCATACCAAATTCTGGTGAGTTTTTCTGTTCAATACAAACATTTTAGATCTAATTATTTATGAATTTAGATGAGGAAGATGAACCAGATTCCAAGTGTTCACCAGTGAGTTACAAAGAGCGAAGAAGAGAAGCACACACACAGGCTGAGCAAAAAAGAAGAGATGCCATCAAGAAAGGTTATGATTCCCTTCAGGAATTGGTACCTACTTGTCAACAAAATGATATTTCAGGTAGGTTTTGCTTAAAAATGCATTTTTAAGCTAATAATTAGCCTAAAATAAATGTTTCTTTGTAAAATTATGAATTGTATGTAAATTGCTGTAGGTTACAAGCTGAGCAAAGCAACTGTGTTACAAAAATCAATAGATTATATCCAATACTTACAACAACAGAAAAAGAAACAAGAGGATGAACGAAATGCGCTCCGGAAAGAAGTAATCGCCTTAAAAATAATGCAGACCAACTATGAGCAAATTGTCAAAGCTCAGCAGACTCAACCGGGCCATGCTGAGACGCGAGTATCAGATGAGATTAAATTTTCAGTCGTAAGTCTCAATCTTATTCTCAAATAAAATACATATCTACTTAACTTTTGGTTTAAAATTTCCAGTTTCGTGTTATAATGGATCAATTATTCCTAACATTCAGCACCATATCCGTGAACAACTTCTCCGAGCTGTCCGCAGGAGTTTTCAGCTGGCTGGAGGAGTATTGCAAGCCGCAGATGCTCAAAGATACGGTTTTCCGCGTGTTGCACTTGCACAGTCAGCATGTGCAACAGAACGGCGTACAGACGACTTAAGACGTCATTACAACGCGACGATCAATTGATTTGTGTTTGTGTTTTAATGTGCGCACAAATGGTTAAGTTTAAACGTTTTATTGAATGTTGATTTCATTTCTTATTTTAATGATTGACGGTTTTACGTTGAGCGAACCTAGTTTTACTAAATAATTATATTGTCTTATCTATCTGTGTATCTAAAATTAGATATATTTTGTAAGAAATTTATGCGAAACAAAATGGTGGATAATGTGTGATAAATCACGAAATAAAATTACTACACATTGAAATATTAAGAAATATGTTTGGATTGATATTGAAAAGACAATTGTTTGGATTGAGTATGAATTTAATATTTATTCTGAGACTTACCATCAATTCCCAGCTTGCCAGATAATGAATTCACAGGAATTTTAAACAGGAAATAACGAATTAACTAACTTGGTTTGGTTTGGATGCTTCTCGACTCAAACAAACGGAAAAACAAATGACTGCAACAGTTAGTTAGTTGTTAGTTTAGCGTGTGGGAAATGGTGGCGCTGGCATCGCCCTTTCCCAACAAATATTTAAATTTCATTCGTAAATATCTTCGATAATCCTTATAATTCACCCTAAATTACTTAATAATTTGATTTAGAATGCATAGCACTAAATAAAAATTTATTACATTGCAAATTATAATAAACCAGGAATAAATTGTGGCGTTTTTTGTCGTCCAATGTTGACATACCTGCAACGTAATGCAACACTGAAATCATCAAGGAAAATCTTCAATATCGTTGATGAAATTAAACAAATTCAACTTTTATCATATAAATTATTATCTTAAGAATGTTTTTAATGCTGTTATGCCTCAAACAATTTGTTTCCTAAGCGCTTTTCAGGTAAAATGCAACAAAGAAAGTTGTAATACGCTTGCGCGTTCATAACGTTCGCTCGCTCGACTCACTCGCTGCCTATGCATACTATTGCACAAGTTCCTCCGACGAGTCTCGCACAAATCGCACAATGTTCACCGACGCAGCCATCGTCGTATAATTTTCAAGCAAACTAAGCGGCCATCTAGAGACTCTGTGCATGCTAACTTTGCGAGAATTATTCTCAACGAGCATCACGTCTAACGCTGACATTCTTACTGCTCCGATCGTGCAGCAGACGAGAGACTCTCGATCGTAAAGGTAGACGAAAGGTAGCCCGTTGCATCCCGATACGGATCGCAATTTTGGCTGCGAATGATAAAAACTCACGCAGCGTGCGAGCAGAATTTAAGCGTTGAGATAATCGACGATTGTAATTGATTTCGGGTCGATTTGGGATGCTGGGCAGCGTATAAAATATCGTGGAAAATCGTCCGATCAGTACGGGTAAGCAAGCCTTTGATTTTTTCACCTAACGCTAGCTTTTAATGATGAAACATGTCGTTTTTCATAATTAAACTTTACAGATAATTGGCCAAATAGTGTGTAACCTATAACAATTGATTTCCATTCAGGTGCCTTGTTACAATCAATGCAAAAACAAAAGAATTACAATAACTACTTGAGCAAGCACTACATTGTCTTTCACTCTTATTTTGTTGATGATAATAACGATGATAATTTATGTTGATTGTTTAATTTCCAGTTGAGTTGCTCATATTTCATTGAATCATTTGCATTGAGTGAATCCAGCTGGGAGTAGAGGCTTGAACATGGTTTCAACTCGACAAATGTCCAATGTGAATGGCAGCTGTGAGGCTGGTCCCTCTGGCTCCACCAGGACAACCAGGAATAGCGCGCTGGCCGTGTGCGTTTCACCCTCTAGAAGCTCCACGAGTTTCGATAGGAATCTGCTGGAGCTGCCACAGGAAGTCTGGGAGAAAATCTTTGGCTACCTGACTTTTAAAAACATCTGCCAGCTACGTTTGGTAAGTAATAAACGATTTTATCGTTTGTGAATCATTAGAATAGTGCTTTTGTTTATATTGAATGTTTTTGTTTGTTTTCTATTACCAGGTATGCTGCAAATTTGACTCGTACTGCGGGCAGTTGCTAAATGTGACCTTCCAACGCCTGCAAACACAAATGCTGCACCGATTCCAGGAGATCAAGGGGAAGATGCCACGACGTGAGTCAGCACGCAGAAATCACCACCTCGCTTGCGAGAGTGATATCATCGAAACGCTGCACATGCGTTTGACACTCCTGCAGATGACTTTTGGGAAGCATATTGAACGCAAGCACTGCTGCTTCTTCCCCGGTGAGATCCTCGACGAGGTTTACAACATCCTGACCTACATCAGAAACACTCCGAAGTTGAATCGTCCGTATAAAGTCACAGATGAACTGTTTGACTTGTCGACAATGGCGATGGAGTACTTCAAGGAGAAGATTGAACCAGACCTACCAGAAATCGCCTATTTTGGTGCTGACTTTTTGACAGATTACTCTGCGAGCTGTTTCCCAGCGACGACGAATAATTATCTAGCAATTGAGATGGATTCCTCGCCTTTGGGGCCGGAGGAAGGCAAGGAAACCGGCCGGAGCAGTCAAGCTGATCTTGACCAGGAGGAAGCTCCGCAGAGGAATATGGTTTCTGGAATCAGGAAAATTCGACAGGGGATGAAACGTTATAATAATCTATTGTCATCACTCAAGAGGGATTTGAGGAACTGTAAGCGAAAGACATCCGATCAACAAAAACAGATCAAAGAACAGCAGAAGTTAATAACAGAGCAATCTAAGACTGCTTTGGAGTGTACGACGCGTATGGATGAATACGATAAGAAAAACGATGAAATATCACGGAAGTTTTCGACGTTATTGCAGGAGTTGAACAAATGCAAAACGGAGCTTCAGTATTGGAGGTCCAAGTCGCCGGCGACACCTCCGTTTTGTAACGCTTGCGGAAGCAATGCTGTTCCTCCAAGTGACGACCTCCTGAATGCAAATCAATGTGATGAGTTGCCGCCTGATTTCGACCAGGTAGAAATGGCGAACGCCATTTTTAATACGCCGAATGTCGCCGCCCTGGAGCAGAACGAAGAGAACTGGGGTGATGACATGGTGACTTCACAGGTAGCCAATCAATTGGAAGAAGATCAGCAGGTTTGTAGTGAAAAGAAAACTGATGAGGCTGTGCAACCGATGGTTGTTGGAGGCGTGCAGAAAGGCGGCAAGCGGAAGCTGGAAGGTGAGACACCGGCCTCCGGCAAGAACTCAGGACGTCGGGGCAAGATGCGTAAGCGTGTTAAGCTGTAAGTTAATTAAGGCTAGGACTAGAACTAAGGATGAACACGATGGACGAGGGGAGGAATTATTAGATTACACACGTGCGACATTCAATATTCACATTTATTTTCTTGACGGTTGAAATTTTTTCTATGTTTACGTATAAAAGGGTAAAAACACATAATTATTACTGAAAATGAACAGATGACAGACTAATACACGAGAAAGGAAGTAAGTTCTCACAAGGGTTTCCTATTTTTGTGGATTTTGAGAAGAATGACAGAAAATTTTGACATTTAAGTAAGGAGATCAAAAGAAAAACGTGCAGAAATTATATAAAAAGAATCAAATCGACTAACCTCAATCTATTTTCATTTCATTGCATTGCTAGTAATTGAAGATTGAATCTGCAATTTTTTTAGATTATTTTGATTGCAGCTACAATTCTTTTATTAAAGTCAGAGAAAAAATAGAAAAAAATTATATTTATATAACTTGGAAGCAAATCTTATACACACTTAATTTTGTAATTTCAGGCAGGAAACAGTTATTATATTATAGCAGCAGGAAGACATAAAAACAAACCATTATTCTGCTCATAAAAAACTCTCAGTACTAATATTGAACACATACTAATTGTGACTCAAACCCAAAACCAACTGAATTCTTTTGAAATTTATCAGAAAATCAAAACAAATCAACTCCAGAAAAAGTTGCGCGTAGAATTACCCATTAAAGTTGATTACTTAGAAGATGGCAAAACGTTGTTAATTACCTACTAAGTGATACATTGTTAATTACGAATTGACTGCTAGATCGATTGTAATTTATGTGTGTAGTTTGTGGGCGAACGTCATTCAAGACTGATGCGGTGCTTTAAAGAGTATAAAACGTTCACTACTTTGCATACACACACACACAATTACACAATGAAACACACACACCTCACACCTGTCGGATCTCAAGGAAAGCACATGTACAAAACTAAGCTAAAACGCAATACCATGCGACACCAACATGTAAAACGAAAAGCCGCCCCTTCCCCAAAAATGTAAATTTAATGTTTGCCCGCCTGTTAATGCCGTGAAGTTGCCTCGATTCTGAATCGTTTTTTGTTTTACGTCGCTTACTGTGCATCTCATCAATATTGCAATTCGATTTTTAGTTTATTTTGCTTTAAAATAAGATTTACGATCGCACTTTTAACCCTTAGCACTCCTAGCTTAGTTCACTTTTAATTTTATGTTAGAACAATTTGTGTAAATAATTGTTTACTATAGCCATCGATTGATTGGTGCTTTGAATGTTTTGCATTTAAACGTAACGCCTGCTCGTATGAATGTGTATCGATTGTTTTAAGTACTTTTAAACGTTTGTTGTGTCACACAAACAGTTGGTCGTTTAGTTCATTGATTTAGCTCGTTCTTCAGTACCTTATCTAATGAGAAATTCAAATGAGTTTGTACATAGTTGAATATTTGAATCTACTCGATTATAGTTCATTTTGTGTTTTTTTCTTTTTGCGGAAAAATAATGGATGAAACTTACGCCATCGAGGTTTTTTCTTATCGATTGATAATCGTATACTTTAGTGTTAACACATTAACGAGTTGGGAGTTATCAGAGTTTAATTGAATTGTCATGATACTTTAAATAATTTTCGACATTAATTCTAGTTGGTAAGCGAAACAAAATGATGAAATTTGTACATAAATAGCATTAACATTATTATTACATGAACAATAAATAGATCTTTTAGAGAAACAGAAGTGAATAACAAAAGAATTAAACGTATTAAAACTGACTAAATGTGTTTTATTTACATATTGACTTGTTTCGTTTTTTGAGAAGCAGATAACACACCACCAGGGAAACAAGTAAGTGTGCAAGAAGAATATCTATTGAGTTACAGTGAAAAGTGATTGAATTTTATTCTAAAATGAAATTTTGATGTTTTATTCGCGGTTTTTCATCTCAGCTGTAGTATTTCAACAACAATTTTAAATAATTTCACAAGAACAACTTGAGAAAATACCAGAAACTGTTCTGTAACTGATAATTAAACTAATTTCTTCCATTTTTGGATTAAATCGTGTTGTGTTACTGATTTTACTTCCATTCTTGTGAGATGTTCTTGACAAAAATATTAAAATCATGATTAAAACTATTTGAATTCAATTTCAAGGCAGATAAAACTATAAAACCAAGCTTTAAATGTTAATCAAAGTAATCCTAGTTGGATTAAGTACTCTGTGAGCCTGCGCAGCCATTTTAGACAAAAATCAACTAAAAATTGCAGTAAAACTAATGTTTTCAACGCATCGTTCTCATTTCGAGTTTATTTTCACATTGTTACACAAACGAGTGTTTCGCCCAAGTATATAAAACGTCACGTGAACCCATCAATTCACTTAAAAGTATAATTATACATAAAATATTGATATTGATGATTCAAGAATCAAAACATACATAAAACAAATATATATATGGTAAATACAATCAATAATTTACTCTAGAATAGATAAATAATTGGATACAAGCAATTGCCTCACATGTACTTGGAAGAAAACATTATAGATAAGATCAGTATTTTATACAATCTCCTCAGTCGCCACACGTTACACACCTTTCTACAACTTTACGAGTAAATCTTTGACTAGCTACGTTAGTTTCCGGGATATTCTACACCCTGCAATTCTGTTTATATTTATAATACCGACGCCATCTTAAATAAATGTAGCTCTTTGATAACACAACAATCCTAACAGTGATAAAATTGTTTAACTTGGATTAAATCAAGATGACTTGTTACATAAATGTCTTAAGAGTCAATTAAACTAGAAATATAGTTTCCTGGACGAAACATGTAATCGTTGATTGATTTTTTAAGGTTTCGTCCTTTTCGCTGCTGTAACAATGGTAATTGTCCTAAAATTAGATCAGTAACGTTCATGTTCTAAAAGTATTTAACGTATTTGTTATTTATCCATATTTCATATGCATTCACTCATCAATCACAACAATCTCTCCGATTAATAACAAATTATTCTAGTTACGATACATCTTAAATCGATTATTTCTATACAATATAAGAATCGAAGACGAGAGTCGTTTTTTGTGACTAAATGATGTAGCGCTTTGTATAAATAATGAGCAAATCGTATTTTCGCCCATATTTTGAAACCCAAAACGAAATAAAAGCATAACTTAAAGTGTTTATCACAAGTTAAAGTTTATAGTTCATTGCCATTCACCGCATATTGCACCAGCTGACTATTCATTTGTAATTGGCTTGTTATTCATTGTTTCGCAAATATCTACAGGCCTGCATAACTAATTACAAGTTATATAATATATGATATTCACTTCTAATGTGTGGATGAACGCAGTTAATGAATTAGTTTTGTTCTTGCATGAGGAAAATGCAATACAATCAAGCTCAGGTTGTTTTAAGACAGACTAAGGACGTTGTCAGACTTGTTGGAGGAGTAAATGTAGACACACGAAGACGAGTCTTCCGTGAGACTGTAGTTCTATGCATGTAGTTTTTCTACATCTAGAATTACACCTACAGCGTCTTCTTTTTCAGTGGTTTTTTAACGCGAGGTAGTGTAGTAGAACCGACTTCCTGTAAAAATAAACAATATTATTAATATCATGCAAAGAAATGTTGTAAATAACAACTCAAGCGCTAAAATTGAACAAAACACCAATTACACACACACTTTGTACATTAAATAAACGTTACACGATTAGTTATTGTTTCAGCTTCATCATCTGCAAAAGAAAACAACGCCAAAACTAAGTTAACCAAGAAAAATGTAAAAGAAAAAGGTTCGGTTAATCGTTAACTTGTTTGCGGTGTTATACTATATAATTGGCACACTAATGTGAATTCCATGCCTTCGTAAATCGGTTCCATTCTTCTAAGGTTTGTCTTCAACACTGTTGGAAGATCCGTGCCAAGATGCACGTTTGTCATCGTGTTTAAAAAGTCCCATGAATTTCGCCATTGCTGAATCTTTGGGGTCCTTGACGTCCTTTTTGCTCAAAGTTGGCGACTTGTTGAATAATTTTCGGTAAAGTTTGGGTGATGGGGACGGAGAACGTGACTTGGATTTAGTTTTACGGCGCATTTTCGGAGAATGGCAGAAAACTTCATCGTCTCCTAGTGGTTTGATTATTCCTGGTTGTAGAACAAGTGTTGCTTTGATTGCTCCTGATTGATTTGGGGGCTCTGGGGCGGTTTTCTTATGGTATTTTCCACGGCGAACTTCCGGAATATCTTCTGAAGGTTGTTCAGGGGATTTTGAGCAAGTTGCTTCAACTGATTCTAATTTTTCTGTTACGGTTTCTACTTTATCTTTGTTAACGAGATTTTCAGAGGATTTTGAGGAAATTGCTTCAACTGTTTCTATCTGTTGCTCTATTACTGGTTCTTCTAGATCCTTTTTATCCGTTTCGTTTAAAATTTCTTCAATTATTGGTATTTCCTTATCAATATCCTCATTTTTAGTAAAATTTTCTATGAAACCAGATTCTTTTCCTTCATTTTCTGGCACATCGAGTGTAGTTTTTAAAATTTGGTTATTTGGGTTGTTAGTATCGTGCTGGACGACGTCCGCATCTTCACATCCCTGATTATTAATTGAATTACCTTGGTAGCGTGACTGAACAACTGGTTGAATCGGAATTTCGCGTACGGCGGACTCTGATTCTTCATCGCTAGCGTCGATAGTGTCCAAAAATTCGTTGTCGCTTGATGATTGCGACGAGGAAGCGCGTTTTGGAGGATTCTCACAGATAGTTGGAATAGCATCTAATCTTTCAGGTTTATCATTTAAGAAAATTACATCCTCCTCGCCTATCCCCTCCTGATATAATCGAAACGTTAAAGAAACACAAATAACACGCACAAAAGAAAGAAAATAATCACATTTAAGAGAAAATTCATATTCAATTCATAGATTAGATAAATAATATACACTTACATCAGTTGTAGCAGACTTTTTTGTTGCGCTAACGGCCGCAGCTCGTGTAACCCTCGTGGGTCTCACTTTCATGGACGCGCCTCTCGCGAGAGCTTCCCGTTGTTGAAGCTTCGGAAGCGACTGTCCTGCTAATTGTAACAACGTCTCATTGCTGGAATACCCCGAGCTGATATCATCCGCCGATTGTATCGACACAATTCCTTCTGTGCGCACGTCAATTTCGGAAAAGTACATGGAAGTAGAAATACCCGCGGCACGCTTCTTCGACGGACTGCGCTTCCGAAGAGGCGCGCCGTCGATCTCGCTGATGGCATCATCGTCGTGTGCTGCGTGCCGCGGGTCGGTAAGGTCACTCAGGCTGTAGGATTTGCGAATTTGGTTAACTAATCCACCTCCACCCTAAAAATGAATAAATATATTAACATTCACAACAGGAAATTAAACAAAAACTTGTTTGATTCGAATTGAAAATTAGGACAAGTGACTTACGTTAAATAAATAAATGCTTGAATGAAGTCATGCATGCTGACTATTGTGCAAAAACTGAAAACGTTTAATACTGTAAATTAATATAAATTATTTCGAATGAGAGAGAAAGTTTTACGTCGATGATCACACAAATTGCAGTGCAGTGGTTGAAATATTAAAGGGTGCTCAGAAATTTGCAGCAATATTATATACTTAAAGAAGATAACATTTCTTATTGTACTTTTAATCCATTTAGTAGTTATTAAAACATGGAATTTGATATTCTTGAGAAAACGCACTCAAATCCCGTTGGCATGCGCAGTAAGTTAAAATGATTAAAAATAAAATCAATTAATTAATCAATTTAATCAATTAATTAATTAAAATTATAGTAAGTTAAAGCTAATAACACATAAACACATTAAAAATTAGCAATTTCTATATAAATATTGGTAAAAACTGGTACACAAAACAAAATTTAAATGTAAACAATATCAAACACGTGAATTTAACGCTAGGTGGCGGCCATTTCCATCAAAACCGCTTTTCTTTGCTCGCTCAGTCAAAAATAGTAAGTAAATCTATCCAATTTTATCTTTTACATAGTCTAAATTGTTATGTTTTTATGTCGTAAGCATTCAGTCGGTCTCTACATCACAAAAATCAGTCTTCACTATCTTTCTGTTACTCTTGCGGACGGGTTTCTCCTTATCAGCTTTAACCTTCTTGGTCTTAGACTTCTTGTCCAAGCGTGTAGATTCCTTCACTACTGGTGCATCATGAGAAGTAGTTTCGTATGGTGTAAAGTCGTCGTCAGAAGAAAACGAATCCAGATCAAAATTCATAGACTGAGACTTTTTCGGGGCAAGCGAAATGCCGTCGGTGGCGCTGTGCTCGTTAAGATGCTGATTTAGCGATGGATCGGAAACTGATTGTACCATCGACAAGGGAGGAATGTTCTGGTTAACACAATAAAACAAAACAAAAAGAAAACAACGCAAAAATTAATCGAGGTAATTGCTAAAGAGTTAAAGAAACAAAGTAAAAAAAAAGCATGGCAAGCGGTTAAAGCATGACAATTAGCTTTTTCAGTAAAGTAAAGTAAATTCATATAAAATGTTATTAAGTAGACATACCTTGAGAGCTGTTTGCATTAAAGCATTGACTCCCTTCTGTCCAATGTCCAGGACTTGCTTGTAGCTCTGCTCCTTTGCTTTCGATATATATTCATCAATTTCCTGTTAAAAATATTAAATTTTATGTTTTGTTAACCATCAATTATCATCGATTTAAAAAAAACTTACTTGTTCCCTGCTACTCAACATAGGATGAACAAATTTCCTATACAAAAAGCTTGAACCCTTCGTCGCCGGCGACAACAACCAGATGACCAGGATAATTTTGATTTCATAGTAAAACGGAAACCTGAAATTAAACACGAACACCACACGAGTTATTGAACTTTCCAAGCGTATTTCCTGTTGAAGGTAAATATAGCTTCATTTTATGCCGCTAAAAGTGCAAGTGAACAAAGTGCGCCTGCGGCAGTTACTCACCAACTTAGGAAAACATCTGTGATAGTTTCGGCGCACGTGAAAAGCGCAAACACGATCCAGTACATCATCCATTTGACCTGGAAAACATTCGCAGCATGAGCTCCTCTCCTTTACACGTTCTACTAGTTGCGAGTTATTTACATTTCGGGGTTTTGCATGCAAAGAATTTTCGATTGAGGTTTGCGCAGCTTTTAGTCAGCCTAAATTCATCAGAGTGCAAGAACTCGTCCGAAAATAGATTGACTTACTCGTATATTAAAAGCTGCACTAAACTTAAGTTAAATTAAAAGTTAAATTAAAATTACTTACATATTCTTTCACATTTTTGGATTTCACAGCTTTATAACTCGCATAGGCGGGATACAGCGTCCCGAAAAGTAATCTGAAAATCGGATAGAGCAGCATGTAAGTAAACACCCTTTGAAAGAACCAAATCCCCAGCAATACGGCGCCCAGCGTCTTCACTTTCGACGTCGCGGCGGGTCCCAGGTAGTTTCGCAGCGAGCGCGTCACTTCCGCCAGGTTTGCCATCAAGAATCCGCCAACATCGCCAGCGCGCGACAATTTCAACTCGGTTTGATCGACTGTCACACGTCGAAACGTCTCCTGATACTCAAATTCAGTCGTCTCACGTTCGTATTCCACGTTGTACTCGTAATCTTGATTGCTTTCAGAATTTTCCGAACAATCCTCGTCTAAACTAAATTCAAAATCTACATTATCCTGATTTGAGGCTGCGGACGATTGGAAAACAACGTGAATGTTGTTTGTCACGTTCGCGACGTTCACAATGGCCGACTGCACGTTCACATTGACACTGACGATGCCACTGCGCACCGATTCCAAAGCGCGCTGGGCCCACCAGTTGGTGAGGTGCACCACGTCTCGGAATAGCTTCAGGAGCGCCACCACTGGCAGAGCAACATTGAGATGCAATAGACGACGTCGACGCGATTTTTTCACAACTTTCGTGTTTTGACTTGCGGTAGGATTACTTCTGCCTGATCGGCGTTTTGTTATTTGGTAGGATGAAGGACCAGGCGCAATTTGGCTGTGATTAGTGCCAGGTACTTCGACTAGTAACATTTTTAGAGTTATATTAGGCTCGGGAATCGGCTGGTATGAGAGAGGTGTGATCAAACAAGCAGCACCGAAATAACGAATAAATTGCAGTGTGAATTGCGATGCACATTACACGAGAACAATCGGAATTCAATCAATGCGTAATTAACAATTAATTCTTTTGTTACGAAGTAATAAAAAACGAATCAATTTGCAAGTCATACGGAGACAAAATGCATAATTACTTGAATGCAATTTGTTTTCAGATACAGAATTTATTCAAGTGGTATACTTTTAGAGTTGCCAAAACGCGCAGTTAGAAAAATCGATTTGTTATTACCTTGAATCTTGATTATAGGCGTAGGCCCAACAGTAATTATTTATAAAGATGATTAAACAATTATTCAGTCGAAAATATATGACTCAACTGCAGATAGGCTCGCTGCCAATTGCTTGACAATCATATCAAGACGTGCTTTAAATGTTAATTAAAAACAAAACAACCATTAAAACGTTGAGACGATTAAGCGTTCAAAACAAAGGAATGATTTTATTTCCTTTGAGAGACATCTCCTGATAAATAAGTCTTTTATTTTTAATTCACGGACAAAATAATTTAATAAATAAATATATTCATTCATGGATATTTCATAAAAATGTGAATTCAAAGTTATTGGGTCGTGATTCCGTAATAAATCCAAAATTTAAGTATAAAAACACGGAACTACGGTCAAACCATTCCGCATTTACTAAATTATAAATGTGAAGCAACAATAATATTATAAATATAATTCACTATCGCAAAGTTATAAAAAGAATAACAGAAAATAGAAAAATAATGCTCCATTTACTTAAAGTAATTCAAAATAAATAATATGCAGCGATTTCAATAAATAAATAAATATAGCTCACCAAATGGAAAGTGCAAGTAAACACGCAGTAAAACTATAATAGTTACATGTTAAAGTTGAGAGGAAATGGAAACGCTATTCGCGTTCGTTCGTAACAAAAGAAAACCTCTTGCGTTTCGCAACTTACAACAATTCACCTCGCAAAAAGTCTAAAATTACTGCGCGCCCACTAAACAACGTATTTCTATCGAGACTTACATCTAATATCGCAGTTTTAAAGTTTAGAGTTATTATAATCTCATTACGGTCACAATGAAAATAGAAAAAGAAACAAATCGCAGCCAGAATAAAAATGGCACGTAAAGTTCAATTTCGCGCGTCTGTTTTGTTCGTTCCGTTCGTTACGCGTTATTGTTGTTATTGTAGTAAAGAACTTTCGTCATTTTGTCATTAAAGTTCAACAGCATATAACTCAACACTTTGTAAAACCATCCGTACTGAAATTGCGCGTAGTTTTAATTTCAGAATCAACGAAAAATTAACTTTTTTCGGTGTGGATTGTGGATTTAGATATGGTTTCGAAGCAATGCATAATGAATTGCTGCAAAATCGCTTGGGTAATTTACAAATTACACAATACACAAAATAATCGTGTGCGCATGTTCAATTGAACAACAGTAGACCCAGGTAGATAGGTTTTTGTGTTCAGTCGTCATTCATTCATTTCCGTTTTCATTCAAATTTTACTTTGATGAGAAATTGCTAGTTGAAATTAAAATAGATGAAAATTCATGTGATTTACGTGATTACATATACCTTACTTACACAAATAAATGGCATTTAAATATATTGTTTAAAATCACTCGCCATTTCCAGAAATTAAAGATGAAGAAATCTTCACATATTTAGGACATAATTAAATATAAATCACCAATGTGTGACCGTTCCAGACAAAAGTAACACGCACTTGAATTTGGTTCGGCTTCGACATGACTAATAAAACAGTTCCTCAAGAAGTAAAGTCACCAAAATACACACATTTATTTGTTCCTGGAATCAGCGCCTCTTTACGATTCCATCGAGCCTTTCGCTTTCATGCCAGGAATGTACATCTACATCTGCATGTAGTTGTAAATTAAACTGGTGCTAAATTTAAATTTAATTTAGAAGACGAAGAAGTACGCGCAGGCAGCAGCAATGATGCAGTGCACTCGAATTAAAACATTATTATTAAGCATCGGGGTGCGTGTGCGTGCAGTTGGCGCGGCATGTGAAAAAGACCGAAACAAACTGCGCGAGGCACCGCGCAACATATTTTGACCGCTGTTATATGTTGGGCAGCTCTGCTCTCTCGCTATAAATAATTTCAGTGCGTCGCGACGCGCACAACGTGCACAGGCCCACACGGCGTCGTGTTGTGCATAAACGAAAATAAAGAAACAGCCGGGTGGAGTCGAGAGTAGTGTTAGATCTACGAGAGCCAAATTTGATATGAAACAAAGACGAAAACAGTAGTGGACAACCTGCGACAACTGGTATTACCTAAATTAGTTTCCTAGATGATAATGTATAAAAAAAAATTCTAGAAAAGTGAAAAGTTTTTATTTTATTCCAAATTCTCATATATTTTTGGATTTCTTAGTTGTAACTAAATGATTCTCATTCGTTCCAATTGGGACATTACTTAAGTCAACATTCATGCTTCCTGAGGAGTCACAGTTGTTCACTGCGGTTAAAATTAAACCCGACAAAACAACACACACACAAAGAATCAACAAAAAATCATTATTTAATTACTCACTAATGAAAAAAACAGTATTAAAAAACTATCACAATATCGATTCTACTTTCTACATTAATACAACGTAGAACGGTTGATATTATTTCCTCAAGTTCGAAAGTTAAATTAACTTGAAGTGCGTTGGTGGATTGAACCCACTTCACCTTCAAATCGACAGAATCGAATACAGAAACATAAAAAACAGAAGTTTATATCGTCACTACGCGTCCAAGCAAACCTTTTAAGCCGATCTTCAAGATCTTAATATAATAAAATTTAGCACAAAAGGACAAGTAATTCACGAGTGATGCAAATAAAAAAAATATAATTAAACATATGTTATTTTAGTGTTACTTAGATAGCAATCCATTTCAAGGCTTTTCCATGTTTGGATAAAACTTCTTTCAGTCATTCCAACCGAGAGGATTAAATACATGAATATCGACCAACGTTTCTGAGTCATAAACGATTAATACTTAAATATAAAATTAAAAAACTATAATTATCAATGATTTCAGATATAATTTTATCATTTCCTTGAAATAAATCAATTTATAAAAATACACACTTGATAAATAAGAAAATAAATGACTAAACAACATTTATAAACCAAAATATAGCTCAAACCAATAACTATTATTTAAAAAAACTAAAAATTTCAATAATTTTCTATGCAAAAACACTGATAAAAACATAACCTAGTTACCATTATAAGCGGGACAAATAAATGTATCGATTTCCCCGCAACAGAAAAGTCATGAACTTGCCACCTATGCGTTTGTCCTTCCAAACGTCCCAATATAAAATATCAAATACAATTTCACTCATAATTTGCACAAACACAATACTAAAATGCTAATTACAGCCGATTGTATATTGTGTGTGCTTATTTCACAATATGCAAATTTATTTAACACGTGTCTGCTTACACTAATCAATTCGCACTTTATTCGCAACGCGATGATGATGAAAATAACAAGTGAAACAATTTACCAATCATAGTAATAAGATTGAATATGTACTTACATAACAACTCTTGATATGATGCCCGTAATCATGATTTATTTACAGCTGCACTCCTCTTTGCAACTCAGCCACCACCTTTATCTCTCCAATCTTCCTTCCGACGGCTATTTCAAGCGTTGGTCTAAGATTAGAACATAAGTTTAGAGACGATGGCAATTTTTCAGGGCACTATGTTACTTACGTCTTCTATTATGTTGCACTATTATTATTCCGCCGGGATAAATAAAACAATAGCATCTAATAAATTATGTATAATTCTAGAAATCAGTCTTTTCTTTGGGTGGTTGAGGGTTGAACGTTGTGTGGTCGATCAGAAGGTGATTGTTACCGATAGCACTGGATAGCGAATCTTGTTGACATGGTGAGGATGAGATTCGCCTTTGTTGCACAGAGTTCTCTGTTTTTTTGTTTGAAATGCAGCTGATGTTGGTTAATTGGATGCGTACGGTGGGATTCGCGCGGTAATACTGAGTTTGAAACGGATCGTACAGTGCGCGCGGACGGTTTTTCACCGTTTACGTTGGTTTACGTTCGTTGTTACTGCGTACAAGTACGCGAGTTGCTCCGAAACGATTGTGGTTTGTGTCAGCTGACAACTGACAGCGGACAACACTCACTTTGTTTTGCTATGCGATTCATAGTGGATTCATACTTGGGTTTATTATGTGTGGAACGGACATGCAGCGACATCTAGTTTTTAATCAGAAAACCACTTAGTTGTCATTTGCTAAAATGACAGCGAAATTTTGTTTGAAAAATGATGAAAATCTAATACATACCAAAACTATCATAAAACAATATACTATTATATTAAAGAAGTTGAATTAAACCACACCTAAACACTTATTTAGACTTATTTGTGTTTAAATACATTGTAATCATCGAATAAATTGTTTGTGTCAGCTAAAAATTATAATTAAATAGTTAAAAACCTAATAAATAAGTTGTAAATACCTGTAATATTAATTCGTTCGTGAGCACAGTCACATCCCCGATAGGTACATGGAAATAATATTGCATTCTTAAATTCAAAAAGAGTATTTTCTTCATTATTGCAATATCTCCATCCCAAGGCATCGCATAAAAAGTAGCGTGATGCAATCTTATACTCTAAAATATAATCAGTTATCAATTATTAATTTAAGCTAAGAAACAAAGCATTTACTATGTCTTCAAATCTATAAAAAACGAAACACCCCATGAGGACAATACATATGGCCATAATCATCACAGCAAAAATAACAACTTGAAATTCCTGAAATATAATTAAAGTAATAACTTAATAAGCAATATTATTGGAAGATCCAACAATATATAATGAAATTAGCATTAAAGCGAATGTTCCTGTTCCAAATGTAACGATAATAAGTATTGGATATTTGATTAAATCACCCACAGCTTTCCAAAATCTGAAATCAATAGAAAGTAAATAATTGCTATACTAAAACATTCATAATTTAATTCAATATCAACAAACTTACAAGCAAACAAGTAAATGATGCTGCACAATAAAAGAAAAACGTTTTTGGCGTTTCCATAAATCCTTTTCAAGTTTTAAATTCTCCAAAGCTTTGACAATCATAACGCAATTCGATTCAAAATATTTAGCTAACGTATAGTAAACAGCTATTATCGTCCAGATTATCATGAATAAGAAATAAATCTCCATTAGAAAAGCGACATTGAATATAATTGTAAGTGTAGTGCCCAAATCAACGAAGTAATACTAAAAACGTATTAGAAAGTATTGAAAATTTTGTCTTAAAGATGAACTTACGAATGGAAAATATAAAAAGTCCATATAAATAGCCTGAAGTGGCGATGTGATGATTTCAATCACCCAGAACAACGATATTCCAGTGAATACAACAAAAACTATTCGATTTATAGGAACATAGTTTCTCTTAATTACTTCGTCTTTGACTCTGATGAACGGTGAAGTGGTTATTATGTTTATAAGAACTAATCCGCCTGTTTTACTTCGTTTGACAAATATTGCCATGCAGGTGCCTATGAAGATTATCAGAATAAAAGTTAAATCGGATATATATTCAGTGAATTTCAGTTTATCAATACCTAAAAACAAAGCAAAAATGAGATCAAAATTACAGTTTTTTAGTTTAGTTTAGTTTTGAATTTAAAACTTACAGATTATTTTGTAGACATATCCAAACAAGCCACATGTCATTATTCCAGGGATGAAATAATAGAAAATGTTTAATATTTTCGAAAATAATTCATTGTCAGGCCAGAATATGTAACGTAGCATTGCTGTTGCCAGAGTGCAATGTTCAGCTCGGATATTTTCATATTTTAAAAAAGTTGTATCTTCAGTACAAATGTAAGGTCTGATGCGGTTTATCATAGTGAAATGTACGGACTAATAACATGTCGATGTCTTCAAATGCTATACGCTGTGAATTACAAGAAAAGAAATTATCATATTTTAGTAGTTGGCACCGATTGTAAACATAAAATATTCACCTGGAGTAAACATAATCAGTACTTGATTACTAATGTGTACAAATCTAATGTATACATACACAGTATTAATATAATTGCTGTTTATTATTGTTTCACTTACTATTATTAATGAAATTCTATCTTTTTGAAAACAAATTTGAAATAATTTGCTGTAAATTTTCAAGGTTGTTGTAAGGTTGTGCGCCGCCTGCCCCCTAGCGGATGTTTGGCAACACCGGCAGCGATGTTTGCCTCGACAAACAGCTTATTGTCATTCATTAGCAATTATCATTGTCATTTGAGTGCGAATTAAATAACTATCGGAATGCGGTTTGCCATTGCTGAGTCGTCATCAGTACCCAACGTCGCGTTGTATCACGCAGCAAGTGCTCCAAGCTGGAAAATCAGTGTGCTACGCTCGAATATTGTAGTCTTGTGATTGCTAGTGGATTGTTGTGTTGTACTACACTAACACACATGTGAAATTGTTTGGTTATCCACTGAATCTGATTTGAAAACATTGGAATACTGTATACAACATGAAGAGATCGAAATAGAGTGCGATTTTGGATACTGTGAGAAGTTGAAGATGGCATTGGCGCAGGAATTCATTTGTCAAACGATGGATTTTCTTGGAAAATTATGACCAGCTTCCAAAAGAGGCAACATGACAACAGGTAGAGATCTGTAATTCTGTGTCATATGGTTTATAGGTAGTGCTATATTTACTCAAAGAAAACTATGGCTTCCATGGATGTTGGAGTTGTTCAAATTAAAAAGAAGATAACACCTGAAATAATATTACACAATCGAATAAACAAAGGATATCAACGTTTTAGTAAATTAAGAAAAGTCGTGTAGATTAGTTGGTTACCTGCGTGTAGATGTCGCTGCGATTCAGTTTCTCTGAATATTGATTCATGTTGACAGAATTGTATTAAACACTATACGGTTATTATAAGATATCTATGTAAGTATGAATTAATCAGGTCAGAAATTAGTTGCTCCGGGATATCTTTCTCATTGCATGTGCGATTCGAAAGGTTGCTGTGGGGAAGATATCCCTGAGTAACTTTGGGCTGTCTTGATGATGGCGGTGAGAGCGCACATTGGGCTGCCTATAGCAAACCGCCCGCGCAAACAACCGCAGACGCAAAACCGTGCTGCTGCGGAGAGTCGAATGCGGTTCGATCGCACGCCCTGCAAGGCCTGCGGCGGCGTCGCAGCCGGTTTTCGAAATCCAGCTCGCGCGCTTTCCCGACAACGGCCGACGCGCGGCGAACACGAACGCCGGCGCTGCCTGGTGGGTACCGAGCGCGCCAGCCGCCTCGTTCGCTAGCTAGCGAGATTGAAAATCTTTATATATGCGTATATCGTGCGCGGCGAGCGGCAGCAAGCGCGCTATGTTGTTTTGCGTACGCGAGCGTAGCGTGCGTGCGTAACAAACGTTCGTTGCATCCAAATCCAAGAAAAAAAAAACGCGTGCAAATTCAAAAACCCGTGATTGTGCTCAGTGCGTGGGTGAGTAGTTTGTGTGGCTGGGGAGAAAAGGTACGAAAGGGTCCACACCACTGAGACACCGAGACTACAAATCGCGAACGGCGCGAGAATTTCGGGGCTGTGAGATGCCCGCCGAGTTCAGAGTGCATTTTTAACCTAACGTTATCAGCGCAGCGTAGATAGTGGTGCGCGGCCACACGAATTGGATGAGCAATGTGAACGTGCGTGTGCGGTGCAGTGCCTGGTGATTTTTATTTGTTGGTAATATTCCTGTGGTTGTGGTGGTGAAGAATTTGGCGAGGGAGAGCAGGAGTATAATAACCATGGCGTGCAAGGCGCGCGAAGAGATTGTCGGCAAGAGGTTTCTCTCGGTCGCCAGTGGATTCAGCAAGCTGAAGCTGGGCAAGATCGCCGAATGGGGCTGGCGGGCAGGTGTGATACGTGCCGCCACGCACAAAGATAATTTCCACAAGGAGCTGCAGGTAAAGAATGCGACTAGCGACACACGTTTTATTAAGACTTTCACTCTTGATTTGGCCGTGGGTTGTGTTTTTTTTTTTATGGGGATATGTAGGGTGCGGATGCACTTGCTTCAGACAGGTTCGACCGATATCGAAAAAGGGGGTGTGTTCCTGAACGCACAGCATACTTCCACGTAGCGCGGGCTAGTGGGTAGTAGTACATTGGAATTCTCACTGATATATACCGGGTGTTTCAGGAATATTATCTTGATAATAAAAGGATATTAATATGCTTCCTAATGATTATTTTTGGGTAATAAATTGGATATTTGGATAGATATTAATATTTTATGTGATATTCACATAATTAACGCAATATATTTTTAAATATTGCATTTATTCAGTATCTATAGGTAAATAAATATTTGGTAACTCTGTGGCGTTCATAATATACTTTGTTATCAGTCAATCCTATGCTAATATGGAGTATTTTGTGTTTTCTCAAACTTGTTTGTTCGTGTTTAGTAAAGTTTTGTGACATTGTGATGTCATTTATTCTCTATGCGTTTGATTGTTTTTCATTGATATTTATATATCACTAGCTGTTGCCCGCGACTTCGTTCCGGCAGTGTTTAATAAAAATGTAATTCGTTTTTACTCTCTTGTTCTAGACATACTCGTAGTAAGAGTCAATTCTATCAATAAGATTAGCAATTTTAATTTAAAGAAATTAATTATATAAAGTTTTGTCAATAATGCACTTCAGCGCGCCATCTCGAATTCAACTATTTAACTATAACTATGATTGAATCTCAATGGCAAATTTTATTCTATAGAAAAGAGCTGTTTTGAGGATTTTCCCGGCAAATATTCGAATTTTTCTCACCTTTTAAACCTTCCCTAGACCTCCACGAATAATTCAAGACCAAGATATGATAAATCCGTTCAGCCGTTCTCGAGTTTTAGCGAGACTAACGAACAGCAATTCATTTTTATAAATATATAGATTGGTGTAATTCAGTCGTGGGTAACTGCACTTAATAACAGATTGGTGGTCAATAATGCGTAATAATGTAATATAAACCGATTATTGCGAGTATTGATTTGTTTGTGTTTGAGGGTATCGTATATTTGGTATAATTCGGGTACTTTGAGGTATTTTAATGACAAGATAGGTTTGTGAAGTCGTATTCCCTAAATAATTTAGTTGTTTTTATTAAAAAACAGTCAATATGTAATTTGGCCGAAAGTTTTTTAACACATCCTTTAAAAACTATCTTTTTAATCGAAGATATCTATATCTCACGTGAAACAAATGTAGGTATTTGGGTAAATGTAGGATTAATAAAACAAGGGGAAATTACATATTTCAAATAACTGCACAATAATACAACAAAACTCCGTGGTAAACAATTCCCAGATAAGTAGATGTGCAACACATACCAATTTAACATGCAACCTGCATTTGTTTTGTTTTTACTTACGAGTACTGTGTGCAACTGCGCATATTCTATAAAAGTTTAACACTTGAACAATATCATACAGGATGTTAAGTTAATACAGGTATTCAAAAATTTCGAATAATTTTAATTAGGATTTGTTTAAACTGTGGATTAAGGCTTATTTGAAGCATTTATGATAACACATAGTTACTTATTGGTATTTCGGTATATTTTATTGTGTGTTCACATTATGTTCATTAATGTGCTAAATTATGTTCGTTATCAAAGATTGTTGCCAATGACATGCAACATTCTCGTTTGTTTACATAAAAATTAATATAAACAAATCATATTTGTAAATTTTCTTTCTTTTTTCGAAAGATACTCGATTTTATGACAAATTCTCAGTTAAATTAGCAAAAAAATTAAGCAATGTTTAATTATTTACAAAAAATACGCGTCGTTAAATCATAAAATTTAATTAACTAACCTGACAGTTAAGTCTTGTTTTCAACTAAAAATAGTCAAAAATGCGATTTGTTCGAATTTAAAATATTTGTATAAGTTTAATTTCGTGTCAAAATTATATAAGCTGACTCCTGTATTTAGAGACAACCTGGTTTAGGGGTACGACTACGGTACCCTTCTCCTATTGGAATCCAGTTTGTTTCCTCATACTTTTCTTTTGCTCTACGCTAAGCACTTGTGCATTGGCAGGTGATTTTTGTGACTTCTGAAGTACAATTTGATTCAATACGAATATTTTTAATTGTTTTGATACCAGACTGCCCAACCTTACGTTAATTAAATTATAAACTTCATAATTAGTAATTATGATGCCTAATTTATTTATCAGCACGAATAACAGTTACGAACTTGCCTGCATATCCTGCTGTATTGGTAAACACTCGTATAATTAACTTTTTTTTTGTATTATTGTTTTTGTTTCTGCGTAGTGAAGACTATAAATGTTTCATTTTATTTAATAAAACTGGAATATATAAGTTGCTTCATCCGTGAACGGCATTGACCTGCTGAATAAAATACAATTTTAATAAAACAAAATTAGGAACAAGTCGAACTTGTTTATTATGGCTGGCGGTGTGTTTTGTTATAATTTATCGCATGAAGAGCGGCAGCTTAACGCAAATAACTCGGGTGTATTTCGGAGCAGAAATTGAAATATGTTTACGGAATAAAATTCGTTAATTGTGTTGGTTCTGTTTTAAATTAGGCATAATTCAGTTTTGCACGAAGAACGATTGCGTGCACGTGGCAATCATCATAAATGATTAATAATTAAGACCTAATTATTTAAATTTCGACTAATACGTTGAAAATATTACTAAAAAATTTCATTTTATGCAACTATTTATTCTTTTTACGGATTTGTGTAGTTTCTAACATTTTTTCTCTGATAAATGAAAACGGATTAATAATTAAGACCTAATTATTTAAATTTCGACTAATACGTTGAAAATATTAACTGAAAATTTCATTTTATGCAACTATTTTTTCTTTTTACGGATTTGTGAAGTTTCTAACACTTTTTCTCTGATGAATGATAACGGAATTTCTTTTTCTTGTTTGTTTATTTCTTGCGCGCGCGTGGTTTTTGCATTATTTATAAGTATCTATCTAAATTGTATTTCGTGCTGTCTAGAAGAACCAGCAAGTGTGCGCTGCGCACCCGAGAGAAAGTTGCGCGTTTATTATAAGAACAACTTGCAGGCGCGAGTAGCCATCCACTGCGCGCGCGGTTTGCGGCCACACCGCCGAATAAGAGAGTACATGTACTAGAATAGTAGTAGTTGTCGGACGACGCCGCCGTCGCACGTTTTCTATACGAATATTCAGCCGGTGCACTTTTTGTGCTCCGAGTATAAATAAAATTAGTAGAAACCTTGCGCGCGTGGTGCGTGTGAGCGAAGAGGTGCTGCGCGGTCGATGTGAGCGGCAGCGTGCGCGCGCGATGCATGAGGCCGTTCATTCACCTTAAGAGTGTTCTCTTTTGGGCTTCCACCTAGTGTAGGATACACTGTGTCTCTTGCCATCCGTGCTGCACCAGAATTTGACTGCCTGCAGTCTTGGAAATAAAATGTATTCAAATGTATCTGGTGGAAGTTGACAGACATGTTTGTACAACCGGATGTGCCCTAATACGGATTCAATGATACACCACTGGTTGTGGACAGAAACCTGAAACCATTTTTGATTTGCTTGTGTCTCAAAACGTCAAAAATGACTTCTTGCTGAAGTTGGTAGTTGGTAGTTTTCGAAGTCTTGCGTATCAGCATCTTTTAAAGTGCCACCTCTAGCACTCTTCTATGTTCATAACTATAACACTTTGAACAAGTTTGCTCCCCGGTGTAGTGGCCTTGGGTTTTCCTCCAGCGCGGCAGAAAATTGTCTCAAGTGGAGTCCATAATAGAGATGTAGATTAAGCTAAGCATGGAACACCCCCACTGCTGTGTGGATGAGGGATTGTATGGAGTGGAACGCGAAAGGGGTAGGATTCTAAAGGTTTATACATCCGATGTGATGCCATTTGGAAATGTGCAATTCGGATCCATTACCATCGTTACCCACGTCTCTCTCATGCTTGTCTTTCTCATATAGGATTTTACTATCTTCTATTCCTCCTTCCTGGTAGATGTTATCAGACAATGGTTGGAAGGCATCGGCATCTCGATGCGGGCGTGCATTCCGCTGCTGCTGTTTCAAGTTATCCTAGTTAGGAGGCAAACTTTTAGGCCATTTTAGGTAAAAGCCTAACTCTGCAGGCAAGAAAGCTGTATGCTGGAGTAAGGATGGTGGAGGATTGTTGGGATTGAATGGGGCACAATGTGCTAGCGGTACGGGTACTCGCGGGCCTGCTGCTGCTGCTACTGCTGCTAACATCGTAACGGGTCCGCCGTGGAAGACGCGCGTTTCCATCCCTTTAAGCTCGACGAGGAAAGCCCCGTTATCGTAATGGTCCTTCAGTACGCTGCACGCGTTTGCTTGCTAGGCGTTGCTCTTGGCAACGACACTGACGGTGGAAACTGCTTCGGGGCCTACTGTAATCATGCGACCCACTGTCAACCCACTCGCGGGGTTTCGTTATGTGGAAAGATCACAGGTTTAAAAATATGACGTCATTAGACACTTCTAGAGTAAACTATAGTGAATTAAGGTAGAAATCTGTAAGTTTTTTTCTCCTCGTGACTAAAACCCGTGACTAAAGTACTTTTACCTGCTTCAAAATAAAAATTTGTTTCTGAGAATATTTAGATGCACCTGTACGTCATCTCGTAGTGTTTGTAGGTTGGGAAACTGATTGTGTAACCGACAAACACAATAGGTCAATATAAAAACCGCTCACATCTCCACCAAATCCAATCTATGCCCACGTAGCTGTGTGGCGTGGTGGCGCAACGGTATAAAAATTACGCATTACTTTCAAGTTCTCATAGTCTTATTATGATTATTATCCTATAATATTTATTTCGCTGGCGATGAAAGTTTCCAACGATGTAAATTCTTGTGTAACGTTATGAGGTCAAGTTTAAAACGCCCTAGAATCTCGCAAAATCGTAA